ATGATATTAAAACCAAACATGCCAGACAATATGGCCCTTTCACTAGTTAGCGGCGGTTGGGGGCAATTATTTCACCGAACCAAACTATATCAGGAGATAAACTATATATTTCTGGACATAAGAGCGCATGAGTGATAGGATAACACCACATACATCCCTATCAGGGCATTCAGGGCCACATGGGTCGGTCCTGAAAAGGGAGACACAAGCTGATTGTTGAAAATTTAAAAAAACAAATTCTACCCGCAAAACAGGAACATAACTTCCACAAAACTAGATAATATCCAGTTTAATACTTTAGTCGTGTTTCTGGCTGCAACCTGTGACAGCACAAGCGCAAAATATTGTATATTCCGGACCAAGTTTACCGGGTGTGATGTTTTCAATTTAGTGTCCTTCTCCCAGCAATACAGTTCCGGATCAAGTTCCGACGGATTCCGATCTTCCAGTGAAGGCCACTCAATAGCTTAGCGATGTCGTATTTTTATGTTCACTGCAAATGCAGCATTCGTTGGAGCTAGACTACATGGTTTAGGTGGGGATGTCGATACATTTCCAGTTTTAGATGCCTGATACATTCCAGCGTGTTTTAAGTCATCGATTTGCAAGTGCTCGGTCCAAAATCACCAATCCAGGAAAGAACAACCGCTGACATTGGTCAAACTACGGAGAAACACATGTCAATTATCATTTAAATCCTGACAGCACATTCTCATACTGGATGTGACACGGGTACATGCGGCTACGTCGTGTGGAAATCAACAGTTTTGAAAGTGGTTAGAGCTTGATTGTATTCTCTCACACCCCACTCGTCGGAGTAATAGACACTCCAATAGAATCATTGCTCACACAGTTACACAGGCCACTGTATTTATGTCAGCTTTTTTTATGAACAGGGTTCTAAAAATCTATGTCTGAAACAAGCTGGAGGGTGTGGACATCTTAAACTGGAAATGTATAGTCATTATTCTCCACCCAAACCATGTAATCTTGCTCAACGAATGATACATTTGCAGAGAACGTAAAAAGAGCTCATCACCAAGCTATTGTGTGGCGTTCACTGGAAGATTGGAATACATCGGAACTTGATCTGAAACAGTATTGCTGGGAGGAAGATACCAAATTAAAAACATTACAACCGGTAAACTTGCTCCGGAGTCTGCCATGTGGCTCATCAGATGTGGATGCAGTAGTGACAGCTCATGTAGTACGTGTGCTTGTAGCTGCACTAGGGATGTCTTAGAATATACAATATTTTGCGCTTGTGCTGTCACAGGTTGCAGTCAGAAACACGACTAAAGTATTAAACTGGATATTACCTAGTTTTGTGGAAGTTATGTTCCTGTTTTGCGGTTAGAAATATTTTTTTTTAAATGTTCAACAATCAGCTTGTGTCTCCATTTTCAGGACCGACCCATGTGGCCCCGGAGCCTCTGATAGGGCTGTATTTGGTGTTATCCTATCACTCATACGCTCCTATGTCCAGAAATATATAGTATGTCTCTAGATTTAGTTTGGTTCGGTGAAATAATCGCCCCCAACCGCCGATAACGAGTTAAAGGGTCATATTGTTTGGCATGTTTTATTTTAATATCATCTAATCACCCCACAACATAATAAATGATTCCAGTGTATTCCTTGACCCCAGAAACATACGGTTAGACACCAACATTATCACCCTAGACTAAATACTATGGGAGTTATAGGGGATAAATTGAAATGGCGGCCATCTTGGACGCCATCTTGAATTTCTCAAAACGCTCAAGGATGACCGAAGTTCACCCAACAGATTCTGAACGAGGACACCCTAGGCTACTAAAATCAAGCATAAAAAAAACTTTGTATACAATTTCCAGGTTCAGTCATAGGTCTGCCGGACTAGTAACACAGATGTGAATAATCGTGGTTTGTTCCCTGTTATATTAATCCAAATAAAATGAAATGAAATAGGGTTTAACGTCTTATTGTTCTGCTACGCCATACAGTGTGCTATGTGAGAGATTTTGATTGGACGGTGGAACTACATATGGCCTTCTCTTTTAAATACCGTATGCCAAATTATTTTACGTGCACGACAATGTTTGCGGATTCTCGGTTTTTCGTCCCATACGAGCGACTATACGTTGCCATTGGCAAGGATGGGGGCCATTCCGGAAAAATCCGATGAACTTTGTCGGGCGGCACCTGGATCTACTTTCTAAATTCTAAAGGTTAGCGAGTCCCACATTGATGAGCAGTGAATACTACAATACATCTGTGTGAAACGGAGAACGCTAGATCGGAGACGGCCTAGAACATAATAGCGTCATGTGGATTGTTGGTTAGGGTAAGGGTTAGGCTTGGTCCAGAGTTAGGGATATCGCTAGCCCCGTTTACATCTCGAGATCTTGGCGAAATCTGCATCTCCTTATCCTATAACCCTAAACCACAATCCACATAATATGCCGTCATGTGCACTCTGATCCCTCTTAAAAGCAGCTAGAAACCGAATTTCACTTTTTAATTGAATGTCCACACTATCAATCTCTTAGGCTAAATATTCTTTCTCCTACTTTCAGTGACAACAATTTGGCCATAACGTTTGAGTGTGTCATTATGTATATAAACCATTTCAACGTAGAAATCAAACCTCGACCTAAAAAGGTATTACAAGACAAATTTCACATCTTATTTTCATTTTTTTAACATCTATACATTTTGAAATAATGTTTCTGATATATATTTTCACTTTTAACACCAACCTGTATTTCATGTTTTTGTAAATATTATTTGTCATGTTGTTATAAATATATGTACATGTTTATATTGTATGCTGTCCTAAATGGATGTTTCGATACAATAAAAATCTTATCTTATTATTATTATTATTATTACAGCATATTTATAGTGCGCCCTTTCATATAACATATGTTCAGGGGCACTTTACAAAGTGACAATGTAATCATAAATAAACAACAAGATTATGGACATGTTAACGATTATATACAGAGTCAGTTAAAAGCCTGATTAAATAAATGTGTTTTAAGTTGTTTTTAAAAGAATATAGAGATGTTCAACATCTTAAACTAAATGGTAGATTATTCCATAAAACAGGTGCTTGATAACTAAAAGAGCGCTGTCCATAAGAGACTAGTTGAACAGTTTGGGGCTTTAAAAGTAGTTTATCTGATGTACGTAATGTTCGGCCAGATGTATAAAGTTCTAAAAGATCTGAGAGGTAAACAGGAGTTAAATTATTTAAACTTTTAAAAGTAAGTAATAAAATCTTAAAATCAATTCGATATTTAACAGGTAACCAGTGTAAATTATATAAAACAGATGTTATGTGGTCACATTTCTTAGTTAAAGTAACAAATCTAGCTGCAATATTCTGTACTTTTTGTAATTTATCTATAAGCTTTAAAGGTAAACCAACTAAAGGTGAATTACAGTTATCTAATCGAGCAGTGACCAGAGAATTAACAAGTGACTTAGTGGCCTCTACAGTTACACATTTACGTATATTACCTATATTTCTGATTTTAAAATAGCACAATTTACAAATATTATTTACTTGAGCTCCCATAAGCATAAAACTATCAAAGATTGCGCCAATATTACGAGCAGAATAAGATGAAAATATATCACAATGACCAATTACAGCAGGGGGTTATCATGTGTAAATTTACTGAATTGATGCCTTGAGCCTAATAACAAATATTCGGTTTTATCGTCATTCAATTTTAGATGTTCTTTGACATCCATTTTCTAATTTCACTAATACAGTTCTCAAGTGGCAATTTTGATAAATTGAAAGAAGATGGATAATTAGGCCTAGGTGTAAATGAAATATATAATTGGGTATCATCGGCATACAAATGAAAGCTGGGACCATATTTTCTGACAATATCACCTATTAATGGTGACGTATAGAGGGTAAATAAAATCGGACCAAGAACAGAACCTTGGGGAACCCCAGATGATAAAACAGATTCAGACGACGATTTACAATTGACTAAAATACACTGTTTTCTACCCACAAGCACTTTGAAATGCTTCATACAAACAGTTACCATCTAGATGGGCCTTTATCTGAGAAGCAATACATTTCTCCAATATTTTAGAAATAAAACTTAAGTTAGAGACATGCAGCTAGGTCTGTAATTTTTAAAAACATTAGGATCCAGTGTAGACTTTTAATTAAAGGGGTAGGACTACCGGTAACATACATAAGCTTGTTTGAAAACGTTGGGAATAGTAGAGGATGATATAGGCCTACAAGAATTAATAGGCCTAATATTGGTAAAAGCTGGATTAACTTCGTCTAGACAGGCCTTAAGAACAGGAGTCGGAACAGGATCTAATGAACAAGATTTAGGACTAGGAGCAGACGATTTAATTAGCTTTAAAACAAAAGATTCACTAACCAAGTTAAAATTTTCTAAATAAACAGAATTTTCTAACTTATCAAAATCATGAGCGTTAAAGTCAATAATTTTATTTAAATCATCAAGTTCAATTCGTATTTTCTGTATTTTTATTTGAAAGAAATCAGAGAATAAATTCGCAAGTTCAGTGTCAGTATCATTGGCATATATCTTATTAAATATATATGTAAAATATGTATATTGCTATTTATTCTGTTCCTTATGTCATGTATAGAGTGCCGCTGTCCGGGCAAAATTTCCCTCATAGCACACCGTATGGCGTATGCCCGTCTTCATTAGCCTAGGTACGAGAACGTAGCTAAAAACACGGAGGGTTGAGAGGTAAAAAAGATTTGTTATCTATCATTAGCCCAGTTCGAAGCAAAACAGTAGGACGTTAAACCCATTTCATTTCATTTCATATGAATTGTATGCGGCCTGCAATGGGTGTTATGATACAATAACTTCTTATCTTATCTATCTTAGCTATGTGCTAGACCGTGTCCGACTTTATAGCGTTCTCCGCGTAAAACAGATTGAGCGAACCCACGTTTTTCTAAATTTAAAGGGAGACTACTCTGATCTTTGTTTACACGATTACTTCCCTGCTGTAGGTGTTTTATAACTGGTCGAAAGATGTAAAGCGAATTAAATTTGACAATTATCCCTGGTGAATTAGCAACATAGGTTATTAGACTTCCACATTCAAGCATTAATTCCTTGCCAGACCCTCCAACCAACCTGCGCCACTGACAAGGAACTAGACATGTTAGACATGGTCCATTCCATCTAATATGTTATATGTTCGATGTGGACTTGGTTTGGCATACGAGAAAATAAATTGACCTGGCATCAGTCAGCATTAAAATTGTCAAAAACAAAATAAAACGAACCCCCATCCCACATGATGAATTTACTCGTGATTGTCAGTCCTCAGCTTAGTCACGAGTAAATTCATCATGTGGGGTGGGGGTTCGTTTTATTTTGTTTTTGACAATTTTAATATTGTCAGTCCTCAGCATAGTGGGAGCCACGGTGGCTATATGGTTAAGACGCTGGCTTGCTAGACTGCGGAGGTCGGGTGTTCGATCCCTGCATTGGCCGAGAAAGTTCATCTGGATTTTCCGATGTGGTTTCCCCTTGTCAGTGGTGCAGAACAGAGGGCCTGACAAGGACAGCTGTCTAGTCTTTTGGATGAGACAAAAAAACGAGGTCTCGTGTATACATTGGAGTGCAAGTAAAAGATCCCTTGGCAGTTGGAATTCGATATAAGAGTAGGCGATAGTGCCGGGCAAAATTTCCCTCATAGCACACTGTATGGCGTATGCCCGTCTTCATTAGCTCAGTATAGGAGCAGAACAGTAGGACGTTAAACCCCATTTCATTTCATTTCCTCAGCATAGTAAAAAAATACCCAGCAACAGTGTAGTAAAAATAGCCCCTGACAGGCTGACCTACATTCACATTGTACTTGTAGTGCATGGAATATTTCATGGCATGGTTGTCTTGAAATGTTGTTTAGAGTAGATGCTACAATGCATTTCTCTTTTATGGTTTGCGATTACTTCAATTAAACATTTTTCTAATTTTAAGAGTTGAAAGAGCATTTATTAAGTTCAGCAGCCAGCAAAAACCATGCTTTTAGTTTGGTTCTACAGGACATAGAAGGTCCAACATAAATTTTAGTTTAATAAATAGATAAGCTTAGACATGTAGTTGCCCCGGAGACTCAATTTTAAATTATATTTATAGTTTAATTTATTTCTCATGTACAGGTACTTACTTTATATTTTTACAGCGGCCTGAGCTCACTGAATTTATCTATGAACATAGGATTATAGTCTACAACCATATGCCCTGACCATTTCGTTTTCTAATCATTTTTGATGGCAAAACTAAATAACAAGAGAAATGTCAGACAAAATTGATACAGGTGGGTAATCTACGGATCACACATCTTTATACTTCATCATTTTGTTGTGCGTGTATTATGTCATTGCCCCTGTCAGTCCGCTTGTCAATCCATCAACATTTAGCATGTGTGTCAACTGTCCACACTAGTCTTGTCTCAAGTAAACACAATCAAAAATTGCATAAATTCAGTGAGGCATCACAGTTACAATAGACATGTCAGTAGTCATTTGTTTATTTAATAATTGATCATTTTAATTCTTTAAGAACTAATGACAGAAATGTAGAATCTGTTATATTTAAATGAAAAAGTATATTTTTAAATTTTAATATATTCCTTTAGCACTTGGTGTAAGTAACTATTGACTACCCAGGTTCCGGAAAAATTAGACAAAGGAGATGAGATCCCTAGACCGCCTCAAACCACTGTGTCATAGAACTAGTATAGTCCTAAAATAATTCATACATGTAGGTATTCATGTAACTCTGATGTAATATTTTTGTAGGAGTTGTTGAAGAAGAACCTGTTAAATTAACACCAGCCCAGAGAGCTAAAATAGAAAGAAATAGACAGAAAGCATTATTATTAAAACAAGCTAGACTTGCTAGTAAACCTTATGATAAACTTATAACAGGCAAAGACAGGTAAATATATCATCAACTGACTGTTTCATCAAGGTGGAACTCGTTAATCATGTTTTTTTTGTCAACATTGTTTTTCATACTCAAGTGTTATAAATATTCTGTGACCAAATCATCAACAATTACATTAATTTTCATTTTAATCCACTGGAATTTTGTTCATGGCAATCTGCTAGAATCCTCTGTTTCCACATGCTTTTATAGAGAATTCAAGCTAACTTATTTTTTTTTCTGTTGAAATGACCGTATATAGTGCAAAAAATACAGCACAAATTATATGGAAAACAATCACTGTGTGGCGAGATTTAACATCTTACAATTATGCAGGTAGCCATGAAATGAAAATTTGGTAAATTCATCTTAAAGGATTCAATTATTTATCTCTGCAGTAATCTTTGCCAGAATCTGATTCGTACGATTAATGTTCCTAAGTGGTTGGAACTGGTGATATTCTCCTACATGTTGCACATGCATTGCAACCATAGACAATAAAATAAAATCATGTTGTCTTTCTCCCAAAATTAGCTAAGTAAAGTATTGAGTTAACATGCTGAACTCTTATTTCATTTAAAATGATATTAGTTCATCTGGCTTTATGATTACACTGTGTAAAGCATTTGTGTTCGTTTAAATTTTAAGCCATAAAGTAAAACCATTACCTAAAGAAATTGATACAGGTGCAGGATTCTTTATTGAAGAAGAAAATACAGAAATTAAAACAGGCCAACTTGAAGTTAAACATCAACCAGGTAGAATTTACATTTTATAATGATAAAAAGCATCCTGTATGTGCTTTAAACAGTAATTTGAGCAGCGTTTCATTTTATCAGAAAGAAAAAAAATTAATCAGTCGTAAAAGTGAGTATAGTATGTTACTATTCGACCAACTGATCTGTAAAGACATCAAATTATTATTTGTGTAAATTTGATATTAGATTTTTAGAGAAGGATTAATGTAACATGATATGTGGTCATTATTTATTATTCTAATGTAATTATATTATTTGTTACAGCTCCTGTATTAGCTGTTGATAATTTATTATGTGAATCATGTGATAAAGAATTTATGGACTCATATTTATATACTCATTTTACCATAGCAGCATGTGATAGTTGTAGGTATGTCTTATTTAATAACGGTCAATTCTCTTGATTTTATACTTACAGCCAACTCCTCATAGTTTGCATATCCATTAAAAGTATCACAGAGATAGTTGCACATGACTATCTTAAAGGTTTTGCCTCCCAAATTGACCAATTTTAGTCACAAATTGGGCGACCTTCGGTTATAATTTTTTCACGACTAGTGGTCAGAACTAGAAACCGATCGCGGATGGTCTGAACCATAACCCTTAAAAAACCCTTTCAACTCAAGAAAGGTATATATCTCTCTCCATGGAGGATAATGAATCGTTATGCTATATGATATATGATGTTATATAGTTTAATAACCAAATAATACTTTCATGAAATTAAACTTGGGCGACTCAAATTAATTTTTAGAGATGAAAAAATTCCTTGTAATTTGACTTTAATATTTGCATAGTGCAAATATTGAAATAATGCGTAATTTTTAGACTTATATAGATTCAGACATAACATACGAGAGAAAAATTATCTGTTCATAGCAGTAGCAACCATTTAAAATTCTTTCAAGCTTTCCTAAAGTCATATACTAAACAAAAATAGATTCTTTCTAAATATTCTACACTTACGTTTCATCGACACCTGCCATCTTGGAGCTACTCCGACCATGCCACAATTGCATGGTTCAGTATTTTTGGACTATTGTCCGGACAAAATGAAATTCGGATTCAGTTAGTTCGACCATAGTCAAGAAATCACGATAACCGAAGGTCACCCTGGCAGTCCGCCATAACTAGATTTACATTTAGTGGTGGCAATCCCTGAACTGTCGCTGGCAAATCGATTGTATAGCCCTGATTCCAGCAGCATAGCTGGTCGGCTAAAAATTGCTAGTATCTAAATAACTTCTATTATAAATATGTAAGTAGGTGAGTAAATAGTGCCAAAAGATATGATAATTTAATTTACTAAAAAAGTTATCTTTCTTTATTTATTGTCGAGAAGTCTTTCTTTATATATCTTTCTAGAGAGAAGAATAAAGATACATACAATCTCACCACAAAGACAGATGCTAAAAATAGATATTTACTTAAAGATGAAGATTTTGATAAAAGAGAACCACCACTTAAATTTATTGTCAAGAAAAATCCAAACAATAATAGATGGGGTGATATGAAACTGTTTCTAGAATCTCAGGTATATATTCTCTAATTAAAGAATATGAAATATATTCTCATCTAACGGGACAACAATTCAAATCGTTACTAAATTTGTTTTATCCTTTGGAGAAAGCGGTGAACTAATCAAATGGATGCATCTGTCTGACGTGTCTATCCAACACACTTTTGGCTTTGGGACCCCATAAAATGTTCAAAATTGGTGTAGATGTTCATAGCATGAAGGTCTTTAATGACTTCGGCTAAGAGAGAGATAAACAAATTGATATGTTTATAACTTTGATTTTAATTGAGTGAGAGCAATGAAACTTGGTGTATAGTTTTATTCCATCAATACCATGACTAAGTTCGATAGTGAGGTTGATGCTGTATAAAAAGATAAATGTGCCGGTAATCAGTCCTTGTCATCTATTTATTTTGAGATTGACGAGTGGAACATTGCCCTCACACTGTTCGCTTGATTTTACAGGTCTATTATAGAGCTATAGAGGTATGGGGTAGTGAGGAGGCTATAGAAGAAGAAAGGGAAACCCGGTCAGAGAAAAAAGATAAAGCTAAACAAAAAAAGTTTGATAAAAGAGTAAAAGGTGAATAGTACACATATTTATTACATACCGGAATCAAATTTGACAATTGATGTAGAGATTATGTGGTTTTTTTTTTAAATATTTGCCCTAATATCAATGATTTCTTGATTGTAGAATTACGTAATGCTGTAAGAAGTAGTTTATGGAGAAAAGGAACAACAGTACATGAACATGAATATGGAGAAGAATCTTATGATGAAGAAGAAGATATGTACTCTAAAAAATGCAAGACATGTGAACATTTAATGACTTATGAGAAAATGTGATAGACAAAAGATTAAAGTCATTCTGAATAATGATTTTTTGAATCATTTAATATCATTGACATATTGAATACAAAAGCACAGCAATATATAGTTCATTGACATTATTCAACTTGTACAATCCATACAATTTTACTTTTTTTATGAATGAAATTTATTTGGATCATTTAATTTGTTATATATTGATACATTGATACATGTAGATGAAATTGTACATACTTTATAGGAGGTACACATTGCATGAAATATTAAATACTTTATGAAGATTGTGGTCTATATTCATCAGAGAAATTTTTTATGATAATGAAAAAAGTCTGATAAGTAGAAATTTATTTAAGTTAAATAGGACAAAATTCAAAAGAAAATAAAAGATAAATGTTTGATTTGTAATTGAAAATTTATGAATTTCGATGTAATTTTTCTTGTGACCCAATGTCTAATCTCTGATAAATTCAGTCGAGTTTGGGAGAGTCTATATACAGCCTTTACATTGAGCAAGTTTTAATTTGACTATAACAGTGACTAGTAAACACCTGTATACACATTGGCGTGCACTGACATAAAAGAACATTTGACAGGTGGAATTTGATCAAGAGTAGACGGGAATTTTCTTCATAATGTTCCGCACAAAGTTGTTTATCTTAATCGGTTACAATATGGTTGGTAAACTTTTAAAAGAACCGACTAAGATATATTATAGTGAATAAAATGGGTCTGTCTGGCCGCCTGTCTGTCAGTCACACTTTTTGGGACAAAATATCTCTCCTTTGAATTGAGCTAGAATATTCAAACTTGGTGTAGGTGTTCATTATATATACATGTAAGTGAATTTGCCTTGATGGAGTTCGAAGATAAGCATTTTCTGCTTAGGCTAAGCAGAGATAAGCAATTTGATTGGTTGATGCTTTGGAACACGATAAATGTAGTTCTAATTAAGTGAGGGTAAGCAGAGCGATAAGCAATTTGATTGGTTGAGACTTTGCAGCTTATAATGACTTGAAGAGTTGTGAAGCTTCATTACATTAAAATCTTGATTAAGCACACACTTCAATCTGATTGGTCAAGGCTTTGGATCAAAATAACTCTCCTAATTGAGGTAGAATGTTCAAACTTGGTGTAGGTGTTTATTAGGTGAATGCCTTGACAGTGTACGATCATGCGCATTTCCCACTAAGGCTAAGCAGAGGTAAGCAATTTGATTGTTTGAGACTTTGGAACACGATAACTTTCGTTCTAATTGGGTGAGAGTGATGAAACTCGAGTATAGATTCATTGTATACCTTGACTAAGTTCGATGATGAGAATTTTCTGTTTAGTCAAAGTATCGATAAGCAATTTAATTGATTGGTCAAGACTTGGGAACATAACGACTCTGCTTTTAATTGGGGTAGAATGTGTAAACTTGGTGTAGATGTTCATTAGGTGAATGTCTAGAGTTCAATGATTAACATTTTCTGCTAAAGCTAAGAAGAGCTAAGCAATTTCATTGGTCGATGCTTTGAGACAAGATAACTTTTCTTCTAACTGATGGAGAGTGATGTATAGTTTCACTACCAGGTACTTCAATATGGTACCTTGAAATGAATCAGTTTGATTGGGAAAATTTTCTGCTTAGACTATAGATAATCAGTTTGATTGCTCAATAATTTTCAAAAAGATAAATGTGCAATTAATTAATATGTGTCATCTATTTATTTTGGGATTGCGGAAGGGGGCATCAGCCTCAATGTTAGATAGTTAACTCTGTCTGAAACCCCCATAGTGCCTGCAGAAATAGTCTAGGCCTACCCTGCCTGACTGCATGTGCCAGCCAAAAATCAATTTTTGAGTTAGATATATGAAACTTTGCACACATATAGAACAAAACTGTGGAACCATTTATCCCATTCTCAACCCTCTAAACCCACGGATGGCAGAATTTCAAATTGAATGGAACGCCTGTGATATTATAAAATTTAACAATAAAATGGATAATCAAGACTTGAGACGATAATACAATATACGCTACATCTTCAAACACTCATAACTTCATTCATATGGAATTCACTGAAATTTTCAAAATAAAATATTCATTTTTCATTATATTTTAACTCAAGAACAATCAGCTCTTTATCTAAATCTAAGCATGTTTTATAACCTGAAAGTAGCTAAGTATCTAACTCAATATCATCCAAAATCTTCGACATTGAAAACACGAATTACTTGTCATTTCAAATCAACATTGGTCTTGTGATCTTTCACGGAAAAAGTTGGGCTTCTGATATCCAATATTCAAGACAAAATAAACATTTTACCACCATGGTAGCCTACATCGCACGAATCGTGTACCATAATGCGTTTCAGCGCCATTTAGAACAAGGGACCCAAAGAACGCGGCTAGACATATTCCACAAGTCATGTCAAATGGTGACGCTATATAATATTCTTATTTGAAGAGCATGCACAATAAATACCATCGGTATAGACTGGAATAACCAGACGCCAACGATTGCCATTCAATTGAGACTTCTATTAAGTTCTAAGTTCTGGCGTATTTCGCCAAACATAAACGATTAGAAATTACAGTAATAACAGAAACGATTGAATGTAAATCTGTTTATATACATTCATATTTATATATTATGCGTTGCGACCCATTTGTGTCAATTTCTAGGTCCCAAATATTACCGATTTAGCCCCTTTGGCTTTAAAAATATGGAATCCTCGTGCCAAGTTCCAACTCCTGAAAAATTTGGGCGTATCTTGTATGGCAACCGCTTATTGGCCTATATATATTTGGGCTATATTTGTTTTTTTTATCAGTGCTTGACTGTGGCTACTGGCCGTGGGTCATGTTTGCCACAGTTATTTGGGCTGAAGTCGTTTTAAAAATTAGATTATTCTGGATACGCATCGCCTATAGTGAAAGTGCATCCGGTCTCTGCTGCCGTGCGCATTTCTATATCCGTGTAGGGAATCGAGTACATCAAATCGAAGGTCATCAAGGTCACCATGGCCGGAAAACGCATTTACAGTTCGCTTCTGAAACAATTTTCTGTTCCCGTAAGTACTTGAAGGTCATGGTAAATTAATCGGTGTATGTAGGCCTACGTCTCTAACAAAGTCACAGACTTTTTTTGCATGAGCCTCAACGACTTAATAAAACTCCCTACACAGAAGAGAATAACCCCACACTCTACCCATTCTATTCACTGAGATTGTCACTGTGGCGATTGTCACCAGCATTTGCATGTGCCAACCAAAATTTTTGAGTTAGATACATGAAACTTTTCACACAATTAGAAAAAAAACTGTGGAGCCATTTCCCAGTTTAAAGTTTTAAAATCCCTTGAGAACTTTTAATTTTATATCTGGTTTTATATACCCCTAGTAAAATAACATCAAAAATGGGCAATAGGGATAAAATGCTACCTGTTGCTGACTGAATAACCTTGGATCATGATCAGATTGTTTGTACGTATACATGTGCTATAGATACATAAATATAATCAAAATCAATCGCAAAAATATTTTTATAACATTTATTTGGACACAATCTAAAGATACATTGTCCCGTAGGCGTAAGTATTTATTGGGTGGTTATATTTCCAATAGAATTATGGCAAATTTGGTATGATGGGGATAGACCAGGAATCTTAAAGTAGCTAAGTCTCTAACTCAATATCATCCAAAATCTTCGACATTGAAAACACGAATTATTTGTCAATTTAAATCAACATTGATGTTGTGATCTTACGGGGAACAGATGGGCTTCTGATATCCAATAATTAAGACAAAATGCATTTCAGCGCCATTTTTAACAAGGGACTCGTAGAAAGAGGCTAGATATATTCCACAAGTCGTGTCAAACGGTGACGCCATATTCTTATCTGAAGAGCATGCCCAATAAATACTATCGGTATAGAGTGGAATAACCAGACGCTAGAGATTGCCATTTGACTGAGACTTCTGGCGTATATCGCCGAACATAACTGATAAGAAATTGCAGTAAAAACAGAAACGATTGAATGTAATTATATACATTCACATTACATTATTATATGTGTTGCGACCCATTTGTGTCAATTTCTAGATCCAAAATATTAGCGATTTAGCTGCTTTAATAGGCTGATTTTTGTCGGCTTTAGCCGCTTGAGGTTCAATCAAGCCAATTGGTAAAACAATGAATCGGCTATAAATCAATCTACTTTCGACTAAATTACAAAGGGTTAATTATTACTTGTCAATCAACGTGCTTGTCGGTTACAATAGCAGTCATACCTTAGTGAAAACCGGCCATGTAGTTCATAATCCGAGTAATAAGCACAAGTAACCGTAATTTTGATAATCAGCCGGTAAAAAAAACAAAACAAGCTTGCTGATTATTCATAACAGGTCCAGTAAGTTGCCTTTGAGGAAATAAGTCACATGGCAATCGAAGGAAGACGATCTCGGCATGGATTGTGCATCTATCACGCGTTTTCGACGATCCGTATGAATTCCAGGTGTACCGGTAGATATTAAAATAATAATTGGATCACAATTTAATGGTTTCACTGACCAGTTGTTAGTTAAATTTAAATCTTAGTTGAACATAATTCTTGGATAGAACACCGAATACACCGAGAAACGGTCATTAATAAGATATTATGAATCTCCAAAGCCGAATTCCCGATGACATGTGATATCAGTTGGAATTAGGTCAGTAAAAAAGTGATGCTAGTTTTAGTTTTAAATAGCGTTTACCGTTATGATTTTTTATTTTATGCACATGCTGACAGAGGCTTATTTTTTAAAAATATTGTCGTTATTATTATTGAAAGCTATATGGCACAGTCGTATGGAATTTAATTTAAAGCCATTTCATTTATTGCTGACATGAATTTCAAGCCGGTTTGTGAATTAAATATGGAAAATTTTCCGAACAGTGTACATATTTGTCGTTATTTTTGTGCTAACTACATACAGTAGAATACGATATTCCTCATAACAAATTGCCAAGAATTATTTTAGTTGAAGTCTGGTTATATTAAAGGGAATGGAAACTTAAAATATTAAAACCCAGTTCCTACCGGGACCTCATTTGACCAAATTAAGAACCCTGATAGTGGTATAGACACCTAATCTTACTAGAAAAATACTGGATTATCTGAAAAACATGTCAGGGTATCACTAACTAGCGATCCGACTGTTGTCAGCCAGTTTATTGTGTGCTAGCTTGACTGGGGGAGCGGTTGTTATTTCTTGATCAATGGTTAGGCAGTTTTGGGAACATTGAGGGGTGTCAACGTACAAAAGACTCTGAATCTAAGAATTTACTTAGACCTCAATATGTATGGTAAATGGACAGTAAGTAACGAAAAATACATTCTGAAAAATGGACCCTCCCTCAATGAAGCGGGGTGACAGAAATGGCTTGTAACAACAGTTTATTTATAGCTTCAGGTATCTCCCCACGAAAAACAAAGTTTTGAGAGGGATTTGAAGCAAATATTTGATATATTGATTAGTTTGAATATGTTTATATCATCAAATCAAACAGTTTATATGCTGGAAAGTATCTTCGAAGGAAATCAGCCATATTTCGTATGTACAGAGTAATAAAAATAACAATATATTGTTTATACTATACTATAGGCCTATAACAAAATCGTTAAAAAATAAAATCATTAGATCTTGAAAATTGGTTTTCTGATAAAGAAATAATAAAATCAAACTGGAAAATATGTTTACTTTGACCAGTTATGAAATATAAAGTAAAATATGAATGAAACTAAAAAAAAAGAAGTAGATGAATCGTAACAAACAAAAACCTGTTGTATTAAGCCTTCGGTAGCCTAAGTGGTTTCACTAATGGTTTGATTGTACATAGTATATATTTCGTTCCTCTTGTCTGTATCAGTATTGTGCTTAAAAACAACAAGAGAATCATTGTAGAAATGTAGCTCCGATTAAAATAATTATTGTTTATCCATAGAACTTTTGTGCTTACTTTAATGTGTTTAATTACTAAATGCCATTCAAACAGGCCTATCAGTAGCTAAATTGTATACATATGTGTCTACAGATACATATTTACTGAGTTAAAATCAACAATAAAAATATTTTTATAATTTTTATTTGGGACAGTCTTTATTTCTCAAAAAGACATTTATAGTGTTGAAATGATAAAATCAAACCAGAATTTTAAGTTTTCTGTGAATAATTATAAATTAACACTTCTTTTTATATCCTCTACAATGATTTTAAGTTTTCCCTGAATAATTATATAGAATATCAATAAATGATACTTTACAAATTATGAACCATAACAAACAATAGGGCATTATTATTCATTAGAGACTACATTTGACACGCCTTCCTTCCGCCATTACGGTATGACCGGTAAAACTGAATTTTTCCGACATTCTATGTCCACTTACGGAAATAAATGAAGGTGAATCTTATAAAGGAATATTTAATCTATACTTTAGCAAATGTTAGGGCATCTTCCACCAAAAAAGTTACAAAATTTAAAACTTTTTATTCGGAGAAAAGAAACTTCCTATCTTATTAATGGAACCAATCCATTACAGGAAACAGATACAAGGTCATTATGCAAGACCTACTTTTCACAAAAAAAATAAGTCCCCTTTTTCAGGCCTAGTCAGTCAGGCAGAGACTTAGTCACTGACACTCTGCGTGTAGGCTATATATGTAGCTTCTCAGATTGTGTAAGCCTATATTTGGTCCCTCACAATTACATTTACAAATTAAACTCAGCTTGGGTGCATATTGTTAGGTTGTAATCCCATTTACCTTATTTCTAATTCAGTGCCAGGGATATTTTTTTTTTCTCCCCCACTGAATCCCATCGCAACCCTTCATAAGAGCATTCGGGAAATACCCCCCCCACCCATTCCAACACATATTTCTCTATGAAATAAGCTTTGACACAATTACCAATAATAGCTTGTTCACTTTAATTAATCTGTGATCATTGGCAAATATGTCAGGTAGAAAGAGGTGCTTTCTGATAGCTTGTGTGATGTTTTATCTCTTTTTAATTTTCAGATCTTCTTAATGTTGCATGATATACATATGTATACAGATGTCATGACTATACGGAAGAGTCTGGCGTGGTTTCCCCTTATCAGTGGTGCAGGACGGAGGGTCTGACAAGGACAGCTGTCTAGTCGTTCGATGAGACAAAAAAACGAGGCCCTGTGTACACATTGGCATGCACGTAAAAGATCCCTTGGCAGTTGGAATTTGATATAAGAGTATGCTGTAGTGCCGCTGTCAGTGCAAAATTTCCCTCATAGCACACTGCATGGTGTATGCCCATCTTCATTAGCCCAGTCGGAGCAGAACAGTAGGACGTTAAACCCCCATTTCATTTCATTTATATGGAAGAGAATTTGACTGTATTCTAAATGTGTTTTAATCTGTGACATTTCAGTACCAGTATGAAAGCAAAGTTTTTTTAAGACTATTTGACATGCCTAATTTGGCCAACATCGTTTAATGATGGCCATATTTTATAAATTTTGGTATCTGTTTTAGAAATGTGTGTCCAGCTCTACAGATGGAACACAGAGATTTTATTCGTCTGGGGTAAGTCAGCTGTTTAGCCTACATGCATATACCACCGAAACAAGATATGTAACTCAAAGAAAAATACTGTAGATAACACATTCTTAGTTATTGTTACTGAACAGTAACAGCATATACTATATCGTAATGTCGACAGAACTGTGATCTTATCTCGATTTACGCTACCGAAACATGTCTTTCCTTTAATTGTCTTGGTTGAATAAGCTTACAATCTTGAAAACAGATTCTGACATTGGTCAAAAATATACAGCTGAATGGGAACCACAGTTGCTCAGTAAGTAGGTCATTGGCTTTCTAACCTGGAGGTCCCATGTTTGATCCCAGCATTGGCTGTGAAAGTTCATCTGGATTTTTGGTTGTATCAGTGAGTACGACGTTGGTTCACTAACCTGGAGGTGCCGTGTTTGATCCCTGCATTGGCCTAGAAAGTGCATCTAGATTTTCCAGCGTAGTTCTCCCTTTTAAGTGATGTAGGCCAGAGCGCCGCTGTCCAGACAAAATTTTCCTTATAGCATAGTGTATGCCAGTCTTCATTAGCCCAGTAGGAGCAGAACAGTAAGGTAATACTTACACACCATTTCATTTATTGCTGAATGGCCTTTACATCAACTTCCCTACTTATGGGCAATTGTGAATAAGTATTATTTTACATTTGTAATTTATTTGGTAGGTACAGAGAGTTACAATGATACCCGGGGATGGAATTGGACCAGAGATTTCAGCTGCTGTGAAAAAAATATTCTCTGCAGCCGGTGTAAGTCTTTTTTTCTGTTGATAAAAATATGAAAACAAAATATTCTCTTTAGCTGGTATAAGTCTTTTTTTCTGTTGATAAAAATATGAAAACAAATAAAAAAGGTAATCACTCGCTCTAGCTCTTCTTTGAACACTTGAAGACAGTGAAGTTGAACTTTTTTCAAGGTCCTAGATATAAGCCACATTTTCTCTCTCATAAAATCGGACACATTTGATTTAGAAAAAGATTTAGATGTTATGTAATAAAATAATAAACATTTTAAATCATCAATTTACTCTTAAAATTTCATGTAGACCAGAAATCCGGTATTTAGTTTTGATCTTTTGATATTGTGAATGGCAGACTATTTTAATTTGATCAGTTACGTAATCCAGTATATCACATCTAGAGATAATGGCCGGAAGACTCAATATATCATTACATTTTATGTCATAAGTTATGCACTTATAAATCCACTTTTATATACACGATGTCCTATGAAATCTACGACTCGACCTTCGATCATATAACTTTCAGAATATTCGAAGATTATACTATAAACTATATAAAGTACGATTATAGAGTCAATCATTCAAATTATGAATTCAATTCCTTATTTCTTATGATAGCATTTCCTAGTGAATCAATATTATGTAAATTTACTTAGGTATTTTGATTACCGTTCACTTTTTTCTTGGATTATGTCATTATGTGGTAAGTTATTTAATAGTCTTAACATATACTATTAAAAAAAGTAGGGGATATTTGATTTTGGGGGCATAATACTAAAATATGCAAATTAACATATACTATTCAAAAAAAGTAGGGGATATTTGATTTTGGGGGCATAATACTAAAATATGCAAATGACTACGAAAAAAGTCACTATAGAACCTAACAGAAGAAACATTTCCAGTTACATGTGACGCCCAAACGCACCAATAGCTACCGCATGGAATGCAGGTGATGCTTGGGATCATCATGGGGGTCCAACCCAAGATTTGCACGACTCTGACTTTGAATGTTACAGTCATTGTGGCATTGAATTCCAGGGTGGAAACATCAGTTTAATTGTTTTAGTGACCAGAAAACAAATTTTGATATGCGTCGGCTTACCCAAAATGAAAGGTCACGTGCCCTTGGCATGCTACAGATCGGCACAACACAGGCGGTTGTGGCGCGGACGATGAATGTTTCTCAGTCTGTCATAAGCAGGCTATGGTCCAGATACCGTGATACACAATCTGTACAGGACAGACCACACTCAGGTCGACCAAGGGCGACAACTCAAGCCCAGGATCGATTTATCCGTACCTTGGCCTTGAGAAATCGTGTCATCACAGCAAATCAGATCAGCGCTCGTCTTCAAACAGACACTGGTGTGAGAGTGAGTGGCCAGACGATTCGGAATCGACTGCATAGGGGTCACCTTCGCGCCCGACGTCCTCGCGTGATCCCTTGTTTGAGAGATCATCACATTCAGGCAAGACGACGTTGGTGTAGGGATCGTCAACACTGGGATAATCGACGCTGGAGCAATGTGATGTTTTCAGATGAGTCAAGGTTCACTGTTGATTTTTTGGACAGACGTAGGAGGGTGTGGCGTCGTCGAAACGAGCGCTTCCAAGACGTTAACGTCATCAGACATGATCGATTTGGGGGTGGTTCTGTTATGGTGTGGGGAGGCATCACTGTTGCTGGAAGAACGGCTTTACATGTTGTTGCAGGGCGTGTTACAGGCCAGTACTACCGGGACAACATCTTGGCAGTCCATGTTGTGCCGTTCGCACAACGTCATGGCCGCCGTTTCATCTTCCAGGATGACAACGCAAGATGTCACAGGGCCAGGATCGTTACAGGTTACCTCCAACAACAGAACATCACCACATTACCTTGGCCAGCACTGAGTCCCGACCTCTCCCCCATCGAGCATGTCTGGGACATGCTTGGACAGAGGTTACGTCAACGTCAACAACGTCCTGCCAATGTCCAAGAACTTGCTGCTGCGTTGCAACAGGAATGGGACAATCTGGACCAAAATGACCTTAGACGTCTCATTAGGAGTATGCCACGTCGGATCAATGCTTGTTTGGCAAACAGAGGAGGATTTACCCGTTACTGACTTGGTTGTGATGCTGTGGTAACTTTGCTGTTTGACCCCGGGTATCATTTTACCCTTATAATGGTCAGTCTGTGCCTTACTTAGTCTAACGATCATTTGGAATAAATCGATGAATGTGAACTTCATTTCATTTTGTCATTTGTTTCTTCGTCAGTTTCATTAGGTGACTTTAATAACACTTAAAAATCAAAAAACCCTACTTTTTTTGAATAGTATATTTAATTTTTGAGAGTATTTGTTCTACTATATGCCTGATGGTTTTTTTTTTCAGGCCCCAATAGACTGGGAAGATGTTGATGTCACACCTGTTAAAGGGGCCGATGGTAAATTCCGTCTTCCACAAGCTGTCTTTGATTCTATGGCAAAAACAGGTGTTGGGTTAAAGGGACCATTAGCTACACCTATTGGCAAAGGTCATCAATCTCTTAATTTGGCACTCAGAAAGTAAGAATTTTGATTATTTACAACTAAGGAAATGAAATGGGTTTTAGCTCCCTTAATTTCTGATCCATCCAGGCTAATGAAGACCGGAGTACACTAATTGATGATGTGGAACTTTTGAAGATTACTAAAAATGTTTTGGTTTTTTAAAACAAAAATAAAAGTCCTTTGAGTTTCTGCAGAGAGAACTGAAATGGAATTACACATCCTGCTTTTCTCCACCAACCTTGCTAATGGAGATGGATTCTGGAGAGAAAAGATGGGGTAGTTATTTTCAACAGATTAATTCCAGTATTAAAAAAACTTATTATTTTGTATTTACAGAGCATTTAGTTTATATGCTAATGTACGTCCATGTAAATCTATAGAAGGTTATAAGACACCATATGATGATGTTGATATTGTTACTATTAGAGAAAATACAGAAGGTGAATACAGCGGTATAGAACATACAGTAAGTTTATTATTCCCCAACCACTTATACTGAAGGGGACTATAGGTTTTATTTCAGTGTGTCTTATCATTTTTGTTTTCTGGATCGAATGTTAATTTTTGATTAAACTTCAATATATTTGAAATTCAGTAAAATGCTATATATAGCAGAAGAAGAGCTACAGATCAAGTTCATGTTTCGTGTGATTCTGTAAAAGTTTTTAATCAATTATCAATTTGTTGACTTAAATTCAATGAAAATTCTGTTTTCATGAAATCGATAGATTAGAAAGTGATGGGAACGTTAGATGGTCATAACTTGTGTTATAATTAATTGATTTTGATGGTTTTTGGACCAGTATACTTTTTGGAAGTCTTTATTTGTGGAATAGTTTAGGTTGATTTTGAAGAATTTGACATGTCTGTAGGTTAAACATCAATGATCTGAAATAGCTTGTGTATATTGTATATAATCTCTAATAGGATATATAAAATCTTTTTCTTACATATTAATGTTTATGTTTTCCAGATAGTAGATGGTGTGGTACAGAGTATTAAATTAATCACAAAAGAAGCATCTATGAGAGTTGCTGAATATGCATTTGAATATGCTAGAAACAATGACAGAAGTACAGTTACAGCTGTTCATAAAGCAAATATCATGTCAGTGTTTAAAACTTCATAAGTTCCTTGAATTGTTAAAGTCCCTGAGCGTGATTGAGAGATATAAGAAGCCTTTGCAAACTAAATATTGTGAAAGTTGAATTTCTAATAGGAATATCAATCCAATAATGATTCAGTTCCATTCAATATTTACAAGATAAGCGAGATTCCATCTATATGCTGCCCTTACTACTTTATGTAAATGGCACACTTTTCTCTCTTCGCTTTCTTGACAGAATCTTTCCACGAAACAGGTCTACATTTCTTTGAAGTTGAACTTTCCGCCATTTTGTAACCTACTGTAGGCTAATAACCAGTAAAGAAATCTTTCACATATGCGTTGAAGTTCCGATAGGGTTAAAAAAAAGTTCCCCACTCGATTTCTTTTTTATCGGAGACTTGGCAATTTATCTACCACCAAAATAGAAAAAATAAAATTTTTCATCGAGCCCTTTCTATAAAAACAGTAAATATTCATTTTTTCAATGTGACTTATCGAATCAATCCAGTATTTCAGATATAACAATCCGTAGAGCAAGTCATGTCAGTTCGCAGTTTATGTATGCCTTGAACAATATGTTACAACACATTTTAACAGTTTTTTTTAGCGTATTCCGGATGTCTCATGTCGCGCTTATACCCCCCACTTTCCCACGATTTGCTGAAATCAGAGTGAACAGACTCCGATGCCTGCTCACTCCAAAATTTGAGCCTGCGATTGAACGATTGCCTCTCCGTAGCTGGTAATCGACTCTGGTTCTGATCATACAACTCCTTCTGTGTTTCCAGAAACTGTTCGACATGATCGAAAACCGCATGGCATTTCGACCTTATCAGAATTCCGATATTTTTGTACGAAGGAGTTGTATGATCAGAACCAGAGTCGATTACCAGCTACGGAGAGTCAATCCTTCAATCGCTGGCTCGGATTTTGGAGTGAGCAGGCATCGAAGTCTGTTCACTCTGATTTCAGCAAATCGTGGGAAAGTGGGGGGGTATAAGCGCGACATGAGACATCCGGAATACGCTAAAAAAAACTGTTAAAATGTGTTGTAACATATTGTTCAAGGCATACATAAACTGCGAACTGACAGGACTTGCTCTACGGATTGTTATATCTGAAATACTGGATTGATACGATAAGTCACATTGAAAAAATGAATATTTACTGTTTTTATAGAAAGGGCTCGATGAAAAATTTTATTTTTTACTATTTTGGTATTAGATTAATTGCCAAGTCTCCGATAAAAAAGAAATCGAGTGGGGAACTTTTTTTTAACCCTATTGGAACTTCAATGCATATGTGGTTTGTATTGTCGGATGATGTCATGATATTAATTATACTTACCTGCCGCCATGTTAAAATGTTCGTGGATATAATTGATTAATCCGATTGAATCCAAGCCGGGAGATTATCTAGCATTGATATTTTGATTTACTTTTATTTTTACAGGAGAATGTCAGATGGTCTATTTTTAAGTTGTTGTAGAGAAGTGGCTGAGAAAAATCGAGATATTAAATTTAGAGAAATGTATCTTGACACTGTCTGTTTAAATGTAAGAATAGTGTTTATAAATAGATTATTGAGATGCCATAAAAGTAATTTATTTGAATATTGGAGGACTAAAACTGAAATCTGTAATGCAGTTTTGTAAAAGCCATGTTCCTTCAAGGGAAATGGTATACTTCCATATTGGCTTGATCACTCAAAATTTTGTTTGTCTGAAAATATGAACTCTAACAGGTTCACCAGTCTGTTGAATGGAAATAATGGATTGTAGATTCAATAATTAGACTGATGATGAGTAGGTATTGATTAATTACATAATCACTTTAAAGGACAATATTGGTGGCAGTCATTATCACATATGTGATAGAACTGGTTAAACACATTCCATATAATAATTTTAACACCGAGATCATTGCTACGATTGATGCGTTATGAAGATTTCAAGAAAGGGAAGTGATGAATGCAAAAGGAAAACACAACTTATCCTTCTATATGACTAACTTAATTGGCGAATGAAAACATACACAGGCGAATTTCTGCTCACTTATAATTCCTTCGAAGACCAAAAGTTGTTATGTGAGGCTGTGAGAAGATATCTGATAATTCAAAAAAAGTGATTGAATGTCACGAAATAAGGGAAAACAAGAAGAATAGAAATAGTCTGCACATTCCCTTGTTTTTATTCATTCTATACTTAATAAAAAAACATGGTAATCAGGGCTTGCCACGAGCAAATTGGAGGCGAGTAGATGACTACTCACGCAAATATAGACTTGCGCGAGTGAGGCGAGTACATGTATTTACTCACGCAGAATGATGTGCGTGAGTAGCCATTTAATTTCATTTGCCTAACGGCAATGCTCTTGTCACTTCGGTGGAAGCGGACGTTGAATAAAGCTATTTCACACACAATGGCAATGCGGGATCGAAGGAATTGCTATAGAAACGACAACATCCGCTCAATTTTTGATTATCCAGACACGGCAAAGGACATCCGCTTAAAAACCGCCTGGCAGTACGCGTCTCAAAGTATTTTTAGTAACAACAGGTGGCACTTGAAAGACACGCCGCGTGCGCAATAGTGCATCAATATGAAGGCATACATATTGTTTACGGCTTTTTTATTACGATATTCCATTATTTCTGATTAAATTATTTTTTATATTTGCGCGAGTACTTAATCACTCACGTAAATTTGGTTTTACGCGAGCGTAGCGTGCGTGCGAGTAATTACTCGCGTCTCGTGGCAAGCCCTTGTAATGCACAGACTTTTTCTATTTTTCTATCGTAGCAATGATCTCTGTGTTAAAATTATATTTAAAACATGTTGAACCAGTTCTATCACATATGTGATAATGACTGCCACCAATATTGTCCTTTAAACTTTACTCATTGTTTACATTTGAAATGCGTAAAAAGTAATATTTTGAACTTACTTAATATCTTTTGCAGATGGTTCAAGATCCATCTCAATTTGATGTACTTGTTATGCCTAACTTGTATTGTGAACTTACTTAATATCTTTTGCAGATGGTTCAAGATCCATCTCAATTTGATGTACTTGTTATGCCTAACTTGTATGGTGACATTTTGAGGTACTGGTAATTCAAATTATTTTAGTTATGTATTATTTGTTAAAATTTAAGTGTTCATAGATGATTATTAATAATGGAGGACATCTGGAGTTTTTATAGTTTAATCCTAATTAAACAGTTGGTTTTATAAAGACAATTATATTTAATTTTTCAGTGATCTTATAATGGCATTAATACTTAATATTTCAGTGATCTATGTGCTGGTTTAATTGGAGGATTAGGAGTGACACCTAGTGGCAATATTGGAAGTGAAGGAGCAATATTTGAATCTGTAAGTGTATTGCTATTTTATTGTCCTCCCTGGAATCTTTAAAAGCAATTGTTTAGATATAATACAACCTTTTTCACTCCATTACAAATGCCTTTTGAAGTAGGCCTATAGACCTTTGAAAATGTTGTTTTGATTGATTTTAATTTCCAATTTTAGGTTCATGGTACAGCTCCTGATATTGCTGGTGAAGATAAAGCCAATCCTACAGCTTTATTACTCAGTGCTGTCATGATGCTTAGACATATGAAATTAAATGATCATGGCCGTAGAATAGAACAATCATGTTTAGAAGTTATCAGAGAAGGAAATGTAAATATTTCATTTATAAATAAAAAGATGTTCTAATCTTAACTTTCCCAGGCTGCAGAATTGTATATTTACATGTTAATATTCTGTTATATAGTATTAAAACATTCAAGTTGCTTTTAAAGAGATTGCTTTAGCCATCTGATTATGTTTAGTCAATGCTTTGAGTACTATGACGTCAAAATGGTGTATACAATTAATACTAATGGTGACCTTTCAAATACTTATGGTGGTACAGATGACAATGTTAGTGTTCGAAAATGTATGGACTCTGTGTTAATTCGGTGATTAGATTACAAACATTTCTGAAGCAATTGTTTATATTTTTTATTATCTTTTTCAGCATCTCACAGCAGATCTAGGTGGCTCAACGAAGTGTTCACAATTTACAGATGAGATTTGTAGGCGGGTTGAAAGCTTGTCCTGAGATAAACTGTAAACTCTTGAAACCCTGTGATTTTAATCTGTTGTCATGAAACCTCTTCTTTCTAATTCTAGTTTATATGTTGTTGTTTTACATACCCAAATTAATATATTCATGCTCTGTCATCAGATATGAACAGATGAGAAATTGTATGAGAGAAAGGAACAATAGGAAAAATACTCTTGGGTGGAAAAATATCTTCACTATTGTTTTCACCTGTAATTAATTTATTATTTGTACTAATTGCCAAAGTTAATTTATGGTTATGACTGCCATCTGTGTTGAAGTTATCTGGAAATTTAAAGAAGTAGTTACTGGTGGGATAAAATAAAGAACAAGGTCATGATTGTAAACTCATCATTTTGTGAGTTATTAGTATAATAGAATTTAGTCTGTCTTATTTGACCACATCTTAAATATTTATCTTAATCACTAGGATAACATCAAGACAATATTCTCTTTTTTTTTATTAGCGGGGTAGTTTATTCATTAAAAGATGAAATACTATCATTTCAAATGAAAACATGAAGAATATTTTGTATGAATGGTTGATAATTATTAGAACTTGTGATAATAAAGAACAATACAGAACTTTATACTCTTAAAAAGATAATTGCTACGTTTTTTGTCATCTGAATAGAAAGCAATAGCTGAGGGTGCATATGCCTTCTGATGCTGATGAAAAATTTAGGTAGATGGATGTCATCAACTGAATTTAATACTGAATAAAGTAGTTTTTAAAATAATTTATTTTTTTGTACTACTAATAAATTATATTTTAAAACAATATTTTGTAGTAATTAAGTATTCTTGTTGTTTATTCTATTGTATGGTTGTTATTGGAAGAGATGGGAAATTGTAATAATTATATTGTCCAAGCAACAGTTTTGCTCACTTTTGTCTATTTCTTATGCTTTACATTATTTTTCTGAAGTTTGTTATGAAGTCAGAATCGTATTTGTTAATTTGTTTTAAGTTTACTGTTTACAAAAGACAATAATTTGATTAAAAGAGCTAAAGTAATATAATAGAACTGTATGTGATCTAACACACAACACATAGTTTGCCTTATAAGTATGTCCCAAATATAAACATGTAATTAAAATCAATTGTGTTAGTCTATATAAAAACATGTTCTGGTTCTCAGATAATCCTTCAAAAACATCTGGTGTTTATTTTCTTGATTTTAGTTTTTCAAAGAATTAGGTATTGAATTAAAAGTCTTCTCATACAAATCACATTTCAAGGCACTGCATATATCTTATTTCGCTGTTTAAAGCACTGTATGATTATCCAGTATCATATATGATTGTCCGTAACATCAGGATTTCATACCTGATAATTGAACCTTTCGGGTGGAGGGTGGGGAATTATGAACATATGGTAATTACTGTTTTTATTGCCACCAGCCTTTCAAAGAAAGCAGGGGACTATTGAAATGGGTCAGTCCATGTGTCTGTCCGTCTGTCCATCACACTTTTTGGGACACAATAATTGCCCTAGAATGTTTAAACTTGTTGTAGGTGTTTATTAGGTGAATGCCTTGATGGAGTTTGAAGGTGGACATTTTCTGCTTAGGCTAAGCAAAGACAAGCAGTTTGATGGACATTATAACTTTGATTCTAACTAAGTGAGAGAGTTGAAACTTGGCGAATAGTTTCATTATATCAATATGTTGACTAAGTTCGATAATGAGGTATCTGAGAAACAGAATTTTGTTTTGTATAGCCTTAATTATAGTAATTATACTGCTTTAAAATATGCATTTGCAAAGCCAAAATTTTTCTAGGTTATCCCATTAAACATATACCCCCCCCCCCTTCACCTCTCTTGCATGTTCTAATTTCCATAGTTATTAATTAATCATACTATAGTGTATTTCAAAAGTCTCATAAAACAAAACTATATTATCAACCCACTTCTCGCACAAATGTTACATCAAATGAAAATACAGGTATGTCTTTTTACTTTGATGTTTATTTTAAGAACCTCTCAAAGATTGTCATTTTTATGGAACTGTTGAAATAGACTATTGGTAAAAAATAAAATATAGAAAGCGAGTAATTTATTGATAGTTGAGGTTTATATGTACAGTATTATAGTAGATCTGTAATTGTTAAGTTCTCTGTGTGTGAGTTGATAAAAATGTTGAAATTTATATAATCTTGTCTTTTATTGTCTTTCCAATCTGGGGCCTATGAATCCAATCCAAAGAACTTTTAATCATTTGGGGAAAAGATGGAGCTGGGCAAATTAGACAATGTTTTTGTCGACCAATATTACATATGTGATAGAACTGGTTAAACACATTCCAAATATAATATTAACACAGAGATTATTGCTATGATAGATGTGTAATGAAGATTTGAAGAGATGCAAAAAATGGAAAACATGAGTTATTATATAACTGACTGAAGAAGAGCTGGATAACAGATACACGGTTGATTTTTAGCTCGCTGATAATTCCTTTGAAGACGAAAAGTTGTTAATTATATGAGACTGTAAGTGGATTTTTGTTCAAATCGGACAATTCATAAAAAGAATTGACTGTAATGAGATAAGAGAAAGTGAGAAAAATAGAAAACCTGTGTATTAACTTGCTTTTATTAATTCTATACTTACACATTGTGTAATAATTATAGTTTATTCCAATAGCCCTATTAAACTAAAGTCACATTATTTTTTTACTAAGTCAGTTCCTTTTGTTATTGGCATGTATTGGATTAAAACTTCATGGATTATGGCCCCTGATTGTATGAAAAAATCACCTGGGGCCAGTTTCACGAAATTTTAACTAAGATAAAATCCAACTTTTATTACTTTGATTGGGTAATATAAGATTGATTTTAGTGCTTAGCCAATCAAAATTGAAGTATCTACTAAAATTTGGATTTTATCTTTAGTTAAAATTTCGAGAAACGGGGCCCAGTTTATGACCCAAAGATCCTGGTTTCTTTCGATATCGATCGTAACCTCCTTAATTATACGAAAAATCATGATTTTAGCTTGTGGACCCTCTAGAGGTCACAATTTTTTATCCAATTTTGAAAAAAATTTTAAATTTATCACCGTTACACCCTAATGATGGTTGAGTTCCAATTTCATGAATATCGGATCAAACATGCCTGACAAAATGGCGGCTCCTCGTACGCAAATAGTGTAAAAGTATGTTATACCAAGGTTGTGGACCCTCTAAAAGTCACAATTGTTATCAGATTTTGATGAAACTTAACATGTATGTTTATGTCCCAAAGATCTTGGTTCCTTTCGCTATTTGCACAGATCAGACCGTAACTTCCTGGATTATGGCTCCTGAATGTACAAAAAATCATGTTTTTATTTTGTGGGTTCTCTAGAGGTCACAATTTTTTTTATCCAATTTTAAAAACTGTTTAAATATATCACCATTACACCATAATGAAGGTTGAATTCGAATTTTGGGAAAATCGAAACGAAACTGCCTGACAAAATGACTCCTCTTTGTATGCAAATTGTGTAAAAAGTATGTAATACAAAGGTTGTGGACCCTCTAGAGGTCACAATTTTTATCCGATTTTGATGAAATTTAAAATACATCTTTATATCCCAAAGATCTCACTCCCTTTTGATATTTGTGCATTTCAGGCCATAACTTTCTGTATTATGGCCCCTGATTGTACAAAAAATCGCTTTTGTTTTTAGCTTTTTCTCTATCCCTCTCTTGCAAAATGTGGGCGTATCTTGCCTGGGACAATCAGTTCTTTTTATGAATTGTTAAGTGTCAATCAGATATCCTCTCCTCTTACAGTCTAATATAACAACTTATTATAACAACTTTCCGTCCTCAAAGGAATTATCATTGAGCTGAAAATTGTCCGTGTATCTGTTAATAATTCGCTCTCTGCTTCAGTCAGTCTAATGATAACTCATGTTTTCATTTATTGGGTAACTTCTGTTTCTTCAAATCTTTGATATGCATCTACCGTAGCAATGATCTCTGTGTTAATATATGTGGAGTGTGTTTAACTAGTTCTATCACATAATGTAATATTTGTGGACACCAACATTGTCCTTTAACATTGGCGTCAATGAGGAAATTAATAGTGGTCTGCCTCCTTTTAAAGCTTTGCAGTTGTTCCCCTTCAATTGGCATCTCCTGCATGAAGATGTAAAAAGGGTGTGTTATTAATAACAACGTGAAAGTGAAAGTATTGAAATATAGAAAGTAAATCAAACCAATAGACCTAACTTGTATTAATATTTTTTTAACGATATTAGTAGGCCTACTGGTAGACAGAATCTCCATTAGGAACATAAAAATCATAGAAAAGTCTGTGTTACATCGTCATCAGTGTGAAATATTAATAGGCCTAATAATGATGAATTGTAGACCAGAGTTTTTTCAGGGAAAAGTCTGTGTGAAATTCTTCAACGCCTGAAAATCTTGGAAGACCTAAGCCTGACCCCCCCCCCCCAAAAAAAAAAACCCAGTGCTGTTTCCATTCCACTGCTATATGTAGGCCTACTACAAAAATTATGCCAATATTGTCTGCTAAAGAAATCTGTATGATGGTGATACTGCATCAGTGCATGTCAATAATAATATACTAGAGCTGCTGAATTCTGACATTGCATCAGCTAGCCTATTTTAGAATTTAGATGAGATTCAAATGTCCAATATTCTAATTTCTCAAACCACTGAGTTTAGTCATTAGAAATGGGTGTTTGTAATTTGTGGAATGTATTGGAACCAGTAAAGAAACAGACCAGCCTGTCTCAACTATCCGGTCAAACTGTAGCCATAGATTTAGGTGGATTGGTAGTACAAAGTTTTAAAGCTAGTCAACAAAGTACTGTTACTGGTACCTTCATGATGATAAGGTAATATGAATTCAAAATATTTATATAATATATATGACCAAATTGAAACTGACTATATTATAAAAAAAGTCCAGATACACACCAATATCTTAAGTTTTACTCATGTCAACCTTCACATGTAAAACGTAATATTCCCTAGAATATGGCTTTAAGAGTATGTACTATAGTATCTAATAGTAAAGTTAAATACTCCAAACTTTGTGAATTAAGAAATTTCTTAATAAGACAGAATTATCCTTCAAATTTTATTACTAATGGATTCAATAAATTTAAAGCATTAAAAAGGGACTATAAAGACTTAAGAAATAAAAGGAATGAATAAATCTGACCTAATCAAAAGTTTGAAAATGAAATTCATACCATACTGAAACATAGTAAATTGATAAATAGTCAGAAACATGTCTCCAAATTTACATAGGATTCTGACGAAATCCAAATTCAATTCAGATATTTTAAAACCTTCAGTATCGTATCCAAGTGTGGGGAACTCAAGATGCCATTTGTGCTCATATTTAATTGAGTGAATTTAATTCAAATGAATTTTATTGAAAAATATATGCCCTCCTTAAATCGGAAAATGGGATAATTGAATATTAATAATGATAGATGTTACATTTTATTATCTGGAATTGTACTTAATTTGATATATTCTCCTGTTTTGTAACTATGCTATGATGTCGCATCTTTGTCTTATAACGTTTATTTCTTTTTTCTATGTAATTTTATAAAGAGAAAACATTGGGCCCTCAATTATGTAAAGTAATCTGGGTCTGTAGTTTAAAGGAATGTTGTTTGTCATGAAGCCTAAATATTCAGGCCAACTAGGGAGTGTAATTGTTGAAATATGTGTATGTATATATATATAGTGCAGTTTTATGTTGTGTTTTGCTAATTTCAAATCTAATAATGGTGCCCTTAAAGGAATGTTGTTTGTCATAAATCCCTAAATATTCAGGTCAACTGGGGAATGCAAGGGTACATATAGTGCAACTTTACGGTTGTGCTAATATGTGTATATAGTGCAGCTTTACGGTTGTGCTAATATTTTGGGATATATATAGATATGTATCTAATGACTGTTGATTAAGGAATCCTATACTATTTCAAATCTCAAAATGGTGTCATTTAGAATAATACCTCACTAATAATATGTACATGTTCATGTTGTCGAGAAGGGTTTTCTATAAAGAACAAACTAGCCTAACTTGACCATCTTTATAGGTAGGCTAAAAAACGCCAGTATTTAGGGCTTTTATAATATCTCCTTTCTATTCTATTAAATCAGTATTCATATAAATTTTTCAGGGTGTTGTTTTATAGGATTTTAAACTTATTAAAACTAGGAATAAAACCATTGTTTGTCTTAGATGGAAGTGCACCTTTAATTAAAGCGGAGAACCTTTTGAAACGTCAACTACAACAAGGACATTCTCCCAGTAAAAGTACAGAAAGGTTAAAGTTTCAGACATGTCAAGAAAAGGTAATTATCTTGCTACAGTTGAATTACAATGGAAAATTTGATGATCCCTGATCATCAAGTTGTCCCATGTATATTTAAAAATGATTTGATCACAGATCAGGATTGTAAATGTTATTATTAATGCAGAACTTTGTATATGATGCCTACACTCTCTTGAAATATGTTAAATAGAAAAGCATCAGTCATTAACTAGTACACTATAAAATGTATACACTCTGCAGGATATGATGCTTGCTTTCCTGTCTTCAAATGAAATCTTTGCTCTCCTTGTAATTATATTGTCTCGTGGAATGATCCGATTTAGGTGACTTTCTGTAGAATCACTAAAGTAGTGCCACTGAACATCCAATCCAACACGAATATAATATATTTCTTGTATTTTCTCAGTGTTTGCGACTACTAGATGCTTTGGGAATACCATATATATCATCAACAGGAGAAGCTGAAAAACTGTGTGCTATACTAAACAATAGTCAGGTAATTAAAGTAAAAGTTAAAGAGTGTACAGCTTCTTGATTCTTCAATACATGACTTAGTGATGCATTATATCATTCATTGCATAACATCCATTATTATATTAGCTAAATATGATTATAGTTTGGTTTGGAGTTCGGACTTGCATTTAAATCACTGTGGAATTTACTGTCTGGGCCATGCTAAATAAAAACAAGATGATTTGTCATTAACCTCTCATGCCCTTGCACTGGTTTGGAAGGCATAGAGAAAAATAATATAAAAATATATATCTCATATTTCAACACATGGAATATCAATGAGACTAGTCAGAAGATTCATACAGTATCTCAGCAAAGTAAGTTAGCTACTCCCTGTATGGTTTGGACAACAACCTTTGCTTACCTCAGTCAGCTGCTGTATGTTAAACAATAAGCTTATACATAAGAAAATAAAATACTATACAATAGGTTGATGTTTGTACAAAGGTTCAAAAAGATTTCTTGAATGGATAATGAAATATGCTCCGGAAACAAAATCAGAATAGACATCAGAAAATAAAATCATAGCTGTTCTTGTTAGACCCTCTTTCCTGCATCAATGACAAGGGAGAACCACGTCGGAAAATCTGGATGAACTTTCCCGGCCAATGCAGGGATCGAACACCCGACCTCCAGGCTAGCGAGCCAGCGTCTTACCCACTTAGCCAGCGCGATCCCCCTGCTGGTTATCAAATGCCTCAGAAAAATGTATAGTTTTCTGGAACAAAAATGAAAAATATTAAAATAGATAGATGTTTTATTGGTTGTAAAAATTATTTTATTTTGTTTGTTGTTTGTTTTTTTTTGTAGGTTGTAGATGCCTGTATGACTGATGACAGTGATTCCTTCCTGTATGGTGCTCAAACTGTTTATAGAAATTATGAACACAATAATAAGGTAAGTCATTCAAATGGTATTTTAAGAGTTTAAATGATGACTTACTTAGATACTTTCCCGCATACAAAATGTGTGATTTGATGATATATTTGGACTAAAAGCATATTCAAACTAATTAAATCAAAAATTTGCTTCAAATCCCTCTCAAAACTTTGTTTTTCGCGGGGAGATACATCATGCTATAAATAAACTGCTATAAATAAACTGTTTTTAGATGCCATGATTGTCAGTTAACTTCATTTAGGGAGGATCCATTTTCCAGAATGTATTTTTATTACTTACTGTCCATTTATCATACATATTGAGGCCTAAGTAAATTCTTAATTATTTTCTGTCAATTTCTTTCTCCGCCGATTAATTGCAGAGTTTTTTGTATGTTGACACCCCTCAATGTTCCCAAAACTACCTCACCATTTGATTAAGAAATAACAACAGCTCCCTCAGTCAAGCTAGCACACAATAAGCTAGCATACAACAGTCGGGCTGACAGTTAGTGATACCCTGACATTTTTGCCCAGTGGCAATCTAGTAAGATTGGGTGTCTATACCTTCCATATATACTAAATTTACCATACTTTTGTTGGAAATAACCACTTGATAAATACTTTAGGGACAATGTATCTTTAAGTATTATGTGATGAAATATAAATAGGTGAATTATAGATAAATTAGTATGAGATTATGTGATATGAATATGTCCATTATGAGATAAATTAAATATGAAATATAAATAGGTGAATTATAGATAAAGTATGCGATATAAGATAGATGAATAATGTGATATAAATAGATTAATTTTGAGGTATAGATAGATGAATTAAGAGAAAATAGAAAGAGTTACTCAAGTAAGTTTCAATAGATTACAAAGCCATGGAATTAGAAACTATTAGGCCCATATTCTCGAACGCTGTCTAAATTAGTCATTGATTAGACTTAATCACAGATTAGCTCATCGGAGATTAGAAGTTCATTTTAGTTGGTATTCTTGAAGCTCTGATCAGCTAATCTCTGACTAAAATAATTGCTAAATCAATGATTAAAACTCGACATAATCTTCCTTGGCCAATGTACCATAAACGAGAGACTATCCCTAGTCAAAGATTAGTTAATCAATGATTTTGAGTTTTTGTCAATGATGTTAAGGGCCCTTGACAGGAAGTAGAAAGGAAAGGCACATGAAGGGGTTAATTTTATTCATAATCTTATTAAAGATCATTTAAAAAGACAAAGAAATCGCTCCAATGCATTATCTTCTGAAATTCAAATTTTCATAGCTCTCAGATATTTTGCTTCTGGCACTTTTCAAATCAATGTTGGTGATTTAAATACAGTATCTCAATCTACAGTGAGTAAGGTTATTATAAAAGTGTCAATTTTATTAGCTGAAGGCGGGTTGGATGGCTGAATGGTTAGCTGTATCATAAAGTCTGTCATTGAGTCGACTGGCGTGGTTTCGAATCCCCGGTTGTACGTGACAAGGAGTAATGTCGCCTGTCCAACCTCGTGGGTTTTCTCCGGGTCCTCCGGTTTCCTCCCACTGCTAAAGACCCCTACGCGCAAGCGAATTATGTAAATAAAATTAAACCATATGTTAGTCCCGAAATGACCTAGTTTGTGTCGAGTGGACGTTAAACCCCATTTCTCTCTCTCTTTATTAGCTAAACTTAGATCGAATTATATTTATTTTCCAAATGATCCAATTAAAGGCTAAATCTTTTTAAATTGATCAGTCTCCAAATGTTGTAGGGGCCATAGATGGGACCCACATTAAGATATTGAATCCTGGTGGAGATGAACCAGCTAGATTCATAAATAGGAAGATTTTTTTTTTCTATTAATACTCAGGTTATATGTGATAGTGAAGGCAAAATTTTGAATATTATTTCAAGGTGGCCAGGCAGTGCCCATGATAGTAGGATTTTTAATGAAAGTAATATGAAGGAACGCTTTCCGAATAACTAAATTTCAGGTATTTTACTTGGTGATCAGGGTTATGCATGCCTACCGTATTTGATCACACCTATGGCAAACCCTGTACCACATAAAACAAGAGGAGTTATTGAATGTTCATTTGGCATTTGGTAGCGCAGATTTCCAGTAATGCAAATTTGGATAAAAACAAAATTACAAACAGCATATGTTATCATTATTGTCTTGGCTGTTTTGCATAATATTGCCCTTTTGTTAAATGAACAAGAACCAAATAATGATGAAAATGATGAGGATGATCATAATGATGATAATGAAAGTGAAAATAATGAAAGAAATTTAGCCGGGTTAATCGTATGGCAGAATTTAATTCAAACACATTTCTGTAATGTCATATGAATAATATGCACCATTATGTATGTAAACTTTTAAGGCAGGGCACTACTTATAAAACAGTCAATTTCTATATTGTATATTGTCGTCGCCCCTGTCCGTCCATCCACAATTTGTTTTTGTACACTCTACAGGTCAATTTTTTATTCGATTTTGATGAAACTTGCAGGTTTATTTCCCAAAGTTTCCCGTTCGGTATGATATTGGCATTAATCGGAAAGTAGAGGTCACATTTAGCTTTTGGACAATTAACTTTGTGGACCCTCTGACGCAAGTTATATATATTCATAACTCAAATATCTTGTTTCCTTTTGATATTAGAACATATCGGTCCGTTACTTCCTGGATTATGACACCTGATTGTAAGAAAAGTCTCGCTTTAGCTTGTGGATTCTCTGGAGGTCACTTTTTTTTATACGATTTAAAAAAAGTTTAAAATGTCAATGTTACACGTAATGACAGTTGAGTTCGATTTTGTGAAAGTTGGACTGAAACTGACCGCCAAAAAGTGGCGCCTCGTTGGCAAATAGTGTAAAAGTATAATAAGGTTCTCTAGAGGTCACATTTTTTTTGTCCCCCGCCTTTCGAAGAAAGCAGGGGACTATTAAAATGGGTTCGTCCGTCTGTCTGTCTGTCTGTCCGTCTGTCTGTCCGTCCGTCCGTCCGTCCGTCTGTCTGTCCGTCACACTTTTTGGGACACAATAACTCTCTTCCTAATTGAGCTAGAATGTTCAAACTTGGTGTATGTGTTTATTAGGTCAATGCCTTGATGGAGTTCGAAGATGAGCATTTTCCGCTTAGGGTAAGCAGAGATAAGCAATTTGATTGGTTGATGCTTTGGGACACGATAACTCTCTTCCTAATTGGGCTAGAATGTTCAAACTTGGTGTATGTGTTGATTAGGTCAATGCCTTGATGGAGTTCGAAGATGAGCATTTTCCGCTTAGGGTAAGCAGAGATAAGCAATTTGATTGGTTGATGCTTTGGGACACGATAACTTTTAATTGAGCTAGAATGTTCAAACTTGGTGTATGTGTTTATTAGGTCAATGCCTTGTTGGAGTTCGAAGATGAGCATTTTCCGCTTAGGGTAAGCAGAGATAAGCAATTTGATTGGTTGATACTTTGGGGCACGATAACTCTCTTCCTAATTGAGCTAGAATGTTCAAACTTGGTGTATGTGTTGATTAGGTCAATGCTTTGATGGAGTTCGAAGATGAGCATTTTCCGCTTAGGGTAAGCAGAGATAAGCAATTTGATTGGTTGATGCTTTGGGACACGATAACTTTAGTTCTAATTAAGTGAGATTGATGAAACTTGGTGTATAGTTTCATTACAGTAATACCTTGACTAAGTTTGATAATGAGCATTTTCTGCTCAGGGTAAGCAGAGCGATACGCAATTTGATTGGTCGAGACTTTGGAAAACAATAACTCTCCTACTTTGATTGTTAGACTATAAGTAAAGATATACTGTTTGATTGTTCAATACTTTGTAAAAGATAATTTGTGATAAATTTATATGTGTCCTCTAATTATTTTCCTATTTCGGCGGGGGACATCAGCCTCACTGTTGGCTTGTTTTATCTGATTTTGATAAAACTTCTGTTTATATCCCAAAGATATGGGTTCCTTTCTGCGCATATCGGGTCCAAACTTCCTGGATTATGACTCCTGATTGTCCATTTTTTGCAAAATGTATGCTTATCTCAAACTTTCATGGCAACCGTTTGTTAAAATATATGGTCATATCTGTTTGTTTTTTTGGTTTTTTTGTAAAATTTGACAGAATATATTTAAGCCATGATAAAAGCCAATTTACCTGAAAGTATCAGATACTATATTTTTGTTCTGTTTTTTTTTTGTTGTAAATAAGAAAATATTTGATAAAAGCCAATTTACCTGAAAGTATCAGATATTTTAATACAAAAAACAAAAGTATATTAAAATATACTTTTGTTTTTTGTTATAAATTATAAAATCTTTTAGAATTTCTCTGTACTTTTTATTGAAAAATATTTTTTTACATACCCGACAAGAGCAACGATTATAATGTGTCATTTTCCAGGCTTAATCAGACTTTAAACTACCCCCCTGGACTGACTAAATTTTGGCGTGGTTTAGCCATTGATTAAATTTTAGTCTACATTCGAGTTTAGTCCGAGTTTATGAGTTAGTCAACGATCGAAAATATGATTTTAGTTGATATTCCCAAATGCAGACTAATCCTCCAATTTAGGTAATCATGGATAATTTTAATCTGAGATCAAAATTTAAACAGTCTTCGAGAATACCATCACCAAGTTAATCAGAGATTAAATCTCTGATTAACACTAATCCACGTTTGAAAATATGGGCCTTAAAGTTTTGGACCAGGGACTATGTATGTAAATAGTTGGTCTGCAATGGTTATTTATTATTTCTGTTACAGGATACAACAATAGAAGTTTATCATATGAAAGATGTAGAAGAAAATTTAAATTTAAATAGAAGAGATTTAGTAGCATATGCTCTATTAGCTGGTTGTGATTATAATGAAACTGGTGTACAGGGATTAGGACAAACCAAAAGTTGTACATTACTACAAGATTTAAAGAAATCTCATCCAGATGTCTTAGAAAGGTGAATAATATAAATAATTGGTGATTAGTCTATAATTACTACAATATCATACATAAATTATGTATAGCATCTATAGACGGCCCACGTACATGTTTGGATGGGACGAAACAGCAATGACCATGTGCACATAAAAGAACGTTTCCTTATATTTCATACAGGAACATATTAATCAAAATAGCCACATGTTGCGGTCTCAACATATAGTTTACTAGTTCATTGCAATAAATTAGGAAAAATTGGATTTATTGAAAGTTTCATGTCGAGAGTTTTTATGATAATGGTTACTATTAATTGCAACTATTCCAGTTTTTGAACTCGTGATTTTGCTCATTTCAAGGTTGTGGAAAATGGTATTGGAATAAAATCTCATGGAGACAAGTATCAAACTTATTATTTCTGATTTGTGGATTTGTTCTCATTGAAATCAGTGTAGTCTCTAAATTTTCAAGACAGTTAAATTAAAACTATGAATAGACCAGCATTTTCATGTGGGCTTATATTGTCGTCACCCCTGTCCACCCAGACGTCTGTACGTTCACAGGTCACAATTTTTATCTGATTTTGATGAAACTTAAAACATGTTTATATCCCGAAGATCTTGGTTCCTTTCAATATTGGCGCATATCGAACTGTGGCTTCCTGGATTATGTCCCGTGATTGTACAAAAAAATCTTGTGTTTAGCATAAGTATGGTTGAGTTCGAATTTCATGAAAATCTGACCGAGACTGTCTGACGAAATGTACGACCCCCCCCCCTCCACCTCTTTACGCAAATAGTATAATAAGCATGTAATACCAAGGTTGTAGACCCTCCAGAGGTCACAATTTTTATCTGACTTAGACGAAACTTGAAATATATGTTTATATCCCAAAGATTGTTGACACTCTAGAGGTTACAATTTTTATCCGATTTAGATGAAACTTGAAATGTATGTTTATATCTCAAAGATCTCGATTTCTTTCAATATTGATGCATATCATCAGACCTTAACATCCTGGATTAAGGTCCAATAATTGTATGCAAACCAATAATTGTATGCAAACCAATAATTGTATGCAAAATAACTTTTTTTTAGCTTGTTCTTTGTCCATCTCTTGTAAAATGTGGGCATATCATGCGTGGCAACTGCTTGTTATTTCCTGAAAGTAAAACATGCTGTTAAATATCAAGGTTAGCGCAAGCACTGTTTCTGTTTCTTAATAATTATCTTATTTGTTACTTTTTGTCTATTCAGAATACAGTCATGGAGACAAGATTCACAATTGAAGGCTTTGCAAAAGAATCAAGAAAAATTAAGAGAAATTAAAAAAGGAAAACATTGTTCATCATGCCTGCATTTAGGTAGACTCATGGAATTTATAATCTTGTATCTCAGTTAGTGATAAATTATAAATACATAAATCAGATGTTTATTTCAGGATTTTACTTAAAAGTTTCCAGTGTGCTATATTTCTGTGTGTTTTAAATTTCATATATATTTCTCAATGAAATGAAATGGGGCTTTTTGTCACCAATCAGGCTAATGAAGATGGGCATACATCATGCAGTGCGCTATTAGGGTAATGGTTTCCTTTTACATGCCCACCAACGTGTGCATATAGGAACTCAGTTTTTCATTCCATCTTAACGACTAGACACTGTTCCTTGCCAGCCATGCCAGGACCTACACCACTGACATCGGGGGAAACCATGCTGGATAATCCCAGCGAACGTATATGTCTATAATGTATATATTGTATGCCCTACAAACAAGGCTACCTGTCATCTACTTGATTCTGTTTTTTTTTTACACATGTCAAATAGATATATTTATATTTTTTGCGATATATGAAAGTTGTCTATATTTTTTGACCAAAAATAGGTATAACTTTTCTGACAAATGCAAACGTCACATGTTATTGACATATATTTAGGAACTAGTTTATATATTTTTTTCATAAATAGACTTTACAGCAGGGCTTCCACTTTAAAATTTTCACCGTCGGTCATTTTTGATAACGCACGAAAACTTTGCAAAATAATACATATTTGATGTTTTTTATTTATGGTAGGGTATTGTGAATTCTCGTATAAAACGAAATATTAGTAGGGCTTTTAATAATTATTTATGAATGAAATGTTCCCTTTTGGCTATTTATATAGCTTTTATTATCGGAATATTTTATTTGGTTAGAACAAATAAAGAGCTTAATTGGCCGTAGAAAAATCATTCCAGTAGCTCACACATATTGCCACGTGCTCGATAGAAAACACACTGATCTTGATAATTTTGAGTTGTAATACAATAACTTCAAAATGAAGATGAATAAATTATATAATTATCCACGGCATAGTTTTCACATTTATCGGTTTTAGACATCTCTTACGGCATTACGGACGGCAGAATTGTGACGTAAATCCTATTAATGAATAACTAAATAACTAATAGACAACTAAATTCACAGCTAGCGATACTAGCGCCCCCCTAGAATATCGTCGTGCATAATAAGAGTAACCATCACTACATATATAACACATGGAATTATCAACCGGAATGTGTAATTTTCTTAGTTTTTAGGTAAGCAAGTTAACTGATCTCTGGCTTTTATTGACACAACACTCAGTATAATCTGTAGGTTATGAGGCTTCTATACGTGTAGATTATTCTGTACAGGCCATAGAATTTTATAGTTACATAACGGCGGTCGATCGTAGTTATGTTTGAAAATTGGGTTTTGAAAAATAGGCTATTTTTTCTGGCATGCAAAATGACCGATGGGTCGGATCTATTTTCAGTCATTTTCCATAGCCCTTGGTCTTAAGCATATACGGACAATGTGGATCCGTGCTTTACAGTGATGGACATCACACATTGCATTGTGGTATAATTAGATTCTATTAATCTTGAATCTGTTTTTATATTCTAGGTTCTAAAAGTATTCACCTACAAAAAGGCTGTGAAGTATGTAACACAGTTAATGACTGCGCAACAGACAACACAGTACTATGTCAATGTCCATGGCATCATCTACATAATCAAACTGCATTATTTGCTACAGAGCTAGGAATACGTGACAAAGCTTTAAGAGATGATAAATTTCCAGACACCAGGGTACGGTTAGGATTTGTAAATTGAATGGGATTTTAATGTCCTACTTTTTTCTCTATCTGGGTTAATGAAGACAATAATAACTAAAACTCCTAAGGAGTACTGACGTGTTTCAGTATGTCACATCATGGCAGGTCACGCCTTGTCACGTCAACATTGAAGTTACACCATGCATTATTGAGTATAGTAACATCCAATACCAATTAAAGTGGAACTCTTAATAAAACCAAATTTTAATGATTTTAGGATTTTAAAGATTGACTTACAATTTGAAAATGGTGGCACTTCCGGTGAATTTTGACTTGATGAGATTACTCTAAAAAGTTGATAGACGACTCGTATTGACAAATATTTTTAAATACCCCAAATTAAAGAAATTGAAAATCTGACTTCATCTTCAAAGGGGAAATAATCGGAAAATTCTTGTTGACATTTTTGGCTTTATCCACCAATTTGTAATGTATTCTGAAAGTTTCAAATCGAAAAAATTCAAAACTAAGAAAGTTATGCTCTTAATTTTCACTCTTCTTTTTGAGCTTAAAATTAGGCCATACGCATGCGTCGTACGGGTCACAATGTCTTAAAATAAAAGTTGAGAAATACAAATTGATGAAAACCACATTCAAATTGGTTGAAAAACCAAAAAATTTCCTTTGTTTATTGTCGATTTTCGTCGATGATCTCACTTTCTGATAACATTTCTGAAGTTTTATTTATTCTCAGTAAACACTTTTCAGACAGTCAAGAGTATAATTCTGTAGAATATGAACTTTTTCCCCAAAAGAGTTAAATAATAATAATAATCCGAACAAAAACTAATAATAACTGACATGTTTCGGTACTTCAAGTCACGGCAGGTCATGCCTTGTCAGGTCAAGACCAAATTTTTTGATATTAATTGTTACTAGACATCAGGGTCATCATATATACAAGGGTCATTGAAAGGTTAGGTCACCAGATAGAAAGTCAAAAGTCGAACAAAATACAAAGTGAAACCAGAAATGAAAGAAATCGAAATTCAAAAATCGGCTCCCTTAAAAGCCTATGCATTACCATGTTTTTATACGCCCACATTGAAATGTGGTTGTATATTGTCGTCGCCCCCGTCTGTCTGTCCGTCCAGCATCCACAATTGCTTGTGGATGCTCTAGAGGCTAAAGTTAATATCCGATTGACTTTAGGTTGATACACAGAGTTTAAGGTCTTGAGACAAACAAGTACATGTGTATTGTCCTTCCGTCAATCCTTTTTATCTGATCTTGATGATACTTAAAATATATGTTTATATCCAAAAGATCTTGGTTGCTTTCGATATTCATGCATATCGGACCATAATTTCCTGGATTATGGCCCCTGATTGTTGTAACAAAAGTTGCATTTCTTTTTTAGCTTGTTCTCTATCCATCTCTTGCAAAATGTGGGTGTATCTTGCATTGCATGACAACCATTTGTTTATTATTCTTTTCTCCAATATATTTATGTTTTCATAGATTATTGATGAATTTCTAAATGATGATGGAAATAATAGAGGAGTACATGACATAAAATGGAAGGTACCTAATTGGAGAGATCTGAAAAGTGTTTCAGAGCTATATTTTAGATGGAATCCTGATTATTTATTAAAGCAAGTAATTCCTGCTGTTGTTTATATGTCATTACATGGTATTTTACCTCTAACAACTATTAAACCTTTACAGTAAGTCACAGTATCATGTTGTCTAAGATATTTTTATACAAATACCTTACAGAACTACAATATTGTAAAAGATGAATCTCTTAATAGGAATATCAGTCCAAAAATGGTTCAATTCAGTTCAATATTTACAAAGATGATGAATTGAAATTCCATCGATCCATGCAGCTTCTTGTGGCAACAAGCCCACCACCATCTTTATGTTTTTCGAAATCTAATTGATGGAACTGTTTTAATCCGATGGATCCTTTGATTTTGTTTTCTTAATTAAATCAATCTGAGTACAGGTTAGCATGGATTAAGCAAAGAGAAATTTATATTTTATGTAAAATTCAAATCACAAACAGCTACTTTAAAAGTTTTAAGCATGGTGTAAAGCCCTGCCTCACCACCTTCAGTCAGTCATTCTTGTATGTAAACAGGAGTAATGTAATCATGCATTTATAAATCTCCCAACAGCAATGCTAGCTGTGCTACACTGGGGTGCTATTATACTTACTAGCAAACAACACATATTATGAACATTAATAGTTTATCTTCAAGAATATTTGTTCTTATGACTGAAAAACCAGCATATGAGGATTTTTTTGCTAGGCAGTACAAGAAACAAATATCAATGAGATACACACAAAAAGTAACACAGAAAGGGTATTGATTCATGTGACTGAACAACCAGAGTGATGAATAATTTATTTAATAGTGGAAATATTATTTTTATGCAAACATATACCGGAAATTCATTCTATCTATTCATATGTCACCCAATCCTAACTGATGTAAATGTATTTTGTGGTGCTCTGGAAGATTAATAATTTTTCGGCCATGTAGATTTGTTTTGTGTATATTTATAGGATTGAGAAGTCATGTCAAGATAATTTTAAAGCTTGCTATCAAACCCAATGGTCTATCCAAGGTAAGTACTATCTATTTCAGAATATAAAATTGCAACATTTCATAATGACATTGATGCAGAAAAACTAGCTCTTGCTTAATTAAAATATGAAGAGTTATTTTGTTAGGTGTTTAGACTAGTTTAGAGTGTTTATTATGCCATCATGTCTTATAATATAGAAATGGATGTATTTTATTTATATCAATTTGATCAGGATCTTTAAAATATGAAGATACAGAATGCATCTACATTTTCTATTGCAATTTGATTTATGTAAAAACCAATTCCTCTTTTCAGATGATGGCTGGCCTAATGAGAGTGACAGTGTTGAAAATTACACAATTAAAACAGAAAAGTGCCTGTTACAATCTAAATTCCCATTAATTGTTAAAGACTTTGAAAAACAGCAAGAGGAAAAAGAAAAACAAAAGTCTTCAGGTAAAAATAATTGATTTCTTTAATTTATTTACATCATTTCGTATTCACAGAATTCTATAATTGACAGCCTTGTCAACTTCAATCAAGTATAGTTGGATTTTAGACACACCCACTAATGAGTTAAATTACATTATAAATAAATTTGTCAGAGCTGAATATATATTTTTTTTCACGATTTTACTATGCAATTCGTTAAGTTTAATGAACTTGTGTATTTCTGATGATACTTACTATTCTTAAATTGTCATTTCAGAAAAGCAAAAGAAGCCTCGAATAAAAAAGGAACCACATCAAATGACAATGGATAAGTTTTTTTCTTCAAGAAAAAGATTAAACTTTGACAGTAGTAGTACGAGTAAAAAGAAAAAAAGTTAATGAGACCAATTGATCATGTAAAGAAATTGTGTAAGACTAATACTGTGATATAACAGGCAACACTATTGTGTCTAACCTACACCTCTGACATATAGGGCCCTAAAATTAAAATTTATATTATTTTAAAACTAAATAACAGAAATTGGTTCATTATTTTAAAATGTCAAAAATTGTGAATCTTTTTCAAAAGTACTTTTTTTTAAAGATATATTTAATGTGTACAGGTCACAGTTCTATGGAATACAATTACTGCTTATTACTGAGTGACGTTTCGACTAGGCTTCTCTAGTCATTAACAATACAGTAATTGTATTCCATAGAATTGTGACCTGTATACTCTAGTTCAATTACTAAATGCCATTGAAACAGTTTATATTTAATGTAATCTTGGCAGATTGCGTCATCCAAAGTATTTAGTTTATCATAGTTTGTTCTAGCTATATAGTCCCTTTCATTTTTGCCTGCATAATCCATCCCAGTTGATTTCATTTGGGATGATGGAGGAATATCCATTATTATTAAAATCTCTTCTACTTCATATTTATCATTAAAATGCAGTAGTCATAAAATATACTCTTCAAAAAAAGTAGGGGATATTCAGAAACAATACAAAACTGCAGAAATGCACTGCTGTTTTTATTAGAGGTAACCAGTGTATGTTAATAACAGGCCAATTGCCTACACATGGACATAAACAGTTCATATGGGCGGCTTATCTGACGGCCCCATTTCACTCGCAAATACATACACTGTCAAAAGTGAAAATGGACTTTTTTGATTTTTGTCTTAATAATGAGTAATTGCTCCACCAATCCTCAGACATTCAGCAATTCGCCGTGGCATGCTCCTAATCAACCGTCCAATCACGATTCGGGGCAATCTGACCCACTCCTCTTGCAGTGCCACCGCCAATTCTTGCATTGTTGTCGGTTGACGTTGACGAACACATCTTCCGATCAAATTAAACGTAACACACTAAAGCAAAGATACGCTAAACAGTAAATCTTATGCAAGAACCAATAGGAAAGCAAACATGGATAGATAAACCAGCACACGGCAGTTTTCATCAGCCCTTCCTTGAAGTGTCAAATTTGACAATGAACCCCTCCCACGTGTATGGCGCATGTGCAGCTCAGTGGTTCTCTTGGGGCGGTAAGTTCTTCATCTGTGAACTATTTATCATATCACAACCTGCATAGGTATTTGCATTTCAAGATCCCCTACTTTTTTTGAAGAGTATATTATACCAAAATTTGACACTGCATATGTGCAATGACTTTCATATAACATACATGTACATGTATGATAAAGTCCACAATGGTCACATCTGCCATTGTATATCTGATGTAGGCTTTTGTGTATATGTACACGATATAAAAAATTGATAACAAATGAATATTTATAAGGTGTGCCTATTGTTATTATATAATATATACATGTATGACACCTTTTATATGGCCTGTACAGTATAGAAACTACTGGACAATTTAATGCATGTACCAAAACTTTTGAAAAATAAAAATTAAACTAGAAATACCTTCTTTTTTTCCTCCGCCTATTAAAATGGGTTCGTCCGTCACACTTTTTGGGACATAATAACTCTCTAATTGAGCTAGAATGTTCAGACTTGGTGTAGGTGTTTATTAGGTCAATGTCTTGATGGAGTTCGAAGATGAGCATTTTCTGCTTCGGGTAAGCAGAGATAAGCAATTTGATTGATTGATGCCTTGGGACACGATAACGTTTGTTCTAATTAAGTGAGAGTGACGAAACTTGGTGTATAGTTTCATTACATCAATGCCTTGACTAAGTTCAATAATGAGCATTTGATAAGCAATTTGATTGGTCAAGACTTTTGAACACAATAACTCTCATTCTAATTGAGTTAGAATGTTCACACTTGGTGTAGGTGTTTATTAGGAGAATGCCTTGATGGAGTTCGAAGATGAGAATTGTCTGCTTAGGGTAAGCAGAGATAAGCAATTTGATTGGTTGATGCTTTGGGACACAATAACTTTAGTTCTAATTAAGTGAGAGTGGGGACACTTGGTGTATAGCTTTATTACATCAATACCTTGATTAAGTTTGATAAATAACATTTTCTGCTTTGGGTAAGCAGAGCGATAAGCAATTTGATTGGTCAAGACTTGAACACAATAACTCTACTTCTAATTGAGGTAGAATGTTCAAACTTGGTGTAGGTGTTCATTAGCTCAATGCCTTGATGGAGTTTGATGATGAACATTGTCTGCTTACGGTAAGCAATCTGATTGGTTGATGCTTTGGAGCACGATAACTTTGGTCATAAAGAAGTGAGAGTGATGGAACTCTGAATATTGAATCATTATATCATTACCTTGACTAAGTTTGACGGTGAGAATTTTCTGCTTAGGCTAAGGAGCGATAAGCAATTTGATTGGTTAAGACTTTGGAGAGAGAGAGAGAAATGGGGTTTAACCTCCACTCGACACAAACTAGGTCACTTCGGGTCTAACGCATGGTTCAATTTTTTATTTCAATAATTCGATTGCGCGTAGGGGTCTTTAGCAGTGGGAGGAAACCGGAGGACCCGGAGAAAACCCAAGAGGTTGGACAGGCGACCCTACTCCTTGTCACAAACAACCAAGGAATCGAAACCATGCTATTTGACTTAATGACAGACCTTATGATACAACGAGCACGTACATGCTAACCATTCGGCCATCCCCCCCTCCCCTTAAATAAAATGAGCTTCAAAGAAAGCACACCAACAACTACATGGATGGACCTCAGTTTTCCATACCAGTTTAAACTGTATTACAAAAATATTACCCATCACCACAGTTCACACATCCTTTCTAGCTTTATCAACATGACTCCAAGTAAGTTCAGTAATTACGCCACATGGTGAATGAAGACAATCTCGGCATGGTTTGCGAATCGCGCATCTTCCACGCTCCGTCTGTGTGAATTCCAGGTACCGATAGATATTAAAATAATAACTGGATCATACATTGATGGATTAACTGACCAGTTGTTAGGTAAATTTAAATCTTCATTGAATATAATTCCCTGATAGAACAATGAATACACTGAGAGAGAAACAGTGGATATTTTCCTAACAGAATTTCGAATGGCGAATTCCAATGACACGTGACATATCGGTTGGAATTAGGTCAATAAACCAGTTCTAAATAGTGTTGACCATTATTATTTTTTATTTTATACACATCCTGACAGAGACTTAATTTTAAAAATATTATTGAAGGCTATATCATAGTCATACATAATTTTATTTTATAGCAACTTTAGTTATGGTTGTCACATGATCATTGTGCCGTTTGTCTATCATCGACGAATGAATAAAAAGTTTTGCAAGTAACGTGACTAATTACGTGATGGACAAAAGACTACAAATTGTCCTATGAAGAAATGCCATGGTGCTGTATTAGCTTATTTTGACTATGGCATTTTCTGGATATTACTTTTGACACAATTTAAGTGTTTACCAAAAACTCCATCTGATTGTTTTATTTTTATCATTGTTGTTGTACTTTGGTGTTTAGAATAACACAATAAACACAATTTTGTTTTTTTAGACAGTATTATTAATTAAGATTCGGAGGATTAGCGCAGATTCCATACATGAGAATCCTCTTAGATTCTTGCAAAAAATGACAAATTTCTAGCCCTGTGTAACACTTGAACAAAATTTCTGTTCAAATTTATTCTACACACACAATAAAAACAATGTTTAAGATTCTTTCAATTTTTAAAAACATTCCACAAATGTTCTTTACTTTCCAAGAACCACATCAAGATTTAGAATCTCCTTCATGGCACTGTGTCTTTTTCTCCATTGTGATTTCCTATGTAGATCTTAGTATGTAGTTCAATGCAATTCCTGTCACGTTCCAAAGAATTCAATACCTGTACTAGGTTTATACTATCTAACACCACTTCTAGAACTCACTCTACCCAAACTTTGACTTCGACCTTGTTTTAAACCCTGGGAAATAAAACAAAATATAAATAAAAGAATATTTAAAATGACCAACAGCAATAAATTTTGATCATATTTTTGTAAATACCATTTTTGGACTGATTTCACAATATTCCACTTTCACAATATTTCTCAATCCCTCAAATGCCATTCAGAGACTTTAATTGATAAAGTAAAGTATGATTGAATCACATGTCCTTTGTACATTAATTTACAATTTCAAGAGAGAAAAAAAAAAATCAGCTGATAAAGCAAATAATCCAGTATGTATAATATTTTATCACCCAATAATACATTCTACAGTAGATATTGCTTGTGTGATATATTTCATAATCTACTGCGATATCTCCTTAGGAGATATCGCTTTACATGAATTTGATTGGTCAGTTGAAAAGGAACTACTTTTTTTTTTTTTTTCAAAGAACAGTTCATTTCTTATTAAAAGTATATTTTTTTTTTATTAAAAATGAACTATTGTTATTCAATTGACCTAGATGGAAACACTGGGTCAATATAAAGGACTTTGCAATGGTTGAATTGCTGTCAAAAAATGATGTATCACTACGCCGTAATGTTCAGTAAAAGTGAAATCTACAGCAAACAATTATATTTATCTATTTGCGTATGTAAGAAGGGATTGGGTGATAAATAAAATCTCCTACTCGTCTTTTTTGATATCAAAAAATATCAACACTCGTTGATAAAGTAAAAAAAAACTTGGCAAGCCTCGTTTTTTGTTACTTTATCAACTTGTGTTGATATTTTTTGATATCAAAAAAGACTGGTAGGAGATTCTCTATATATTTAGGACTGAAAGCTTCATCACAGATCTAGGTCTTCAGTTACTCTTGGTTTTTCTTCCCAACCCCTGACTATACTAATAAACTTTGAAGCTTCTGTATTATAATAATTATATTTAGATTTAATTTCTAATCATGAAATTTGATAAAATATTTTAAGACCGAAAATTGATGTACCTGATAGTATCCTGTGTGATAACCATTCATATACCAAGATATTAACATACTATATAAAGCTTCATTATCGTCATCTACATCTTCATCTAAAAATGGTGGAGGTGGTGGCAATGAAGGTATTCTCTAAAACAAAAACAAATAAAGGTAAAATGATGAATAAATAATACATCTTAATGCATTATGTAAGAATTAAAGAACGCGCTGGTTGTTCTTGTTATAATAGTTCAATGAACAATGAATTAATGAATATATTGAAAATTTCAGTCAAATATCTTCATTTTCATTTTTCATGTTTGGCTGATTAACCGTTCATATTCTCGACTGTCAAGTACCATTGCCACAACAATAAACAAAGTCTCAAATCTCAGTCATTCAATCAATAGTTTCAAGGAGTAGTAGCATATCGTTTAACGAAGATATGGCTGGCATTGTCTGATTGATTCAATATCTAAGCCATCAGATGGTCTATAGAGTTGATTATAGACTTGTCATATGAATAAATGTCTAAAAAGTAATTTACATAACATTTGAAGACAGGAAAAAGACCTGCAATACGCAGATATACATATCAATTTATTATATGTAGATAGAAAATCATAAATTTCACTTCTGTACGTAGTTGAAATACTATACATATTCTGCTTTTCAGACAGGATATTTAAGACAGGTTCTCACTTGTCACTCAGAGATTATGTCTGCAGGGCTGACAAGGAAAGTGTGCCTAGTCATTTGGATGGGATAAAAAATCATGGTACACAATAATTTAAATTTGTTGGGAAAGGCAGACCTAAATGATTAAACTTGACTCATCTTTTATATTAAGAACTTTGTTTTTTTCTTTACGCTAAAACTAATAACTTACTGGTGAATGAGATGCTCTATAACTGGGCATATGAGAACCAGGTGGAAATGGTGGCTGTGAACAAATAAACAATAGTATTAAATAAATATTTATTATATAAGACTATCATAATTTCTTCAATGAAACTGTAGTTCAACAATACCAAAGGATGCGACTTGTTCTGTTTTTAGGCTACAAGATTAATTGGAAAATCGTGCACAAATACACAGACTTTGTATTGTTAAGGCAAATGAAAGACAGCCGGAAGAAATCAAATTTGATGCAGTGTCCACTCACTCTATTAAAATAGGGAACAACAAGTATTGCCTAATTCAGAAACCATTTATATAAATATATACAAAATTAGATATTCTATTAGGTTTTCTGGACCATAATTACATGTACATTATTATATTTATACAATTAAATTATATACATACAAAACATCTTTCTCCCTAAATAATGATGGCCCTAATCATAAAGAGACTGGCTAAAAGGCAGCAATGTCCAGCAAAGTTTTTCTATACTCACTGGCATCATTCCTGGAAATGGTGGAGGTGGAGGATGAAAACCAGGATAGTTCCAGGAGTTTTGATTAGCTGCTCCTAAATCTGGTCCATCAGAATAATTATGTTTAGAATGTCTTTCATAACCAACACTTTCAGTCTACAATGAAAAACATCAACAACTGTACCTAAATTAACTATTCCTTTAATCTATAATATTTCTTACTTAATTCAGATATATAATTGTGTCAGAAAGAACACTTTAAAAATATTAAATATCTGCGTGATCAATATTAAAACTGTGAAATATAATGAGGTGCTCTATTGAGAAAAACTGATTTTCAGATACTGAGATCACACTATGAAGAGTATTACAGGAGTAATTATGGCTCCCAGGTCCTTTTTACATAAAATATGGTGAATTCATTAACCATCTCTTAAATCTGACACCAAACTGAAAGTTCTATAGTATTTCAGAATAGTGAACTTTAACAAGCTACACCAATATCTGAACTGACAAGCTTTCAATCAAGCATCTCCTTTGAATTACCTCACTAGCAGACGTGAGTTTATCACTGAATGAGTTTGAGCTGGGTCGTTGAAGATCAGCTAGATTTTGTTCTTCTTCGTTACCATAGTCTATATATTGTACTACACATGTATTATTACTGGTATCTATAGAGATTATTTTAGCATCATAAACAAAATCGTCTTCTGAATATACTGCCCTACATAGATCACCAACTTGCCACTGAAACAGAATTGTTCATTGCTTAGACAAGTACATACAATTTGTGTATATGTGATATATGATGGTTGTATTGATTTTTATCAGTCAATAATATATATATATACACGTAACGGTGCTTTTATCTTTAAATTAAAACATTTACCACATATGGTTTTGTGTGTCAGTATCTTGTAGTGGCAATGTACACACTTTAAATCTAATACTGTTTAAGGACAATATTGGCGTCCGTCATTATCACATATGTGATAGAACTAGTAAACACGTTCCAAATATAATTTTAATGCAGAGATCATTGCTATGATAGATGCATTATGAAGATTTCAAGAAAGGGAAGTGACAAACTCAAAAGGAAAATATGAGTTATCCTTCTATATAATTGACTGAAGTGACAAGTGATCACTAATAATTCCTTCGAAGACCAAAAGTTGTTATATGAGACTGTGGGGAGGATACCTGACAATTCAAAAAAATAATTGACTGTCACTAGATTTATTCAAGTATGTTCTCTTATTCTTACCTTTTGCTTTTTTCTTGGTTTATTTTTACTTTTACTCTTCTTCTTTTTTCCTCTACCACGTTTCACTTGACCAGTAGCTGATGTTGCTGCTGTGTCCTCTATTTCTCCTCCATTTAATTTTGCCTTAAAAATTTTGTTTACTTTACTTTTTATTTTCTTTTATGAATCAAAAAATCATGATATGGCTTATCAATCAATCTAATTTCAGCTATTCTATAGAAATAAATGGATATTAACTAGATATTAATTAAAGAAACGTATAATTCCAACTCGCTCAAGAATAGGATCCTACGTGTACCTATTATAACCATCAATTTAGAAATATATTCAAATTCGAAAAATATATTGTTGCCAAAAACATTATGGCATACTCCAAGCAAAGCTTGACTCGTTTCAAAAGCTACAAATTTGAATTTCATTATCATATAATATAGTTTATAATTTAATACATTTGTAAAGAACATGCCGCACACACCAGCTAGATAGCTGTTCAGTGGTGCAGGTTATTATGTATCTGATAAATAAACCCTTAACATATGTCAAATGTGAATACAGAACTTGTCACCAACGGCGGCAATGGCAGAAATATGAGCGAGATATCTGTATCTTGTCATTTTAACAATTGTGAGCTTATTATAAAGTAAGTTTTCTAGGTTAAATAATGTCTTTAATTGGGTTAATGAGCATATCTTTTATAACCAGAATGTGATTTATAAAATTTGTTTGATGAAGCAATCTATCACAATACAAAATAAAATCATACCTTCACAGCTGAAACTGCTTCATCATATGCCTTGATTAAAGCTGTATCATCCCAAGCATCACTGTCTTCACTCTAAATTATATTAAAACAAACTCTCATTATAATTTGCATAGTATTAGTATAAACTATGAATATTTAGATTTAATAATTTAAATGCTAAAGATCAGTTGCCAGTTTAACACAGAAAAATATGGTTTGCCCTTCAATACCTAATTAAAAGATGTAAATAGTAATCAATATTTATACTGCACTCATTCCATCTAAACAGTATGCTCATTGCTCATCCACAGTTTGCTATTCCTAAAAGAATGCTTTAACAGATTAATTGGATAAGCTTATGTCTTTTACATGAAACGGAATAATTTACATTCAACAGCTGACTGGAAATACATGTACGTGTGAGGTGATATATCGTCTAGGTGATATGAGGTGATATATCGTCTAGCGCTGCATGCTACTCTACTGTAAACAAAATGTGGTACATGTTTGCCATTGAGGTTATCAATCTAAAAATATTTACTATAAAGTAAGCCATATGCAAATAAAATTGTTTGCCTTCGAGCATGTGCATTCTGTTAACCAAATGTTACTATAAATTTTCCAGGATTTAGATGATTCTAATCAATGATAAAATAGCTGTTTTTGTAAAAGTTCTTCTTGATTGAATATGAATAACAGAAACAATGAACGATGATTATTTCAATCAGTGAATAGTTTTTAAACCTCAAAATAAAAAACTAATAGAAAAGAAAGAAAATATATCTAGTCAGAACAGTTTTCCAAATATTCAATTGATCATGCCATACGCAAATATACTGAGCTTCTCACACGATTTTCTATAACAAGTGTGTGTGTGTGTGGGTGTGTTTTTTTTTCAAAAATAATTATATAGTTTAATCAAGGAACTAGAAATGTAGGGGTAATTTAAAAATTTTATATAACTTATCCGTGTCATTTCAGACTTACGACATTTCAAAAATAATTATATAGTTTAATCAGGGAACTAGAAATGTAGGGGTAATTTAAAAATTTTATATAACTTATCCGCATCCACATCATTTCAGACTTATGACATTTCGGACTCAAAAAAATATGGCCTCGACATTTCAGACTCGGGCTGGGGACATTTCGGACTCGGGTAGGTGACATTTCGGACTCAGGAATAAGTTGAAAGGAAAGGTTGAACACAAATGTCAAATCAATTTATAATAAGCTAAAAAACGATTTTATAAAAATATCATCCAGGTAAAATTTACCGCTCGCCATCAAGTACAGACTTATTAGTGAGCAGAAATTCGGCCGTGTATAGGAGCTTTTATGGTTTTCCCTTTTGACGTCATTTTCGGTCTTGCGCAGACCCTGGCCTTATTCGTAGACTGAAACCCATAGGCCAGTGTGTGTTTTTTTGTGAACATACCGTCGTACAGCAAGCTTCTTTTACATAAAATGGAACTGAGCGCCATTTCTATATATGTGTAAGCTTTACCGACCGATGCCAGAAAGCGATATTTACAAAAACTTTGATATAGGAATGATACGGCAAGTTTACAAGACCCGTAATTGGCCGTTTGCAATTGAGGAAACAAGTGGATGACTGATCCGTGCTCATATGGCCCGAACTAGAATTAAGTCAAGTTTATTACGCATTTTACGGTCCAACAGATGTTATTTATTAATTACGGGACTATTAACACAAAAGATTTAAATGGTCTATCCTATTTACATTCAACTGCCGACTGGACAGTTCTTTGCGAGGTTGATATATCGTCTGCTATAGCACTGCATGCTACCCTACTCGACACGAAACAGGGTACTATGTTGGTCTTTGAGGCTGTCAATTTGAAAATAATTCCAGCTAATAATACTATAAATAGTATGCAATATGCAAATAAGATTGTTTATGCGTATTGTTAGTCAATAGCTATTGTAAATTTCACCGCGTTTAGACAGCTCTAACCAATGATAAAATAGTTTGGTGCACGGGGTAAAACTTTAGCCATTTTTAGAAATTTTCCTCTTGATGGGATATGAATAAAGGAAAGAATAAAACGACGATCAAGTTGAATCTGTGAATATTTTTTAAAACTGTTTTTTTTCTGTTAATTGTAACCACATAAATCATCTTGGCTCAGCTTTTGGCACTCAGTGAAATTTTAATCCAATCAGTTTATCTTGCCGCAACCAAGAAGAAGAACGATACATTTGTGTCCATTTTATCAATTTCTAATTCAGTATTTGGTTCAGAGAACAACTGTTGAATGAAAATAATATGTAACTGGACTCGGTGCATTCTATACAGCGTGGTTATTATTTGTTCTCTTTTCTTAGATGTGCTACGGTCGTGCTTAAATTTTAATATCGTCTTGAATAATTCGTTGGTGGAACCGCAGGTCAACATCTCTAACCCATTCTATTATTTACTCTTATGCTCTATTTCATGGCATTTTACAAGCAAACAGATGTTATCTATTAATTGTTTGCAGTAAAATTAAAACAAAACATATAAATCGGCTTCATACAGCAATGCATCTTTGTAATGCTTTTGCGTACTGCGGTCAACTGGACCGTGTGCGAGCTTGACATATATCGTCTGCTACAACGCAGTATATCGTCAATAAAACGAAACAAAAATAATTTAGACACGATTTGAAATTGGTAATTTATTACGAATGCTACACGCAACTTACAACAAGAGTGGCATTCAAGAATACTTTTTGTATAAAGAGAAAAAGAGGAAAAACCCCATTTTCCCTAGCAATTACCATGTTAAGACCCGTGTTGAAAAAGGCCAGGCTAAAAATAGACACCGGAAATTTGTCACGCGTAAAAGCTCCTATATGTTATCACTCGTCGCTTCAGTCAGTTATATAGAGCAGCGACTCGTGTTTTCCTTTGGCATTCGTCGCTTCCGATACGGGAAACCTGTATTACTCAGCTATCATAGCAATGATCTCTGTGTTAAAAGTATATTTGGAATGTGTTTACTGTTTAACCAGCTCTAACACATATGCGGATCTAATGACTGGCATCAATAATGTCCTTTAAGTTACGTTACACTGTTATTAACAACAAGTCACAACGAAGAGCTTTTGAAATTTATCATTGCGCCATTTAGATACCCTGTATTGTGTATCTAAATGGCGCAATGCTTTATAAATTTCAAAAGCTCTTCGTTGAATAACAGTGTAACGCACACTCGACTGGTTCACTCTACAAGAATACTATATTATATTTAATAAATTTATGATTCATTATCTACTTTCATTTTTATATTTCTGCCTATTTTCATACTATAGGCCTACTGTTAGGGAGTTTTAGATTCAGGTCAATATGAAAACGATGTAACCTTCTCATAAAATGTGACAGTATATGATACACGGTGTAATTAAAACGAACAATAAATGCATTTCATTGAATTCATACATCACCACGCTGAAAAAGCACGAAACCTCCTTCAGCGCCTGCCATTTTGTACGTAGCGTCTACGTCGGGTTGTGTTCTCTTTATTGATTGGCTCCAAAAATAAAGTGTAGCCAATAAAAAAGTGTTTAGATAATAACGAAGGAAGTAGATTTAGGTCATTTCCGACTTATTCTTTTTCATCCAGACGTTTTTTGTATCGAAAGATTGAGTCATTTAATTGGAAAAATTCATAAATTTGAGTCGACCCTAAGTCCAAATCAAATAGTCAGTCGAATAAACCGGTCGATGGCTTATTAAAATTTTGGAATCGTTTGTAATCAGTATAACTTAAAGAAAAAACGCACTAATTCCAATATCTTTTATCATTGTTTTTGTTTATTTTTTACGTCCCCTCATGTTCAAATCTGATTGTTCAAATTAAAACTTTAAGGTGTTATTGCCACCGCGGCTTAATAAAGTCATGCTTTACTTTTTCCCTCATCCCCATATGCCCCCATCTTTCAATGTGTACACGGGACCTCGGTTTTTCGTCCCATCCGAACGACTAGACATCTGTCCTTGTCCACCTCCAAAAGAATATAGAGTCCCTATATATGATATGTTGGGTTAGGGGGGCATATGGGGATAAGGTATTTGACATTATCATGTGGCCTCGTCCAGTCAATAAAATCAGTCAGTTAGTTCAGTCGATAACATCAGTCAGTTAGTTCATGCTCGTCCCATCCGAACGACTAGACAGCTGTCCTTGTCCGCCTCGAAAAGAATAGAGTCAATATATATGATATGAACATGGAAAGGGGATGCGATGGGGCGGGGGGGGGGGGGAGGGGCGTGTCGGGATGAGGTATTTGACATTTTCATGTGGCCTCGTCCAGTCGATAAAATCAGTCAGTTTGTTCAGTCGAATAATCCAGTCGAATAAACCAGTCGAAAAGTTCAGTCGAATACTTCAGTCGAATAATTCAGTCGAATAAACAAGTCGCTCAATATTAAGCAGCGGTGGCAGTGGGCTAAGATAATATAGTAGCAAATCATGCTCGTAGCCATAGCTGAAGGAGCCGGGGCATGGGGTAGGGACCGGGGGGCTTCCCAACTAGTTTCAAGAAATGAAATGGGGTTTTAACGTCCTACTGTTCTGCTTGGAACTGGGCTAATGAAGACGGGCATACGCCATACACTGTGCGATGAGGGAAATTTTGCCCGGACAGCGGCACTACGGCATACTCTTATATCGAATTCCATCTGTCAAGTGATCTTTTACGTCCACGCCAATGTATACACGGGACCTCGGTTTTCGTCCCATCCGAAAGACTAGACAGCTGTCCTTGTCCGCCTCGAAAAGAATAGAGTCCCTATATATGATATGAACGAAGAAAGGGGATGGGGTGGGGCGTGGGGGGGGGGTGAGGTATTTGACATTTTCATGTGACCTCGTCCAGTCGATAAAATCAGTCAGTTAGTTCAGTCGAATAATCCAGTCGAATAAACCAGTCGAATAATTCAGTCGAAAAGTTCAGTCGAATAATTCAGTCGAATAAACAAGTCGCTCAATATTAAGTAGCGGTGGCAGCGGGCTAAGATAATTAGTAGCAAATCATGCTCGTAGCCATAGCTGAAGGAGCCGGGGGCATGGGGTAGGGACCTGGGGGCTTCCCAACGAGTTTCAAGAATTGAAACGAAATGAAATGGGTTTTTAACGTCCTACTGTTCTGCTTGGAACTGGGCTAATGAAGACGGGCATACGCCATACACTGTGGGATGAGGGAAATTTTGCCCGGACAGCGGCACTACGGCATACTCTTATATCGAATTCCATCTGTCAAGGGATCTTTTACGTCCACGCCAATGTATACACGGGACCTCGGTTTTTCGTCCCATCCGAAAGACTAGACAGCTGTCCTTGTCCGCCTCGAAAAGAATAGAGTCCCTATATATGATATGAACGAAGAAAGGGGATGGGGTGGGGCTGGGGTGGGGGGGTTGTGAGGTATTTGACATTTTCATGTGGCCTCGTCCAGTCGATAAAATCAGTCAGTTAGTTCAGTCGAATAATCCAGTCGAATAAACCAGTCGAATAATTCAGTCGAAAAGTTCAGTCGAATAGTTCAGTCGAATAATTCAGTCGAATAAACAAGTCGCTCAATATTAAGCAGCGGTGGCAGCGGGCTAAGATAATTAGTAGCAAGTCATGCTCGTAGCCATAGCTGAAGGAGCCGAGGGCATGGGGTAGGGACCGGGGGGCTTCCCAACTAGTTTCAAGAAATGAAAAGAAATGAAATGGGGTTTTAACGTCCTACTGTTCTGCTTGGAACTGGGCTAATGAAGACGGGCATACGCCATACACTGTGCTATGAGGGAAATTTTGCCCGGACAGCGGCACTACGGCCTACTCTTATATCGAATTCCATCTGTCAAAGGATCTTTTACGTCCACGCGAATGTGTACACGGGACCTCGGTTTTTCATCCCATCCGAACGACTAGACAGCTGTCCTTGTCCGCCTCGAAAAGAATAGAATCCCTATATATGATATGAACGAAGAAAGGGGATGGGGTGGGGCGGGGGGGGGGGGGTGAGGTATTTGACATTTTCATGTGGCCTCGTCCAGTCGATAAAATCAGTCAGTTAGTTCAGTCGAATAATCCAGTCGAATAAACCAGTCGAATAATTCAGTCGAAAAGTTCAGTCGAATACTTCAGTCGAATAGTTCAGTCGAATAATTCAGTCGAATAAACAAGTCGCTCAATATTAAGCAGCGGTGGCAGCGGGCTTAGATAATTAGTAGCAAGTCATGCTCGTAGCCATAGCTGAAGGAGCCGAGGGCATGGGGTAGGGACCGGGGGGCTTCCCAACTAGTTTCAAGAAATGAAAAGAAATGAAATGGGGTTTTAACGTCCTACTGTTCTGCTTGGAACTGGGCTAATGAAGACGGGCATACGCCATACACTGTGCTATGAGGGAAATTTTGCCCGGACAGCGGCACTACGGCCTACTCTTATATCGAATTCCATCTGTCAAAGGATCTTTTACGTCCACGCGAATGTGTACACGGGACCTCGGTTTTTCATCCCATCCGAACGACTAGACAGCTGTCCTTGTCCGCCTCGAAAAGAATAGAATCCCTATATATGATATGAACGAAGAAAGGGGATGGGGTGGGGCGGGGGGGGGGGGTGAGGTATTTGACATTTTCATGTGGCCTCGTCCAGTCGATAAAATCAGTCAGTTAGTTCAGTCGAATAATCCAGTCGAATAAACCAGTCGAATAATTCAGTCGAAAAGTTCAGTCGAATACTTCAGTCGAATAATTCAGTCGAATAAACAAGTCGCTCAAAATTAAGCAGCGGTGGCAGCGGGCTAAGATAATATAGTAGCAAATCATGCTCGTAGACATAGCTGAAGGAGCCGAGGCATGGGGTAGGGACCGGGGGGCTTCCCAACTAGTTTCAAGAAATGAAAAGAAATGAAATGGGGTTTTAACGTCCTACTGTTCTGCTTGGAACTGGGCTTATGAAGACGGGCATACGCCATACACTGTGCGATTAGGGAAATTTTGCCCGGACAGCGGCACTACGGCATACTCTTATATCGAATTCCATCTGTCAAAGGATCTTTTACGTCCACGCCAATGTATACACGGGACTGAAGTATTCGACTGAATTATTCGACTGAACTATTCGACTGAAGTATTCGACTGAACTTCTCGACTGAATTATTCGACTGGTTTATTCGACTGGATTATTCGACTGAACTAACTGGCTGATTTTATCGACTGGACGTGGCCACATGCCCGTCTTCATAAGCCCAGTTCCAAGCAGAACAGTAGGACGTTAAAACCCCATTTCATTTCTTTTCATTTCTTGAAACTAGTTGGGAAGCCCTCCGGTCCCTACCCCATGCCTCGGCTCCTTCAGCTATGTCTACGAGCATGATTTGCTACTATATTATCTTAGCCCGCTGCCACCGCTGCTTAATATTGAGCAACTTGTTTATTCGACTGAACTATTCGACTGAAGTATTCGACTGAACTTTTCGACTGAATTATTCGACTGGTTTATTCGACTGGATTATTCGACTGAACTAACTGACTGAGTTTATCGACTGGATGAGGCCACATGAAAATGTCAAATACCTCACACCCCCCCCCCCCACGCCACCCCCTTTCTTCGTTCATATCATATATAGGGATTCTATTCTTTTCGAGGCGGACAAGGACAGCTGTCTAGTCGTTCGGATGGGATGAAAAACCGAGGTCCCGTGTACACATTCGCGTGGACGTAAAAGATCCTTTGACAGATGGAATTCGATATAAGAGTAGGCCGTAGTGCCGCTGTCCGGGCAAAATTTCCCTCATAGCACAGTGTATGGCGTATGCCCGTCTTCATTAGCCCAGTTCCAAGCAGAACAGTAGGACGTTAAAACCCCATTTCATTTCTTTTCATTTCTTGAAACTAGTTGGGAAGCCCCCCGGTCCCTACCCCATGCCCTCGGCTCCTTCAGCTATGGCTACGAGCATGACTTGCTACTAATTATCTTAGCCCGCTGCCACCGCTGCTTAATATTGAGCGACTTGTTTATTCGACTGAATTATTCGACTGAACTTTTCGACTGAATTATTCGACTGGTTTATTCGACTGGATTATTCGACTGAACTAACTGACTGATTTTATCGACTGGACGAGGCCACATGAAAATGTCAAATACCTCACCCCCCCCCCCCCCCGCCCCACCCCATCCCCTTTCTTCGTTCATATCATATATAGGGATTCTATTCTTTTCGAGGCGGACAAGGACAGCTGTCTAGTCGTTCGGATGGGATGAAAAACCGAGGTCCCGTGTACACATTCGCGTGGACGTAAAAGATCCTTTGACAGATGGAATTCGATATAAGAGTAGGCCGTAGTGCCGCTGTCCGGGCAAAATTTCCCTCATAGCACAGTGTATGGCGTAGGCCCGTCTTCATTAGCAAATCATGCTCGTAGCCATAACTGAAGGATCCGGGGGCATTGGGTAGGGGCCGGGGGGCTTCCCAACTAGTTTCAAGTCTTAAGTGATACATGTACTTTAGATACTAGTATTTTCGCTCCCACGCACAGGGCCCCTCCCATTCCACCAACACCCCGTTTCTATGGTCATATATAGGGACTATTCTTTTCGAGGTGGGGGCCGACAATATTAGTATCTACTTAAGTACAATTATCTCCTGCGACGGGTGAGGACCAAACCCCGCCCAAGCCCTCGGCTCCTACAGCTATGGCAACGAACATTGAGCTACTCAATGGGCTGTTTTTCCGACTGGTTTCATCGACTGAAGTATTTGACTGATTTTATCGACTGAGATATGTGTGGGATTTTATCGTCTGGACGAGGCCACGTTAAAATGTCAGATTTATGTAAGATAAATCATTACTTGGAGAGACCTAGGAAACCTATATACTACATGTAATTGGGGATCCGATTTATAGGAAGTTATAAGTTGTTTAATTGTTGCTGTTATGTGGGCACTATTTGCTCCTGAAATAAAGTGTTGAAGATCCAGTCCAAGAATCTGTATTCATTTCTGATCCTAAGAGAACACACGTCGAAGAGCTACATTCCCTGCTAGTCAAATTGTACATAATATATTGAAGAAGAAGGCATGGATATCAACTTTATTCTTCCTTCAGCAGCAGTAGCAGCAATAAGAAATCTTGATCAACTATCAGTGTCTTGGAGTCTCAAACAGGGGTTTAAATGGGCTTTAAAAGGGACTTCTCAGAAAATTAATTACCCAGTCCGGAAAAGAAATATCGTTCTTTTGTCCAAATACAAAGGGATAGACAGCGACAGCTGGAATTTTTTGCAAAGAAGGGTGCCCAAAAAGTACAGGTTTCTGTGACCTCCAGTAAAAAGGATGCGGGTGTTCAAAATGTTCTGGATACTAACGATGTATCTTTTTTTAATAACCTTGTGTTAATGGTGTCATCCTGCCAATTGCCATGATAAAGTTTGCAGCCATGCGAGATGTTTCAAGTTTTAGTGCCAAATTCACCAGCCGTCAAGACTCAAGATCACAGATTTAGACATGTTAGGCCTTACAGCAGGAATCCTTTGTACAGGAATAGAAATTATTATCGTGAAAATAGTTATAGATTATGTTATTTTGAATAATGGAAAAATAAGAATTTTGATTGTATTAATGATTAAAACATGGGGTCATGTTTTTGTTTGAAATAATTTTAAGGTGGATACACATGACTAATGTATAGGTCATATGTTATTTTAATATTGTTTAATTCTATTTTTAATTTCAAATCTATATTTTAACATTCATTAATGCTTGGTTAGTCATTAGAAGCAGACAACAATTAATTTGTCACTCCATATAAATTATGACAGGCTGGCAACTAGAGTGTTTGATTTGTTCAGTTTCTTTAACTATTGTTTTAAATGGCTTAAGACTTAATCCTTCAATAATTATATGCTTATTTCAACACTTTCATAGTAACTAATTTATATAAAAAGACAAGTGTATGTAGGATGAATTATACAGTAGTTGGAGAGACCAACTTAGTTGCAGGACTGATTTATAGGAAGTTATAAGTTATAAGTTGTTTACTTGTTGCTGTTATTTATTTGCTCCTGAAATAAAGTGTTGAAGATCTATTCAAAGAATCTGTAGTCATTTCCAATACTTAGAAAACACACTCCACGCGATACATTCCCTGAAAGTCGAACTATGTTATGAGCATGAAAGGGCTACTTAATAATATGAAATGAAATTTAACATCCTACTGTTGGGCTAATGAAGACGGGCATACGCCATACAGTGTGCCATGAGGGAAATTTTGTCTGGACAGTGCACTACAGCCTACTCTTATATTGAATTCCACCTGTCAAGGAATCTTTTACGTTTATTCCAATGTGTACACAGGACCTCGTTTTGTCATCCCATCCAAATGACTACACAGCTAACCTTGTCAGGCCCTCTGTCCTGCATCACTGACAAAGGGGAATCACACCGGACAATCTGGATGAACTCTTTCGGGCAATGCAGGGATCGAACACCTACATGTAACCTCCAGACTAGCGAGCCGGCGTCTTACCCACTTAATCACTCCCGCTACATAATGAAGTGAAATGGGGTTTAACATCCTTCTGTTGTGCACCGACTAGGCTAATGAAGATGGGCATATGCCATACAGTGTGCTACAAGGGAAATTTTGCCCCGACAGTAGCGCTACAGCCTACTCTTATATATTGAATTCCAACTGCCAAGGGATCTTTTACATGCACGCCAATGTGTACATGGGACCTTGGTTTTTCATGCCACCCAAAAGACTAGACAGCTGTAGTTTTTGTCACACCCTCCGTCCTGCCCTATGGACAAGGGGAAACCACCTGGATAAAATCCTGAGGAACTGTCTCCGCCAATACCGAGAACGAACCCGCGACCTCCAGGCTAGCGAACCAGCGCCTTACTCACTTAGCCACTGTTGTTCCAGGCTACTTATTGATCTTGGTTCACTTGGTTAGTCATTAGAAGCAGACAGCAATTAATTTGTTAGTCGATTTAAATAACTAAAGTGGGTGGTCTGTTAAGTTTCTTTTACTATTGTTTAAATGACTTAATCCTTCAATAATTATATGTTTATGTCAATACTTTCATAGTAACTAATTTATATAAAAAGAAAAATGTATGTAAGATGAATTATAGTTGGAGAGACCAGCTGAGGGAACCTATATACCAGTTGGAGGACCAATTTATAGGAAGTTATAAGTTGTTTACTTGTTGCTGTTATTTATTTGCTCTTGAAATAAAGTGTTGAAGATCTATTCGAAAAATCTGTATTGAGCTAATAAAGTCAGGCATATGCCATACAGGGGATCTTTTACATGCATGCCAATGTGTACATGGGACCTTGGTTTTTCATCCCATCCAAACGACTGCCCCACTGACAGGGGGAAACCACCCGGAAAATCCTGAGGAACTTTTTCAGCCAATACCAGGAACAAACCTCCAGGCTAGCGAGCCAGTGTCTTACTCACTTAGCCACCATGGCTCCAGGCTACTTATTGTTATCTTAGTTCACTCCAATTAGTGATTCATAAAGTATGGTCCTCCACCATCAAGTCAAGCGACTGCTTTTTTTTGACTGAAATATACACTGAAATATTCGACTTGACGAGGTCACAAAAAAAAAACCTGACTCGTCCAATACCCCCAGCCCCTGACTACAGGCCTATGTAGGATTCTATTCACTTAGATGACGGGCCAAAAACATTACTCTCCGTTTAGTACATGTATCAACTAAATACCTAGATCATAAGACTTTTGCCCGAAAAATCTGACTTTAAAGTAGTTGGGAGGGGCGGGGGGTGAAGCCCCTGGCTACGACCATGATTGGGCTATTCTATATTACCTTAGCTCACTGCCACCGGTACTTAATATTGAGCGACTGGTTTTATCGACTGGGATATTGACGAGATTATTTGACTTTTTTTTTTCAACTGGATTATTTGACTGGTTTTGTTGACTGAATTATTCGACTGGTTCTGTCAACTGAATTATTTGACTGATTTTATTGTCGAAAAAAGTCAAATATCCCAGTCAATAAAACTATTTTCTTGTGGCCTCATCCAGACGATAAAGCCAGTCAAATATCTCAGTCAATAAAACGAGTCAAATAATTCAGTCGATAAAACCAGTCCGATAAAATAAGTCGAATATCTCAGTCGATAAAATAAGTCGAATATCTCAGTCGATAAAACAAGTCAAATACCTCAGTCGATAAAACCATGGACCTTATAATACCATGATAAAACCAGTCGAATATCACAGTCAATAAAACAAGTCGAATATCTCAGTCAATAAAACTAGACGAATATCACTGTCGATAAATCCACATCCCAGATCAAGTTGGGTCTTCATACCAGATCAAGTTGACAAAATGTGCTTTTGACAGTTATATGATGAGAAGTTAAAAACAGCCGTTCAATAATAAGCAGGAATTGCAGTGAACTAAGATAATACCGAGTAGTTCAGTCATACCCATAGCCATAGCTGTAAAAGAGCCGGGGGCTTGCACCTCCCTCCCCTGCCAAATAGTTTCAAGTTCAATTTATGGGGCAAAAGTAGTCTGATAATTAGGTATTTAGGGCCGGGGATAGCCGAAAAAACAGTCAAATAATCCGGTCGAAAAAAAAATCAAGCAGATAATTCAGTCGAATAATCCAGTCGAATAATCCAGTCGCTCAATATGACGAGGAAAAACGTAAAGCTTGACTTTATTAAGCAGTGGTGGCAGTAACTAACATAACAACATGTAGCCTACTCCTCTATAAATCCCTCCACACGGTTGTTTTTATTCCGAAGCGACTAGATACTATGCTGTCATCAGTTTTATGCATCGGACACAGACTTAATTCAAGTTGTTTATATTAGTACGGCCATTGTTTTCAGTTGATGACGTCAGTCGTTGACCCTTAACCCTAGATGACGACCTTACTCGCAAAGAGAGGTCAACACGTTGTTTAGGGGATTGCTATTGGAAGGAAAATCTCAATAAAGTTGTGACTTCAACTGTCAGATTTGAACTTGGGGGAAAATAATCAAAATAGACAAAAAACGATGTTATCATATTTGAGTTAGTGCGTTTTTTATTTCAGTCAAACAAACTATTCCCAAATTTTAGCCCAACCATCGACCGAGTTTGTTGACTGGAAATTCTAGTGGTACTTAGGGGTAATTGATAAATTTTGCTAGTTAAAGACTTGAATGTTCAAGACTGTTATATGGTTGTGTCTGAAAAGAGTGCTAAAAAGTTTAAAATTAATAGATCAGATGACATAATACACAACGTTTTATGATCGAATATTTAATAGGTAAAACAACTTCACGAAGATTATTAATCCTTCTGAATACGAATAATTGCAATCCCTGTTTATCAAAATATAGAAAAAACGAATCATGATTGCATGTCTTCGGCTTCTGAAAGTTCTGTTGACAGACTGAGACAGACATCTCACACAATCACATAGGCCTAATATGTCTATAGATACGCCTAAATCCTATTTCTACTGGCTACATATATGCCATATTCAAATAGATCTATCTGATTTCCTGTCAAAATATTAGTTCCAATGGCCATAGTTCAGCTCTGAACGTAGGTCTCATTATACTCGTCCTTCAGTTCAGAAACTCTCCAATTGATTCCTTGTCGAAATTCCAATGGCTTCCCAGTCAATTTTACTGGGTAACTTTTTACTGCTAAACGGTCGCGTGTCAGTCCCCGTGAACGCCTGAACAATATAAATGAACATCTTAGTGAGAAAACAAGGCCTTGCTTACCTCACTAGAACCAGTATGAGCGACACACCACGCTGTTAAAAAATACGTCTACATCTTCTAACCGACTTGTCGGACTTCATTGAAAGGGTAACGCACAAATTTACGAACTAGGCCATTTGAGATTAAACGAAATTTAGGTAAGCCTGGGGTCAAAAAATTATGAATTGTTTGTTTCGGACACTGGCTGGTAATGTCAGGAATTTTGCCTGGACAGCAGCATTTTTGTCCACTCTTCATCAAATTCCAACTGCCGAGGGTTCTTTAACATGCTAACGCCCACATGTGCACAGGACCTAATTTCTGAATTATGACCTTGATTGTACGAAAAATCGCGCTTTTAACTTGTGGCCCCTCTAGAGGTCACAATTTTTATCTGATTTAAAAAAAACGTATTATTATATCACCGTTACACCCTAAGGACGGCTGAGTTTGAATTTCGTGAAAATCGGACAAAAATTGTACGCACATAGATATATCACCATTCCACCATAATGAAGGTTGAATTTGAATTTCGGGAAAATTGAAATGAAACTGCCTGACAAAATGGCTGCTCTTTGTACGCAGATTGTGTATACCTTACTATAAGTATGTAATACAAAGGTTATGGACCCTCTAGAGGTCACAGTTTTTATCCAATTTTGATGAAACTTATAACATCTTTATATTCCCAAAATCTCAGTCCCTTTTGATATTTCCACATTTAAGACCATAACTTTCTGGATTATGGCCCCTGATTGTACAAAAAATCCTTTTTGTTTTTAGCTTGTTCTCTATCCATCTCTTGCAAAATGTGGGCGTATCCTGCCTCGCAGCTGCTGGTTTGGATGGATTTAAGCTTGATACAGCACCATGATATTTCTTCATAACATAATTTTAGTTTTTATACACCCACATGGAAATGTGGTATGTGGTCGTATATTGCCATCGCCCCCGTCCGTCCACAATTTCTTATGAACACTCTACAGACTACATTTATCATCTAATTGTTTTGAAATTGATATATTCAATAAATTCTATTTATTTCTTCTGGAGTTATGGCCCTTGTTTCACTTTGTTGCCCCTTGTGAACGCTCTAACGACAAAAGTTATGAACCGATCTGTATGAAATTTATATGCATCATTTAAATTAGTAAAAAAAAGAAGCCTATTGAATTTCAGCAATTTTCGTTAATTACATCTAGAGTTATGGCCCTTGTTTCACTTTGTTGAATCTTGTGATTGCTCTAATGACAACAGTTTTCATCCTATCTGTTTGAAATTAATATGCATCATTTAAATTAGTGAAACGAAGAAGCCTATTGAATTTCCGTTGTTTCACTTTATTGTACCTTGTGAATGATCTAACGACAAAAGTTATTATCCGATCTGTATGAAATTTATATGCGTCATTTAAATTAGTAAAACAAAGAAGCCTATTGAATTTCAGCAATTTCCGTTCATTACATCTAGAGTTATGGCCCTTGTTTCACTTTGTTGAATCTTGTGACTGCTCTAATGACAACAGTTATCATCCGATCTGTTTGAAATTGATATGCATCATATAAATTAGTGCAACGAAGAAGCCTATGGAATTTCAGCAATTTCTATTAATTACACCGTGAGTTATGACCCTTGTTTCACTTTGTTGTACCTTGTGAAAGCTCTAACGACAAAAATTATTATTCGATCTGTATGACATTTATATGTATCGTTTAAATTAGTTAAACGAACAAGACAAGACTATTGAGTTTTAGCAAATTTCCGTTAATTACATCTAGAGTTATGGCCCTTGTTTCACTTTGTTGAATCTTGTGAACACTTAAACGTAAAAAGTTATCACCCAATCTGTATGAAATTCATATGCATCATTTAAATGAGTGAAATGAAGAAGCCTATTGAATATCAGAAATTTCCGTCAATTACTTCTAGAGTTATGGCCCTTGATTTACTTTGTTGAACCTTGTGAACGTTCGAACAACAAACGTTATCATCCGATCTGTATGAAATTTATATGCATTATTTGAATTAGTAAAACGAAAAAGCCTGTCAAATTTCAACAATTTCTGTAGATTACGTCCAGGGTTACGGCCCTTCTTTTAGTTTTTAGAACCTTGTGAACCCTCAAGCGATGAAAATTATAATGTCATCTGTATGAAATTGTCTATTAAATGCCCCCAATTACCTACAAAAAAATAAATATGCGACAACCCTTGTCGACTGCTCGGACGATTTAGCTGCTGTGGGCTAATGTTTTGTTGCCTGGCAACCTATCTTTGTCTATCAGGTAACTAACTTGCAAATATGTTTTTATTCATCCGTCCATGATAGACACACGACACAGTGATCACGTGACAACCATACATGTAATTGAAATCGCTTTAAAATAAAATTCCGTAGGACTATGCCATATAGCTTTCAATAATAATAACAACAATATTTTTAAAATCAAGCCTCTGTCAGCCTGTGTATAAAATAAAAAATCATAACGGTAAACGCTATTTAATACTAATACTAGCATCACTGGTATATATTGACCTAATTCCAACCAATTCTGTCGGAAAAATATATTATTAATGACTGTTTCTCGGTGGATTCAGTGTTCTATTCTATCCGAGGATTATAATCAACTAATGTTTAAATTTATCAAACAACTGGTCACCGAAACTATTAAATGTATGATCAAATTATTATTTTAATATCTACCGGTACCTGGGATTCATACAGAGCGTCGAAGATATGGAAGACCAAACAGCTCTTTATTTAGTGTTCTTACTTCTTATTTCTTAATTCACAGTCCTTAATTCTTATTTCTTCATTTGTTGTCGTATTTCGACATTTGTACACTAAAATTAACATTTGTATCTTAAAATCAATATTTGTTTTCCAAATCAGACATTTGTCATATCAGATTTGTAAAATGTATTTTTGTTTAATTTAATTTTATTTTAATATAAAGATAAAATTTATTTTAGTAAATCAAAAAAATAGTCTCCATTTACATTTCATCATAGACATACAATGAAAAACAAATCTCGGACAACAAATTTCTAAATACAAATCTCCAAATACAAATCTTGCAAAACACTTCTCCAAAAACATTTCTCGAAATTCATCGAACCTGAACATTATGATGACATGAATTGAAATCAACCTGGCATACAATAAGTCACCATACAACAAAGGAGAATTGAGCAAACATATATACAATAAGAAAAGTCGCTCGATCACTGCGATTTTAGTGAAATAGCGTGCGTGTTAGTCTGTCTCTCTCTCTATATATATATTGGTTAATCTGATCTAGCATTAGATAAAATAAATTGAAATTGAAAGTAGTCTATTTTCAGAAATTAGGTTTTGTCTGAGTGATAGCGACATATTTCTTTGGACAAACAAAAGAGGGCTTTATCTCTTCTAAATCATGTAATCATGAATGTGCCAGTAAAATAGATAATACTCATATATTCAAAGAGTGACAGACAAATAGTTTCTGGTGAAGCATTATACGATAGTTGGAATTTCGTATTAAGACGCATATTTTGACTTTTAAATACATGTAGCTATTAAACAATTAATAACACATATACATGAAATGGTTTTATGATTTACACTTTGCAGATCAGTATGAGTTTTAGGGGAAGACAATCATGGAACCCAGGAAAAGGTGGAGCATCAAATCAGAAATCTGTATCACAACAGGTCATTGATCAAGAGAAGTTGATAGAAGAAAAGAAAAGACAAATCCAAGAGAAATTAGCAGCAGCAGCTCAACAACAGAATGTAACAGACCAGTCAAATACAGCATCAGTACCTTCAAGTCCTATGTAAGAAATTACTGCATTATTTTTCACCGGGTATCAAATACTACAAAAACAAAAATAAAAAACTATTCTGATTCTCAGATACTTCCGCATCACTTAAAGATGGGTTTCCAGAAAAGTATTTATCAGGTGGTTACTTCCAATAAAAATATGATAATTTTGGTATATATGGAAAGTAGAGATATCCAATCTTACTAGAAAAATACTGGATTCCCCGAAAAACACTCATGGAGCGTATACAGGACAAAAATGTAAGGGTTCCCCTAATCAACAGCCCGACGATTAGGAATTTCTGCACACGTGATGTCAAAGGTCACACGCGAACATTGAGTGCTTGATGTACAAGTTGATAAACTTTATGAAGAGTTAGACGTACAACACTTTCTGAGATAAAAATGACGGAAAAAGACGCGGGGAGTTAATAATCCGAGAATTTAATTAGGATTCGATATTTGTAGTAAATAGTAAGCGATTAAAGACAACATCGTCTTATGTATGCAATGAATTCTCCTCTGACTTCCAAGAGAGGTAAGTCACGTGACGTAAACATGACCTGGTTTGATCAAATTTTTATAGCAGGACATTCCTTCGCAATTACAATCTTTGAGAAGGATTTGAAGCAAAGTTATGACAAATTAATTAATTTGAATATGTTTTAAGTCCATATATACCATTAAATCACCCAGTTTGTACGCGGGAACCCATCTTTAAAAAGGGACACATAACCTCTTTTTATAGGAAACAACCGTGTCAAAACTTTTGAATGAAACCAAGTACGCAACCAAGATAAATGTTACTGGTAATTAGTGGTAATCATAAATGATACTGGATAATCATTCATTCCTATAAACATTAGGTGATAAATGTGCCTTGAAATATGATGTTTGTGAGAAGTCATTTATCCCAGTACTGATCCTTTGACAAAATAAAAACACAAAAATAGTGCACTTCTGTACATGGGTCCTCAGTTTTTCGTCCCATCTGAACGACTAGACAGCTGTCCTTGTCAGGCCCTCCGTCCTGGATCACTGACTAGGGGAGACCACGTCGGAAAATCTGTATTAACTTTCTCGGCCAATGCAGGGATAGAACACCCTACCTCCAGGCTAGCGAGCCAGCAGCTGACCCACTTAGCCGCTTAGCCAACCGTTGACATCTCCAAAAGGATCAGAAAATAATTTTGGGGATATCAGTAGATTATTTTTGTGGTGTTATGAATAAGCAACAAGCTTGTACATTTACAGAATTACCGGATGATGCCCTGTCATATGTTCAGTGAAAAGCTTACTAAAATAGTGGTCTTTATTGGATAGCAGTTGACAGGTCGGTATTGCCATCTATCAACACAGTAAGATTAGGACTACCATGAAAATTATTTTCAGTGACAATCATGAATAAAACAGACAGCGACCATGGTCATTTTGTGGGCAAGTATCCTGCTGCGAGTTACCAATAACCAATTCGTAATGAAACCCCTAAGTTAACACTGCCCTTTTACATATTTACATGTATATTTCTTACAGGGTTGGTAAACTGCCAGGATTAAAGAGGACATCCTTTGCTATAATAAACCAAAGTCAACCTAATAGTAAAAAGAAACTATTAGAACAAGGTACTCTACTTTTCTTTAGCTGTTAATGTTATACTTATAAGTTATAGTCTTTAGTTAAACATATATTATGCAAGAGCTAAATCTGCCTTTTGCAGGTCTTTTTTAGACCTGAAATATTTTCTTAATTAATGATTAGACATTAATTAACTGATCCAGACCATAATCAACTTTTGTTGCATCGGATTTCTCCGATATTAAATAGATTAGAATGGTTCAGCCATATTTTGATTTAATTTAAAAATGGAGGAGCAAGACTTGGCTTCGAACAAACAGTACAGTGGTTGAAACTATCGCACACGTCTTGTCAAACGTTCAAAGGCTCATTTCTTTGCTCGCAATAGAGTAATTTGAATGAAATTTTCAAATTATTCATTTTACATTATCTATTTTTGAACTATTGTAGCAAGAATGGCTAGCTCTTTATCTAAATATTACATAATTTATCTTTAATGTTTTTAGGACGTCTGACAGTGTGACTTTATTGACTACTTGGGAATATCAGGGCCCCCCAATAATTTGCAAATATGGGTTAGAAATTTTTCCGGGTCAAGTCTGTGGGATGCCATATTGGCTTCACTACACTGACACCTCCGCCAATATGAATTCCGTTTCGACGGATCTGAATAACGTAGTATTATAATATGTTCTGTGGAGTGTTCAGTAATACATGTACCTCCGTGTAATAGTAATTGTAAATTAAATTTTTAGAAAGAAGTTTGAGTTTCCTTTTTTACCCATTAACAAATTACGTAAATGTAGAAAAACTCTGTATCAAATTCTGCAGAATTTCTTTTGCACCATTGAATTAAATATGATTACATCACAGCAAGAAGATATGTTGTGATCTTCTGAGAGGTGTAAATATGATTAAACATTCTTTAAAAAATTATATTTTAGCTATAAGAAAGTCCCAGCAGCCTTCAGCATCTATGACAAGTTCATTGAAACCTAAACCAGTGAGATTCGAACTTGGGAATCGTTCCAATTTGCCTAAACCTGAAGAGTTTGCTGATAATGGTTCAGAAAGTAGTTCAAAAGCTATTTATAGCCAACAGACAAAGACTAATAGTTATCCACATCAACAAAACATTTCTTCTAACTTCCCTGGTAATGATTATAATCTCCATAGAAATGAATATGGAACGGTGTCCAAAGTGAAAACTGAACAGACTTCTAATACATATGGTTCAAGTGTTAACGCTTATGGTTCACAATCCAGTGTTAATAAATTCAGTTCTACAAATGTTAATGCTTATGGTTCGCAGCCCAGTGTTAATGAGTATGGTTCTTCAAGTGTTAATGAGTATGGTTCTGCGAGTGTAAATGAATATGGTTCAAGTGCGTATGGTTCATTGAATGAATATGGTTCTGCAGCCCATCAAGGACAAGCCAATGAATATGCTTCTAGTAGATCTGATCACAGTAAATCATTAAGTAGTATGAAACAAATTAAATCAGAAGATGAATATGATCCGTCTGCTCCAACAGAAGATACACCAGGTATTGTCTATTGTCTTAAATCTTCTCAAATTCAATCAATAAACTTGTTTAATTAACTATTAGAAATATTATTGTCTATAAGCCTGATAATGCATTAACTCTTCTGCTACTACAAGCCACACACAGTTTCGTAGATTTTTTACAGATTACTAAAGAGCTGACATTTACGGCTTGATGTCCTTGGACCTGGAATCTGAGTGGCTATGGATCATTAAATGATTTTTGAAAGCCAATCAAATGTTGCGATCGATTGTAGGTCAAGACAATTTCTTGTTTATGATGTGTTGAAAAAATAGGTAAAATTGTTTATATTTAGAAAATGTACCGCTCCCTCTAGATCCCAAATAAACAAGGTGGGGAACTGCAGTGGAGAAATTTTATTATCGACTGTGTCAAGCACTAATTTATTATGCATACATTGATGTTTCAATAATGTAAATAAACTTACAAATGTTTCAATAATTTTTGTTTATTTTAAGAAAAAGAAGAGAGTAAACAGAAATTACAAATGTAAGTTTCTAATGAGTGGTTTCTACATAAAAATTTTATTCTGGGTACAAATGTATTATTAAGTGCTTAACTGTAAGTTTTCATGCTATTTTGACGTGTCTACATTAAAATATAAAAATATGGCTTAGTTATCTCATAACTCTGGAACTAGCTCACTTAATAAGAGGTTTTGGGTTCAACCCTGGTGTTGCCCAAGACAGTTTCTTGGGATTCTCCATCCTGCAGTCGACTTGTCAGCAGTGCATTACGGTGGGTCTGACAATGAAAAAGTGTCTAGTAGTTCAGATGGGATAAAAAAAACTGAAGTTCACCTGTTTACTTGTTGACTTGTTGGAATATGACGAGTAGTTGGAAACACATCTCAAATCAAAACAATAATGAACAGTGTTTATTTAGATGTAGGCTAATTAGAGTTGTTAATAATAGAACAATAATGTCATTATGTGGTACATGATATTAAAATTACAAAATGTCACTCATTTTAGACCAAAGTAGGGTATGGCAGATCATATTAATTTCATGTTGACTTTTGTTGGCTTGCAATACTTACATAACACAATAAAAAATCTTGTCTTGCAGTAGTTTGTAATTTATACGTGTTGTTTTTTTTAGATCAATCCAGTCGAAATCCAGTTCATCAAATATCCAAAAGCGACCGACAGTGTCCCAAAATCTATCTTCTGTATTTGACCAAGATTTCAAGATTAAATCGGAAGGTATGTATTGTTTAAATGTTTACCCAATGATTTTATTTAAGTGACAGACAGTTCTGTCAAGTATTTTGCACTTGATTTCAAGAGAAATCTCTTAAAATTGTCAAACGAAATTAATGCCATATTTTGAAGAAAGCAACAAGATTCTCATCAGTGGTGTTTAGTTTCTCCTACAGTAGATGCTGACCTGAAATCTACCATTGATGAACTGGTTGCCACACTGGTTAAAGGTGGTATACTCATGATACAGAAAGTTATGACTCAATACAAGAATGATCCTAAATATTGGTGAGTAGTACTAATAGATTTATCTTTAATTTTGATTTGAATACTGCACTGTTAACTCTTCTTGAGTTTGTGTTACCTTCTTCTTACCAACTACCGCTTCTGAAATGCAATTTTAAATGATATTGCTTCAGTAGTAGTAGGTAATAAATAAACTATTTAGACACACAGAATAAAGAGTTATTTTTAACTTGCCATGGCTCACTGACTATGGCACTAGCTCACTAACCCTGGTGTTGCCCAAGACAGTTTCTTGGAATTTTCCATCTCAGCTCCATCTTGTCAGCTGTGCATTACAGTGGGTCTGATAATGAAAAGGTGTCTTGTAGTTCAGATAGGATGAAAAACTGAAGTCCGCCAGTTTACTTATTGGCTTGCATGTAAAAGGACCCTTGACTGTTCGAATTTGTTGATGAGTATGTGGAAACGCTACTGTCTGGGAATGTTTTTTTTTCATAGCACACTGCATGGCATATACACGTCTTTATTATTCTTGCTGGAGCACACTAGTACGGATTTGTCTCCTTCCTAACATATACAGGTCAGAATTTAAGAACAGTAGATTTCAATAATACTAATTGGGAATTAGCAGTTAGCAGGCTTTTTGGGCTTTGTTTTTCATGTAGTCCTTTTAACAGAACAGAAATGAATGAAATCATGTAATTAATGTCATATTTTTTGTATGTTACAGGTTTTTATATAAAGAAGATTCCGAAGCTCATAAATATTTCTGTTTAAAGATGCAGACAGCTCCACCTAAACATGATGGTAATGAAGCTGATATGGAAGAGAATGATGGTAAGTTGTATACAATTTTTTTCATATGCAAAGAATGACTTTCACAAAGAAATAATACATATTTATTTGATATCATATATTGAAGTAGAAATAACTTTGACCTCATATCAAAAAGAAACAACTGCCGATGTTCAATATGAACATACCAGAAATTATTGTTTTACTTAATGCCATTCCCTAAGGAAATTTTGCCCGGACAGCGGCACTAGGCCTACTCTTACATGCACGTTAATGTATACACAGGTCCTCGTTTATTGTCCCATCAGCGACTAGACAGCTGTCCTAGTCAGGCTCTCCGTCCTGCACCACTGATAAGGGGAAACCGCGACGGAAAATGCAGGGATCCAACATGCACCTCCAGGCTAGCAAGCCAGCATCTTACCCACTCGGCCACCGTGGCCCCCATCCGTAAGACACAGTTCAACGGAACTCATAAAATTGTGTCTGGTGTATTTTCAGGTTAATTACTAAATGCTGTCGACATTTTTTACTTAATACACATTGTTAGATATTATAACATTTAAGTTTTATGCATACATTTATGCTAGTAATCGGGTCAAAAAAATGTTCCCTAAGAATGCTTTCCATGAATGATGTAGGAATAAGTCAAACTTTATCATATTCTTTATTTTGACATTGAAGAGTCCCAACAGAAGCGAGCTAAAAGAAAGAGAAAAAGCAGATGGGGATCAGATGAACCAGCTGTTATAAAACCTACTATACCTGTTCCTACTGGTGCTGGTCTAGTTACTAATATACAGCTGGGAGGACTTTCTACAGTACATAAACCACCAGGTGGGTTTTTAATAAATTGTCTCAATTTCTACTATCTGTCAATTAATGGACATAACCTGGATGTGGAATCCTGTAATTTGTACAAATTTAAACTGTTTATGTCTTTGAAAATAATTTTTCAGTTCATCATTATCCTACTGTTCAAGATTTTGCCAGGAAAATGGTGGGAAGCGATAATATAAGCCCTGAACAAATGCAACAGATTAGAGAACAGAAGGAGGTATTAACTATTATTATTATATCCAAAAACCTTAAATAATACAAGGGAGATAATCTGCACACAGTTATCTCCCCTTAGACCACACTTCACATTCACACTAAATTTGTTGGCTGTAAACTCTTCAAATGAGTAAGCATACCTTGCCTTATGCACAACACTGATATGTTTTATTTAACTTTTATTTAAAGGACAATTTTGGTGTTAGCCAATATCACATTATGTTATAGAACTGGTTAAACACATTCCAAATATAATTTTAATACAGAGATCATTGCTACAGTTGATGTGTAACCATGACTTGAATTAACAGGAAGTGATGCAAACAAAAGGAAAACATGAGTTTGCCTTATATGTAACTGACTGAAGTAGACAGCGACAACAGATAAACAGTAGATTTTTAGCTCACTGATAATTCCTTTGAAGACAAAAAATGGTTATATGAGACTGTGACAGGATATCTGTTTGAATCTGACAATTCATAAAATGAATTGTCTGTCACTAGATAAGAGAAAGCGAAATAGTCTGTGGATTACCTTGTTTTTATTAATTCTCTAAAACTTAGTAAGCGATAATTATAGTTTATTCTGGAAACCCTATAAATAAAGTCATATCATTATTTTTTTACAATTACTTCTGTCTCCGCCAGATGGATCACAAATTACAATTTGGTATGCGCTCTAAGATGGCAATTAGGCGATCTTAATTTATCAAATACTGTATTCATATTAATTCTCATCCTTTCAATAAAGTTCATTGAAAATTATCTCTGTGGATTTTTGTGTAGCCTACTTCTCGTCAGATGTGAACGAAATGTGAAATTCACTTGTATTCGGCAACTGAAAACCAGACAAATGTAATTATATACAAAAGTAAAACAAATAATGGCTAAGTATATGCAAACTCCTAACATCGGAAATGGTTTTGGAACAGGTAAACATACTCTACCTCATACACAGTGCCGAGCACTACTTATATTCAGACGTTGATTTCAGAAGCCGGAGCAACCCTATCTGGAATACTAAAATTCCTCTGAAATACCACACCCATGAAAAAGACGAGAGCATCACTGTCGCTGCAATAAACGTCCACATTCCTGCATTGATTTATATGATACTTTTTATACGCCCACATTTTCATGTGGACGTATATTGTCGTCGCCCCTGATATGGTATATCAAGGTTGTGGACCCTCTAGAGGCCACAATTTTGATCTGATTTTGTTGAAACTTGAAATGCATATTTATAACCCAAAGGTCTTGGTTCCTTTCGATATTCGCACATATCGGATCATAACTTCCTGAATTATGGCCCTTGATTGTACGAAAAATCGCTTTTTTAGATTGTGGTCCCTCTAGAGGTCACAATTATTATCTGATTTAAAAAGACGTTTGAATATATCACTGTTACACTGTAATGATGCTTGAGTTCGTATTTCGTGAAAATCGGACCAAAACTGCTGAACAAAATGGCCACCCCTCGTAGGCAAATAGTATATATATGGTATATCAATGTTGTGGACTCTCTAGAAGTCACAATTTTGATCCAATTTTGATGAAACTTGAAATATATCTTTATAACCCAAAGATCTTGGTTCCTATCGATATTCGCGCATATTGGATCATAACTTCCTGAATTATGGTCCTTGATTGCTAGAAAAATCGCATTTTGCTTTAGCTTGTTCTATATCCATCTCTTGCAAAATGTTGGCGTATCCTGCCTGGCAGCCGCTGGTTAAAATAAAGAAGGCTAGGCGTTGGGTTTGTTTTGCCAAATTTACAGACTAAATTTTAAAAAAACATGGGTTGGGACATGCACCAAAATAAATAGTTGCTATTCTTACCGTATAAGAAATAAATATGTCAAGTTTCAAGATGATAAATTCAGATTCAGAATTCCTGCCTATAGAGAAAAAAAACGCAAAAATTGGGCGTGATTCTACCCCTGGAGTTTGGACATGGACCAATATAAATATGTACAACCCTATGATGGATCATACTGAAATGGATCCAAATATGTTAACAATTGCAACCTGTAGATTATCTACAGACAAAATATTAACAAAAAGTGGGTGTGGCACTGCTCAAGAGGGGCGGACAATGTACCAAAATCAATAGTTACGGTATACTAAGTTCCAAGATAATCCATCCATATGCCAAGTTTGAAGATGATCCATTCAGAATTGCGGCCAGTGTACGATAAGCACAAAAATAGGTTGAATTTGAATATTTTGTTGACATGTGATTCTTAATTGTGGTTTGAAAACGCCTGCTTAAATAACGATAAGAGTTATGTCCCTTTATTTTCGGGAAGAAAATTGTCGACAAATAAAATTTTGAAATCCCATCACTGTTTGCCAGGCAACGACACATATACCTGCAGCAGCTAAATCGTCGGGGCAGTCAATAATGAAAAATGTCGGTAATGAAAAATTTATAATACCCTAAAATCTGATTAAGAGTAACAACTCAAATCTGATTAAGAGTAACAACTCATTAATTAAGTAATTATCAGAAAATCATTAGAATTTGTTTGGCCCATGCAAAACATTTAATATCATGGATTTAGCCGTTGAAGTTATCAAAAATCATTGAAATTCAATACACATGTACTTGCTCGTCTCAAGACCTTAAACTCTGTGTATCAACCTAAAGTCAAGTGATCAAGCGCCATTACTCTGGCAGTAATTATCGGAAATCGTTGAAAATCAATAGGCTTCTTGATCTCATGACCTTAAACACTGTGCATAAATTATTAACTTTAGCCTCTAGAGCGTCCACAAGCAATTGTGGATGCCGGACGACAATATACGAACACATTTCAATGTGGGCGTATAAAAATCGTGTTTCCTTTTGTTTGCATAACTTCTCTTTTCTTCAAATCTTCATTACGCATCTACCGTAGCAAAGATCTCTATGTTCAAATTGTGTTTGGAATTGGTTTAAACAGTTCTGTCACACATTTAATATTGGCTGACACCAACATTGTCCTTTAATTTGTTAGCTATTTGGCAGGTTTTCTTCAGATAAAGAAAATAATTTTCTCAGGTATCCTTCTTTGACCATTGTTGATCAATTAAGTTGATATTTTATATATTGAAAGTTTCTATTTTTACTTTAGTTAAACATGATGTACGAGTTGATAATTGCTCAGAAAAAAGCTAAAGAGGCAGCTGTAATGGCAGAAGTTCCTGGCATCAAAGTTAAACCTAAATATGAATATGATTCTGATGAAGAAGTAGAGGGTGGTACTTGGGAACATAGGCAAAGAGCTTCAGAAATGAATGCAACTAAAGGTCTGTATATCTTTATATATGTAACATATTTTGTCTAATATAATACAATTTATTGCGTTATAGAATTAAGTTAATCTATATGTCTTTTCTTGCAAATTCATGTGCCAGTGTGTCAATAATTATAGAATAGATTGTTTTATACTGTAGTATTATTATACTACATAATTATAATTATTGTGTATTTGTTTAATACTATTATATTATCTACATAATATCGAGTGAACTGTTGCTATATATATATATGTATACAATATTTATTATTGTTCCCCGTCTTTCGAAGAAAGCAGAGAATTATTTAAATGAGTCTGTCCGTCCGTCTGTCTGTCCCGCACACATTTTGGGACACAATAACTCTCCTAATTGAGCTAGAATGTTCAAACTTGGTGTACTGTAGGTGTTCATTAGGTCAATGCCTTGATGGAGTTCGAAGATGAGCATTTTCTGCTTAGGGTAAGCAGAGATAAGCAATTTGATTGGTTGATGCTTTAGGACACAATAACTTTAGTTCTGATTAAGCGAGAGTGATCAAACTGGGTGTTTAGTTTTATTACATCAATACCGTGACTAAGTTTGATAATGAACATTTTCTGTTTAGGGTAAGCAGAGCGATAAGCAATTTGGAACATAACAACTCTGCTTTTAATTGAAGTAGAATGTTAAACTTGATGTTCATTAATTAAGTGAATGTCTTGACTGAGTTCAATGATGAACATTTCCCGCTAAAGCTAAGCAAAGCTAAGCTAAGCAATTTCTTTGACTTTGATTCTATCTGATAGAGAGTGATAAAACTTAGTGTATAGTTGATAATCAGTTTGATTGCTCAATACTTTTGAAAAAGATAAACTTGCAATTAATTAAATGTGCCATCTATTTATTTCGGGATTTTGGCAGGGCACATCAGCCTCACTGTTGGGTTGTTCTGTATATTATCATATAATTGTAGAATGGGCTGATCAGTTAACAGATACAAACAGAGGAAAACATTTTATTGGAGATTTTCTTCCACCTCAAGAGTTGGAGAAATTTATGGAGACATATAGAGTAAGTTAATGTCTCATTCATTGTTGTTGATGTTTTGGCTCTGGCTTTAAAGGACTGAGAGCTTGGCAAGAAACAATGTCTAGTTGTTCAGATTAAGTGTACACATTGGCATGCATGCACATAGAAGATCTGAGCAAAATTTCCCTTATTGCATGACGTATGTCTGTCTTCATTAGCCCAGTCGGTACAGAAAATTAGGACTTTAAACCCCATTTCATTTCATTTCTGGCTTTAGAATAATGCTCAAAACCTATACCTTGCTTCATTTATTTTTTAGGCTTTAAAAGAAGGACGTACACCAGATTATTCTGATTATAAAGAGTTTAAGATAACTTGTGAGAATATTGGTTATCAGATGTTACAGAAACTAGGTTGGAAGGAAGGAGAGGGTTTAGGACCTGAATCACAGGGTATTACACAACCTGTTAATAAGTAAGTCTATGTCCATTATGATTTTGTAAAAGGATTGTATTTAACTTTTTGACTAATGATGACATTCTGTGAGTTAGAACTTGAAATTCCATCTCAAATTTTTGTTTTATTGCCCGTAAAATTAGCTGTTATTATTTTGGGGATGCTCGATTGTCAGTACGGAACGTTCAGAATTGATGGAATTGTAATGGCGTGACATGGAATTCAATTCCGTCACAGTTCTGTCAGTCCCAACAACGGAGGTGGTGTGAGTAGAATCGTGCCATAATTAAACACAACCGATATGTTTCAGCTATCATGGTTGGTTGAGACATTTTCTCATGCAGTTAGCGCATGCATTCTAGCCCCAAATCCATATTTTCACATGATAGTCACTATTTTGAGGAAAGGCTGTGGGGGGTATTAACAAAAATACATATTTTGCTATGAATTTCAATATCTTCTCTAGGGGCAATACCAGCGTTGATAATATGGGCTTAGGTATTGAAAAACAGGCAAATTTAAACCAAGATGATGATGAATTTGATGCCTACAGAAAGAGAATGATGTTGGCTTATAAATTCAGACCTAATCCATTGGTAAATAAACTTCATTCTAGATCTTGGTGCAGATTGATAAACAGTAAATAAATTATCATGAGAAGTTATTTTTTAGGTGACCAGTAAAAAGTAAAATCACTTCATCAGTATTCATACTCTACAAATTTTATCCATTCGTGTGTATAATTATGACTTGTTTCACTTTGATGGCTTTCAATAGCATAGAACTAGTCGCTTAGCTAACATTTTTGTAGTATTGTTGTATTATTATAAGCAAAACTAAAACTCAAAATTGCATCCAGATTTGCAACTGTAGAAAAAAATATTGTCTACTTCAATTTGTTCTCTTCTTTTATTGCAGAATAATCCCAGAAGACCATACTACTGATTTACATATTTGACACTATTATGAAGAAAGAGAAATAAACTACACTATAATAAAGAAAATTAAAACCTGTTTTATTTACTATTAAAAGGGGGGTTTGGTGATCGCGTGGTATGGTTCCAATCCCAAGCTTGTCTGCCCAAACTCATGAGTTTTCTCCAAGTACTCTGGTTTCCTTCCACTGCTAAAGACCACTATGCACTTGCAAGATATTGAAATAAATTTATCATGTCCCAAAATGACCTAGTTAATGTCTGGGGGATGTTAAACCCCATTTTCTCTCTGTTTTACTATTAATAGCAATTAAACCAACCATTATCTTGCATTTAAAGATCTTACCTACTTAAAACGATTAAGATTCAACTGATGTCAGTTTCATCTGGATTTGCAGAATATTTTTATACCCTATATGTAATTTATTTGAGAGATGACTCATCATGTTTCTTTTAAAAAAAATTAATTTTATATTTTAAATATGGCATATCCCTCCCCTTCCTGGCTACAAGCAGACATTGTCTCGTTTAATCAGTGACATCATACATTACCTCATTTCTGAATGGAATATATGCAATTGAGGGGGTTTCTTGTTAATTTCCAGTGTTTTTGTAAAATGACCTTGTGGTGAGAGTGAAAAAATGATCAAAACTTTAATATTTTATAGTTTAATATTTACAGTTCTACAATAATACAAATATCTACGTTAATACCAATATTTTACACTTCGTTTTCTATCATCTTTAATTCCCATCTGTTCCATTATATCAGTTTCAAATGTAGACAGTTTAGGTGCAAAAGTCACCTTTTTTAGCTCGCTTTCTTTGGTATCTTTGCTGCATTCTATAAAAAAAATGTCCATTTACAAAATAGGATTGTCAGGTCGTTTATCTGAAACTATAATTACCATGACTAAAATTTCCTAATAGATCTAAACCCTATTTCTGTTGATGAGACCAAGAGTTATTCTTAAATTAATTCCAAATTTCATACTGAAATATACTTTCAAATTAAATATTAAAAGTAACCTTTATAAGAAGCTCTGTTCACAAAATCATCTCCTTCTTGAATAGCTATTTGAGCTAATGGTAAAATTCTACCGGTTTTAAGTGCAACTCGAACTCTTTTACCATCTTCTGTATATCTCCATTCTACATCTGTAGGTTTACTGTTATAAATAAAACATAGTAATCTTATTAAAAATATAGAGTTGGAAATATTTCAATCAAAACATGTTCCTAAATTCATTACCTTGTAATTTAAATTCCATCTGCACTAAGAGAGAGAGAGAGAAATGGGGTTTAACGTCCACTCTACACAAAGTAGGTCATTTCAGGACTAACATATGGTTCAATTATATTTCAATAATTCACTTGCGCGTATGGGTCTTTAGCAGTGGGAGGAAACCGGAATACCCGGAGAAAACCCACGAGGTTGGACAGGCGACCCCACGTACAACCCATCTGCACTAAATCCATAAATTCAGTTTATTGTATCAAAGAATAACAGTCTTCAAGAAGAAAAGTGAGTAATGCCTCTTTTGGTAGCCATTGTGCATTGATTGGTGAAGTGTTGAAACAACTTTATATCTGTTATAATATTGATATCTGCTGCACACAAACATATGGTAAATCTTTGCAAGGAGGAAGAGATATGACCATATTAATGAGACTAAGAAGATGTGCAATTCAACAATATCAGGCAACTCAGATTGTAATCCATCTTCAGTCATCGAATCCTATACAATTATTACATGAAGTAGATTAACGTATCTTACTTGTCTGAGGGGTCGACTAATGCTATTTCTGTTGTAACTAATAAAGGTTTTTCTGTCTTTACCATAAAACCTGCATTTGTACTGGACACATTACTTAAATTATAGTCCTGTTTAAAAGGCAAAAGAAAAAACATCATCATCAAAGGTGTATCAGGTCCTATGAAACATAAAGAATTCTACTATGATTAACTTGATTCCCATTGTTTTACCAGACATGCATAAATGATGTTGGAAGTTAAAACTACATTTCATTGTAATTCCTTTTTGTGTACCGGTAATTCCTTTTTGTGTCAATGCATTCAAAATTTTAACCAGATTGGAAGACAATTGTAGTCGATAAGTGTAATCACCAAAAATTGTGGGCGAACAACAATACATGACCCCATTTTGAATCTGTCGTTAAAGATAAATAACACCAATAAATGTTACTTACACAATTTAATCCTTGAACATAACACCAGTTTCTTTCCTTTATAATACTAGTTATTATTCCTATTTTACCTTTATCTTTACCTGTTAATACTTCTACCTGAAATAATATACAAATAAAAATATCATCACTCTCCCCAATAAAATAAAATAACCTGCAATCTAATCATGCATGTTATTGTACAAACACGGTCAATTCATACAGTTTATTCTTGTCCCCCCTCCTTTCGAAGAAAGCAGGGGACTATTAAAATTGGTTCATGCATCTGTCTGTCACACTTTTTGGAACACAACAACTCTTTTAAATGAGCTAGAATGTTCCAACTTGGTGTAGGTGTTTATTAGGTTGATGCCTTGATGGAGTTCGAAGATGAGCATTTTCTGCTTAGGGTAAGCAGAGGTAAGCAATTTGATTGGTTGATGCTTTGGGACACAATAACTTTAGTTCTAATTAAATAAGCGTGATCAAACTTGGTGTATAGTTACATCAATACCTTGACTAAGTTTGATAATGAACATTTTCTGCTCCGGGTAAGCAGAAGATAAGCCATTTGATTGGTCGAGACTTTTAAACACAATAACTCTCCTTAGAATGTTTAAATTTGGTGTAGGCGTTCATTAGGTGAATGCCTTGATGGAGTTCGATGATGAACATTGTCTGCTTGCAGTAAACAGAGATAAGCAATTTGATTGGTTGATGCTTTTGGGCACAGCAACTTTGGTTATAATTAAGTGAGAGCTATGAAACTCTGAGTATAGATTTATTATATCATTACCTTGTCTAAGTTTGATGAGAATTTTCTGCTTAGGCTAAGGAGCTATAAACAATTTGATTGGTCAAGACTTTGGAACATAACAACTCTGCTTTTAATTGAGTTAGAATGTTTAAAATTGATGTTGATGTTCATTAGGTGAATGTCTTGACTGAGTTCAATGATTAACATTTCCCACTAAAGCTAAGCAGAGCTAAGCATTTTCTCTGACTTTGATTCTAACTGATAGAGAGTGATGAGTTTGATTGCATCATCTATTTATTTGGGGATTTTGGCGGGGACAGTGGGCTTGTTTGTACTACCAACACACCAATGCCTCTTTAAACAACATAAAACCAAATAATTTCTAGCTTTTAACTCAATAATTTTCCACATATAATCCATGATAATCATAGTCTGGTTTGTGGAGGATCCTATAGATTCCAGCAAACCCATACATTTAAGGTCATCTCTTTTACACTTTGTCATTTTGATGTAGCTATGCAATACATGGTGGGCAATTGGAAGGTCATATTTTTATATGTAACAAATGAAATGAAATGGGGTTTAACGTCCTACTGTTCTGCTCCTATACTGGGCTAATGAAGACGGGCATATGCCATACAATGTGCTATGAGGGAAATTTTGCCCGGGCAGCGGCACTATCGCCTACTCTTATAGGGGATCTTTTACATGCATTCCAATATATACACGGGACCTCGGTTTTTCGTCTCATCCGAAGGACTAGACAGCTGTCCTTGTCAGGCCCTCCTTCCTGCATTACTGACAAGGGGAAACCACGCTGGAAAATCTGAATGAGCTTTCTCGGCCAATGCAGGGATAGAACACCCGACCTCCAGGCTAGCGAGCCAGCGTCTTACCCACTTAGCCACGTGATCCCCGATTTTTTATATGTAACAACTACCGTATTCATTGGTAGATTAGGTACACTTTCTTTACCAATTATTTCAATTTCTAGAAGGGGTGTTCCTAATGCAATGAAATGAAATGGAGTTTAACGTCCTACTGTTCTGCTCCTAACCTGGGCTAATGAAGACGGGCATACGCCATACAGTGTGCTATGAGGGAAATTTTGCCCGAACAGCGGCACTATGGCCTACTCTTATATCGAATTCCAACTGCCAAGGGATCTTTTATGTGAACGCCTATGTGTACACGGGACCTCTGCCTTGTTCCTAATGCATAGTGTTAGACAAATCTAAGTTTTCACGTGTCTGAAGATGGAGAAATATATCTATATCATCAATCACAAGGCTAAATTATTGTCTCCAAAACTAATCATGCATTATGCAAGAGTGAAATCTGCCTATTGCAGGTCTTTCTTTACGCCTGAAATGTTATCTAAATTATGAATTAGACATTAATTAAAGATACATTATGGGAGATTAGATAAAAAGCTGACAGTTCTCGCTATAATAGTTAAAAACTAGATAATGTAAAGGTAATTTGTTGAAAATTTCAGTCAAATTGGTCCACTATGAACCGAGATATCAGCTTTGTAAATTTCCGCCTAGCCTTGTTCATCATTACTAAAGTTAGTACGTTAAGAAACATAGTCTGGATTATGCATTGTTTTGATTTAATTATCAATGAGCGTTTGCAGCATATAGGATTCTAATCCAGTCGATATCGAAGGCTAGCCTTGACATCGAGAGTTGATTATGGTCTGGATATGTTAATTAATGTCTAATTAATAATTTAGATAAGATTTCAGGCTTAAAGAAAGACCTGCGATAGGCAGATTTAGCTCTTGCATAATGCATGTTTAACTTATCCAGACCATAATCAACTCTCGATGCCATCGTTAGCCTGCAATATTTTGTGGATTTAAATACATTTTGTGGAGGATAATTTTACGTAAAAATGTATAATCAAGACTTTGTCTATTATCGTACCAACATTAGTAATGACAATTGAGGCTAGCCTAAAATCGAATCATTAACATCTCAGTTCAGAGTGAAGCAATTTGAATGAGATTTTTAGCATATTCTGTTTTCATTATCTATTTTTTAACTTTTATAGCAAGAAAAGTCAACTCTTTATCTAATCTTACCTAATGTCTGTTTAAGTACAATTACTACCATTAACTGTTTGAATGATTACATCTGATCAGGTAGAAATTATATAGTACTATAATGTGAAAGCTCTGTGTTCTTTGTTATATGTTTACACATTGTTTAAATGGGGTATAGTGTCCCACTTTTCTGCACCGACTGGGCTAATCAATACAGGCATACAGTGTGCTGTGATAGAAATTTACCCGCACAATGGCCTACTCTTACCTGTATTTTGAATTATAATGTGTTCTTGTACATGCACATCCGAATGACTAGACACTGTCTTTAGACTGGATATAAGAAGTTTAAAGAAAGGAATTTCATTTTAATTCTTGATTCAATCTTTATTTCAATTCAAATTACATAAATATTAAATATTATAATATTTTTCTTTAAATAGAATTTGTAGAAATGAGAACCACACAATTAACATACACATAGTGTATAATGTAATGATGACAATCTTACATTAATGATAGAAAGAATCAAACTACACAACAAACACACAAGCAAAATCACATTAGGTCAGGGATTTTTTTTTTCTTTTAATGGAAAAACTAATATCTATATGCCTGTCTAGAAATAGAAAGAAAGCATCAAATTGAGACAACTGCTGTTTGCATTTATTTCCTGTTTCATGTAATATGCCCTCCTGCCCATCTTGACATTCCAGATCATGTAGTTTATGGATGATTGAATCCCTAGCTTAACACTCGGGGTTTCATTGAGTAAGAAGGATTATTACTCCCCCACCAACCCCTTATTTATTTTTCACTTGTAAATAACTGTGTAAAGCGGAGATGCTTATCAGTGAGGCAGGGATATTTCATGTTGTTTGCAGAAAACTGCCTAGTTATGAAAATTATTACAAAACTTTGAAACTATTTAGAAACAGAAAACACATTCAATGACATGTATTGACTTTATTTAATAAAATTATACGGTTTTATAAACTTACTGGAATCCAATAAATTAAGTAAAGTTCTGTACAAGAGAACAAAATTTATATCCTTTATAAACCAAACAATAGATATAATATATACTATCTACAGGTAATTTTGTCATCATAAACATAATTATGAAAATAACAAATTACCTGGAGTGTATGGCACATAATTCATTTCTTTTATTATTTACACTTAATTAGAACACAAAATTAATTGACAAAATAGTTACTACAATATAGGGTGACAAAATAATAAGTTGGAAGAAAAAACAAAACAAAGTAATTAACACTATAAGCTTACACATACATGGAATAGCTGTAATTAAACAAATCAAAGATACATAAGATCTTTCATAACCCATTCTATTCAATTCAAAAAATCAATTACCTCTTAAAACTAACACCATATGGACAACATTAATACTAGAAAATTGAAAATTATTGAGAAAAACAAACTGACTTTGAATGGGAATGTAGATTTCTAAATTTGTTTTCCAGTATTTGGGTTTCATACAATATTTCATTCAAAGTCACATTTATGTACTGGTACATAAGTATTTCTCCCTAATATTTTCCAACTTTCTAGTTTATATAAGACCTCCATAAGTTATTAAAAACAACCTTATTATGTTCTATTATACAACATGATAGATGATATAAGATAAAATATTCATTATAAACTCAATTAATTATGCCACTATTGTTAACTTTCCTCTATCAATAAGACAGTTTAAAACTGAACATCATATGATGAAATCTGACATAGGACATAATAGTCAAATATAGGAGAAAAAAATAATGGTTGCTTTATTGATTTCTTATTGGAATGGGGGTGTTTATTACATCAGGGATGGTAATTATAATAGAAAGAAATTGATGAATATTGATATTAAAAAGGGATAAAATATTCATAATACAAGCTATACCTTAGTAGTACAAAAATGAATGCCTTATTCCAAACTGATGTACAGTAATAATCTTGTAGATGTCTGATATTATTGGTAATAACAATGGCAATATTAATGGTCTTATATATGAAACAGACAATCGTGTGATACAAAATGATCAGTCCTTTGTACAACCGGGATTATTCATCCTCAAAACTTCAAACATTGATGAAATTTTGTATTTAAACAATATTTATCAGTACATTGAAGCATTCTAAGGTCAAGAGACCACATATAAAGATAACAGCCAATAAACATGAAAACATCTTGATAGAATACATTCATTCAATATTAGAAATAACTGAAAATTAATAAATCAAATTTTGAAACATTTCCCACTATCAAACATTGAAAAGTAATTTTCAAAAAAATAATCATTTATTATTTTAATCATTTGTGCCATTAAAAAATATTTCAACTGCTAATTGGAAATGTTATTTAACTTAAAACAGAATTTATGATTTTACTGCATTTATAAAAACCAATATTTGAAATTAGTATTTTCTTTAATTATAATATCAAGAATGTTCAGTCATCAGTACTTTTCAGCGTATTATACTTTACATATGATGGATATATTTTGTGCGTAATATACAAGTTGAAAATGTGATTTATACAATAAGTGTAGATTATTAATCTAATTAAAATTAGACAGTTATTTTGTTCTGTTTTCAATCGGTTGTACGAGATACAAAATAATGATTAATGTTAATTAGATTGTGTAGATTATCAAATAAGAATTCATTGAAAAAAACGAAACACAGAGACCTATCATGTATCATATCAATGATCCTTATTCAGTTTTCATGTCATTTTTTCATTGCAATTACATCTGATATTAATGAACAAAAAATCCCAGAGTATCTATATACAAATGTGAGTATATAAAGTTGTATTATACATAATATATGTAATAAGAAATAATAATAATGTTTATTTTTACATAAAATCTATTGTTATTTTAATATGTCCCACCCTGCATATAAATAAATAAACAAGCCTGGAAATAAGGCACCTGTCACAGACAATGTCATGCACAAATTCAAGCTTTGTCACATGTTATTCCTGAGATGCCTGTCATTTTATCCACCATAGACTTATCTTTATTCTATGATTTTAATTCATGTCTGACAAGATATCAAAATAGTGCCAGCCATTTTTTGGTTTTTTTTTAAGTAAAATCAATATTCCCAGGCCTGTGGCTAAATAAATTTCTTTATGAACAACTGTTATATGATATTTAATTTAATTTAATTTAATATGAATAATGAGAAAATATATAATGTCAGTCTCCTAATGGTTTCAATTTATGAGAATAGTTATGGTATTAAACATCACATTTTCTGTATAGTATTCAAATCAAAATAATTATATACTGTCATTTGATTACTTATTAAATAATTAATATTTGAAATCCATATAACATGATAAGGTGAAGTCTCATTGTTGTGTCAGAATAGCTGTGTTTGTTTAAAATTATGTTGACATAACTTGGAAGTCTTTACACAGACCTATTATTATTTCCAAATGGGCTCGGTGATATCTTGATCCGAACAAAAAAGAAATTTAAGTACAACACAACTATTAACAGAATTCAATTGGTGATATTTTGCACGTATGTACCTGCACACTCGTGGTTCAGTTATAAGAACTGATCATTAAGAGCAGATCTATAATTAGTATAATTTTCCATTCAGAAATCAGACAGACCACTTTTCAATGCAGAAGTATTTTATACATAATTCAGAGAAGAACTAAATTTATTAATTCATGTTTTGTCCAAAATGATGCCACTGTCTTAAAATATGCAAGTTTTAGAAAAAGAGAGTAAAAGTAAATCTGTTATTCATACAATGTGTCATGTATCTGTCAGTAATGTTTCTAATTTGAAGATACTGACTGAAGATTCAAAATTATTTAAGCTATAATAAAATCACTGACAATAAACACCTTCTTAATCTTCTAAAGCATCACTCTCATTTCATACTTTCAACACCTTTTCCGTTTCTTTCAACTGATCAACAGAAAGCCTAATAAATCATCATTCAATCAATTACTTATTCAATAGAAGCCAGTTTCACAAGTATATGAATTGATTAATACTTTTTTTTTTTTAAGATGAACCACACCAGCTTCACTAATTCAATTTTCATGTATTATAAAATCTTCTTTTCTTAATATAGTTTCTATTAAAGATATATTCCCTCAAGTTTAACCCGGTTATTTGATCAAACCTCTGAACTTACTTTATCTGAAAGGATGATATTCGTAAATGAAATGGAGTATAGAATCAACCTGCCTATATTAAGTACACAATATTAAAATAAGTTAATGATTACAAGGCGCCTACCACTGAGTCTGATGACTTCGCTTTTTAAGTTGGTGCATAATAAGGCATACATCATCTGACAAGTGTAACATATTAAAGCAGCTAAATTCCTTGACTGTCAAAAACATTTCCCTTGAGGTATCTGGAATGACATGTTTTTGGTACCAATACATCTTATTCTTGGGGCATTGGTTAAGTTTTCCAACTGATGGTCATATTGAGGAAATATATCTTTAATCTTACCTTTTTGTCATGTGCAATGTAGAATTTATTAAGATCAATTCAATTTGTTGTTCACAAGAAGTATAGAAAATTAAATACTGTCTTTATGTCAAAAATAAACCCCATTACTTTTGTCATTGAAATTTTATTTGGTGGGTCAGGATTTAAGATTAATATTGTAAAACTAGCTCCTTGCATTTAGACCATTCTACTACTTCTACCATTCAGATTCAATTATTCCACTGTAAAAGTAAATTAAGCCAACAGAAGGTAACTGTACAACTGCTGCCTTACAGAGCTGTATATTATCTAATATCAGCTTTAGTAAAATAATAATGGTGCCACCTATTATCATATCAACATTATTATCATTACTGCATTCACATTCATAAAGCTGAAGATTCATTTTTCCTTAAAAATATAAAACATTTCAATCTTTTACCTAAAATACAGAGTTCAGATTTCCTAAAAGACTGATTATAATTAGATTTAAATAATGGCAAATAAGAATGTTCCAACAGAAGCCTACACATTAAATTCTAATCAAAATATTTAAATAAAAACTACAATAATAATTGTAAATCAAATATTACTAATTTTATTTCAAACATTCCAATCACATCTAGGTGGCACCATTTGTATTATAAACAAGATCAGAATCAGTTCACACTATTTACATAACACCTCCTCTCCAATAGTAACAGTACCAAACACATGGTCAGAAATCAAACTATCCAAAACAATCAATTCAAAAAGTTTTTAAAAAAATCACTATTTTTGAGAATACTTTTTAATTCTTTTGAGTTGTATGTGTTAATAAACTATGTTTTTTATTTTAATTATTTGCCTCTACATGTATTCAAAATCCTCAATATATTTCAATAACAAGATGGCAAAAAGAAATTCTGAAATTTCTAAAGGCGGGTGTATGTCGAGTTGTAAATCTAATCAACCCAACTTAATTCCTTATATCTCCTATATAACAACTCAACAAGATGACATTATGGTATTGTTCCATGATTAGGTGATCAAAATGGTGAAAGTTAGTATAAAACAATTTATTATTGTTTACATGTTCAACCTGTAATTTCAACTTGAACAAAATGTATTTCTCAGAACTGAAAAAATTCTTTATTGCTGTCTTTACCTCCAACCCCTCCAATTTTTATTGCAAACATGCCACTTGACAAAATCTTCAGGCACCTATATCCTATATAGGATTACCTCTAGAAGTTGGCCTGTTAAAAGTATATGTTCCAAAAAAAGTTGCAGCGAGTCATGGAAGGTAACCATGGCAAACTTTCAAGATGCCAATAAGAGTTGAATGGTGAACGCGATATACGCCTGCCTTAAACTGGATTATAAATACCTCTAAATCAAATAGAATTCTAAATGAACATGAATAATCATTCAAATCTAATCATTAAAGTATAAGTATAAAAAAACTGCCATTTATCGTCACTATGGGTATTAAAATAATACTATTTATAGATTTTAATAGTGTAGCAATTCATATAGTCATTTTTTAAAAACAATCATTCTTACTTATGATAATGTAATATTTATAAATGGAATTAAGCATACAAGAAGAAACAAATACTCAAGATGTTAAAATATGCCATCAAAGATCACATGATGTTAAAAATGATCATACAAAACTAGAATATATCATTTACAAGGCATTTAATGGTCGATGATGATGAATTTAATATTTGTTATATGTGTTACGACTTCATACTGAAATTTCAGATACATTTCATGTTTTGTCAGCATATGATAGGGCTGCAACGATGAGAAATTTTGAACTGATATATACTGTAAATTTTGAATATATCCAATGTGTATTGTAGTTTTTTTTTACTTTTACAATCAATAAATGGCATCGAATTGGGTTGATCTAATGTCTTAGTTCTATTAGTGATGGGGACAGCTCTGTACAACTGAATTTTTATTTTGAAATATGAAGTTTCTTTAACAATAGTATTTATGCCTATCTTCTTACCACAACACAAATCAACAGATAAAATCAGATGATATCGACAATTTAATTTTTTATCCAAATATTCAGCTAACCTAAACAATGTACAAATTTCATGCCATTAATGTATGTTATTAAACCTTAGTTTGGCACAATCTTAATTCATAATTTGTAAATAAAATTTAAAACTAGAAAATGTTACATAAAGCTGACCTGACTATTATGAATTTCGTATTTTCACTAACAACTTGTGGATAAATTAAAATAACTTTAATACAAAATATATTAGCAAATTATCACTTTGGCTTTGGGATGCACACATGCTTTACTGGAAATAATTATATTATTATATAGAAATACTACCATAATGAAGCCTAGCACAACCATGTTGAATATTTACAAACTAATACATATTATACTCCTATAATTTCCATAAAACTTTGTAATAATCTACTTGGGTAACTTTTGATACTGATATTCTGGGTTAATTGTACGCAGGTTTTTCTGGGTAAGTACATCCAAAATGTTGAATAACAACTGTAGCAGAATAAGAGCCACATCTGATACATTCTTCAATAGATTTACCCTGAACAAGTTGAGATAAGAAGCCACCAACAAAACTATCGCCACACCCGTTTGTATCTTTTATAATACTATGATCTACAGGAGTGACAGGATATACTTCTATTTTCCCTGAATGAGCTATTATAGTTGGATCTCGCCCCTGAGTAAATATAACAATACGATCTTGACCTGGGTTAATTTTAGGTAGTTGAGCAGTTTTTCTTGCCATTTCTTTAATATCATCAGTTTCGAACTTTAATCTTTTACTTAGTTCTGCTGCTTCATCCCCATTTCCAAACAAAACATCAACATATTTTAAAATATCTAAAGCTGGGTCTGCAAAATGTTTACATAAAAAAGTAGCATGTAAATTCATGACAACCAATTTCTTATTTTCTGCAGCATGTTTGGCAACTGTTAAGACTGACTGTGGACTGACAGGCAGAAGAAAACCACCAATATAATAGAATTTAGCCTTTTCAACGTAATGCCAATTTTCTGGTCTTAGCAAATATTCCACAGTGAATAATTCAGCTGCTCCAAGTTCCGACACCAAAGACCGATCTTCACCAATAATGATGGCACCACAAATGCCAGTTTTCTGTCCTGCATGTACCTGGTAACGGACATTAACGCCAACCTCTTGAGCTTTTCTCTCCAATATCTCAGCAAAAAGGTCATCACCTACACCTCCGAAAAAGGTTGTCGCATTTCTTTTCTGCAGGAGCCACTGTGCCACTCGGACACTATTTTGAGTGGCACCTCCAGCGATGTAAATTGGCTTAAAGTTCTGAATCATTTCTAGAAACATATCTTGATGATGGTTGCTGGCTATTATAGCATTGTTTGGTAACAAGCCATATTTGTCTAGAAAAGATTGATCCGTAGTGATCGTGATATCTAAAAGTGGATTGCCCAGACCAAGTAAAATGCCTTCTGGTACTGCTGGTGGCATGGTTGACGGTAAACTGCTCATTTTCTGAAATAGAAAAACAAAATGGAGAAAGTTAGAACATTACGAGGATACAGTATATTTATTTAAATTATAAATAATGATCAATACCATTCTCATATAAACATATTGGACCTATGTAGTGGAATTAAATGACAAGAACAGTCTCAGACAAGCTATGACAACTAATGATGATTTCAACTGTGTAAACAATTACCCAGTTAGAAAAACTACTTGAACAAAGCCATATGGTGCAAAAACTATATACATCATGTAATTATTTTATCTTTGAGAGTCTAATATAGGTCTTTCAGTAAGTGCAAAGGAAAACAGGATAATGAATTAACACAGAGTAGCATGTATAACAAGTCTGTATAACAAGCCTCAATCACAAAATAAAGAGATAACACTCATTAATCACTTGTAAATTTATATTTTTATAATGCATCAAGCAATCAAATTAGTTATCAATATTTATCAAACTGCATAAAAATTCAGATTGAGATTAGTCAAGGTATTGATGTAATGAAACTATACACAAAGTTTCATCACTCTCACTTCGTGTTCCAAAGCATCAAAAAATCAAATTCTGTATCTGTGCTTAGCCTAGGCAGAAAATTATTATTATTCACCTAATTATAATCATCTACACTAAGTTTGAACATCAATTAGACCTACATGTAAGTTTTCTTGTACCAGAACTCTGTCAAATTTAAAAGAATAATTCATAATAAAATTGAAGAGTCAACAACATATTGTGCCAGCACTAATATACACATACAGATTTCTTACATAATGATGATATTTGGCATCATTCCATGTTTCTGATACTTTTAACAATTTTGAGATAATTGATAAACCAATGTTGTATATGGATACATTGAACTTTACATGCCTAATCTTAAGTAGTTCCTTTAGGAACTGTCTCTGATCGGACTATGTCTGCTGACAGTTCATACCGCTTGCTATACAGCTGCAATATGAAAATACCGCTCATCCCAACCTCTTGTCTGAGGCTATTTTTGAATCCTTACCGTCTATTTTTCACCCTGATTCTTCTTTGCTTGCCAAAGGAATCATTTCTTTCCACAGCTTACACACATTTATAATAATTCAACACTATTTTCAAGCAGAATTTTGCGATAAAAAACATACACAAAATACGTTTGAACTGATCAGACATTACGAGACTCAAACATGTGAAGACCGCATGTTTATTTAATTGCTAAATTCTACTTAAAAAAAGAGTTGAATTATTATAAATTTGGGTCAGATATGACAAGAAATGATTCCTTTAGAGAAGAATAAACATTCACGGTGAAAAATAGAAGGTAAAATTTCCAAAATAGCCTGAGAACAGAGGTGGGGAAGAGCGGTATTTTACCGTATTTTCATATTGCAGCTATATAGCAAGCAGTAGGAACTGTCAGCAGACATAGTTCGCTCAGAGACAGTTCCTAAAGGAACTAAATCTTAAACAGACCCATTTAGATGACCAAAATAAGCTAACTAAGAAAAAAGTTCTTTTTGAAGACAGGTGGTGAACTAGTTTCCTTAAATTGATTTATTTGTCTCAACCTTTGGTTTAACGATTGCCAGAGTTTTTTTTTAAAACAGCTCAACTTTGTCTGATCTGCATATATGAGTCTTAAACATAACATTATCTCTTACATTATCTTATCTAGAGTATATTACAGTCCCTACTGTAGTACTCTAGATAAGATAATGTAAGAAGTTGTATTTTAATCCATGTGCTTGTGCTTTTGTATACATCTTGTATAATATGGAATGTATAAATCTCAATATAAGTTTATCTTTCGTTATAAGTTATATGTACATAAACAGCTGATAGCAGCATGAATATCCTAATTCATATTCACTTGTATTGCACGCATGACAGAATTAGAAAACATGGCTTACCCTGAATACTTGTATACAAATGGCCGAATGTGGCAAGCGTTCTAATGACCTAAATCTAGCCAACATGTTCTATTTTTGCAACTATGGCAATACTGTCTTTAAACTCCTGTACTCAACAACACCCTTCAACCAATGCTACACCTTTCATTTGCTCTAATATAAACACTAAACAGTGAAAGTCACCCTGCCCTATCCCTAACACTTAATGGTGGGACTATAAATAGAGAAACATTCAAATCCCCCCTATGTTAAGTTGAGATCATATCTGACTAAAGTCTTTACATTAAATATCTGCTGTGTTTAGGTAGATGAAGTGTTCAGTATATATGACTGTGTTATGTATAACACAGCTGTTCACATTTTACATGGTATTATTACTGATATACATTAGAAGGCAAGAAGATTTAGGGGTTCAAAATCTAATAGACACAACACAATGTCATTATCATTAAAAATCTCATAATAAGGAATTCCATTACATTCAGATAGTTGGAAAAAACCCCATCAGGTTTCTATTTTGCCAAATCATGTTTTACAGTGTAATTATCTTATTAAGTTCTCTATTACATTGCACAAAAATGGTGTTCATTACATAGTTTTAAATTGCTTAAAATGATAAACAGATTACATTGGAGAGAGGGGGGGGGGGTATATCCAGAATGTTTGTTTTAGATTTTTAGACAATATTACTAATACTTTGGTGGGGTTGTCTTTTGGGGAGTATGATATGGGTCAAATAACAGCTATTCATCAAGTTTATGAAATAAATATTTATAATTCATAAAACATTTACATTAAAAAAAATACTGGATAGGTTTCTGTATCTCCATGTTATTGATTATTGGTCGGATATAGTGAGCACTATCCACCTACTACATAGTACATGTACTATACATAGATAACATCCAATACTACATGTATCACATGACCTAGTGTGGAAAAACTAGGTCAGTTGACCTAGTTATTGGTAATTATCTAACTTGTTTAAGCATGCTGATGTGGCATTATATAAATCCATATGGCATTATATAAATCCATAGTTGAGAGAAAATTGCAAGAAAATCATTCATTATAATAATTTAAATAAATCATTAATACAATTTACAGTTAAAATACTTCTCACCATGGACCTGACTACATCTTAATGTCATGATGACTGATGAATACAGGCCATATCTATATTACTATTAATTTGTTTTACCTATTTATTTTGATTCTTAAATCGCTAATTGTTAGTGTTTTCCTAAATTCTATCTGGATTATAGCCTTTATTATTGTTAATTTTTATGACATCAATGTGGACAATATCGCCATCAAGAAACATCATTCAGCAGCCAACTACTCTCAACACCAGTCGCACCATTTCTATTGCATCCTTCTTGTATATTCATTGCGAGTATGTTTTCATTTTGATTGAAGTGCATATTATAGATGACCTGGAACTATACAGTGCAATGGATGCTTATGGTTGGGCCCTAGAACTATACATGTCAGGAACCACAGTGGCTCAGTGGGTGAGGCACTGGCTCACTAACCAAGAGGTCTAGAGTTTGATTCTGGTGTTGGTCGAGAGATTCCCTGAAATTTCCAAGTGTCAAGAACAGAAGGCCTCACAATGACAGTGTCTAGTCATTCGGATGGTATAGAAACTAAGGTCCCTTAACAGTTGGAATTCGAAATAAAAATCGGCCCTAGTGTTTGCACGACTAAAATTTCACTCATAACACACTGTATGGCATACGCCCATCTTCATTAAAGAGCTGGCTGTTCTTGCTATACTAGTTCAAAAATAGATAATGCAAAATAAATATATTGAAATTTCATTTAAATTACTTTATTCTGAGCCAAGTTTATCACGGTTTGCAGTTTTGATAAGATGTGTGCATTGATTGTTTATTATTGTAACCACGGTACTGGTATATTCAAAAATTAGCCTGGCATCTCCATTTTTAAATTAAATCATTAAATGACCGAACGGTTCTAATCTACTTAAAATGGGAGAAATCCGATGGCATTGGTAGTTGATTATGGTTTTGTCTGCACATTTTACTTTTAAGGGTGTTGTTTGTGTGTGATGCTGTCATCCTGCACTTAGTAATAGATCATGACAATAATAAAACTTAAAGGGGCATTATAGGATATTAGATAAAGTGCTGACAGTTCTCACTATAATAGTTAAAAAATAGATAAAGTAAAAAGAATATGCTGAAAAATTCAGTCAATTTGCTTCACTCTGAATTGAGATATTAGCGATTCGATTTTAGGCTAGCCTCAATCATCATTATATATAACGGTACGATAATAGACAAAGTCTCAATTATCCATTTTTACATTAAATTATCCACCACAAAATGTATTCGAATCCACAAAATATCGCAGGCTAACAATGTCATTGCGAGTTGTTATGGTCTGGATAAGTTAATTAATGTCCAATCAATAATTTAGATAACATTTCAGGCCAAAAGAAAGACCTGCAATAGGCAGATTTAGCTCTTGCATAATGTATGTTTACACCACTGTATTGTCTTTTCTAAAGTTGTGACTGGATCACTTAAACTAGTTTAAATACCAGATAAGTAACTTTTGAATTTTGCTAAGGTTTCTTTGTTACTACCAAAGTTCAGGTACATGTAGTGCCATTGATATCTGAACGACCACTGATCATTTACGTTTTTTTGAGTAAGCCAGGCTAAGAAATACAAGACCATAGTTGTCCCAGCAGTCCATAAAGGTTGTCACATTTCTATTCTTTCATACTTAATGGGTGCACTCATAAGGCACTGAAAGCAGGTCCAGGGCAACAACCCATGAAGTAATTTTCAGAAGGAAGTAAATTTGATAGGCTTTTAGTTTCTAGTTCTTCAAGCACACACAAACGTGTACCAGTGATCGGTTTATAATGTTACCTGTTCCAAATTTCAAAGATATGTTGCAAGCCTATCAAACATATGCCCAAATCAGCTAAACTGTCTCAGCAAGTCAACAGAGATTTCACATATCTATTCAAGACACTGATATCAATTTTATACAGATCAGATGATAATTTTTATGTTTTAGGTGTTATAAATGGAAATTGCCGAAATTCAACAGGTTTCTCTCTTTTACTAATCTATATATAAATACATATATAAATTTAATACAAATCGGATGATAATATTTGTCGTCAGAGGGTTCACAAGATTCAACAAAGAGCCATAACTCTAGACATCATTTATGGAAATTGCTAAAATAGGCTTCTTTGTTTCATTAATTTAAATAATGCTATAATTTAATACAGATCTGATAATAACTTTTGTAGATAGAGCATTCACAAGGATAAAAGATAGGTTGCCAGGCAACAAAACATACGCCTACAGCAGCTAAGTCGTCTGGGGTGTCAACAAGGGTTGTCGCATATTTTTTTTTTTTTTTTGTCAGAAATGAAAACATTTACAACACACTAAAATATGATGACAAGTTTTGCCCTATTCTAACATTTAGCATATAAAACATTTAATATCAATTTCTATAATCACTGGAAATCGTTAAAAATTGACAGGCTTCTTCATTTGATGACCTTAAACACTGTGTATAAATTCAAAGTCAATCGGTTATTAACTTAAGACTCTAGAGCTTCTACACGATTTTTCAATAAGCTTCTTTATCTCATGATGTGTATAAATTTAAAGTCAATCGGATATTACCTTTAGCCTCTAGAGCATCCACAAGATTTTTCAAAGTGATCAAGGGCCATAGCTCTGGCATTAATTATCGGAAATCAATGAAAATCAATCAGCTTCTTCGTCTCATGACCTTAAACACTGTGTATAAATTTAAAGTCATTCAGATATTAACTTCAGCCTCAAGAGCGTCCACAAGCAATTGTGGACGACGTATGGACGGACGTGGGGCGACGATACGACCACATTTCAATGCGGGCGTATAAAAAGTCAAACAAGAGCTATAACTCTAGAACTAATTTATGGAAATTGCTGATATTAAATAGGCTTCTTTATTTCACTAATTTAAATAATGCATATAAATTTAATACAGATCAGATGATAGCTAGTGTCGTTAGAGCATTCACAAAGTTCAACAAAGTGGAACAAGGGACAGAACTCAAGAAGTAATAAACGAAATTTCAATATGTACACGTATATGATTCATTCAATGAGTGTACTTGTTGGTGGCAAAAGTTTGTTTCAACCCATCTGATCTATCCTTTTCAGACAGACCTCTATAATGATAACTTTATCCTCAAAAGCTTTTGTAAGGGATCAAGGGTCATAATTCTGACAAAAATTATTATGAACATAAACACTGTGTTTAAATCAGATGATAATTTTAGACTTTAATGCATTTACAATAGATCGAAAGACAGATGAACTGGGATGACGAAAATAAACGACATTTCAATGCGGGCGTATAAAACTGTGTGGTTATTGTAATTGTACACAAATAAAAAAATTCTGTAAGCATAGAGTAACACTACAAAATAAAGAGATAGTAAATCTAAATAAAAGTTATTTTTAAAACAGAATGTTTTAGTTAGTACAAATTGGTTTTTAAAGCATCAATAAGTACAAGTATCTTCAGCTAGGTATGAATGGACTTGATAAAATGTCAGTGATCCCAACATGACCACTCAGCACTTCATTATACTACATTATGTAGTTAAATTAAGTCCCATCAACCACTTATCTAAATATTTATTATAAGAAACTGGATCATAGGTATAAACTGCCTAGCAGTGGACTGATTTAGAAAATCGCATCTAATGCTATTGAAAAATACTGGTTTTGGTTTTTGAAATTAAACAGCATGACCTAGGGCATGAGACAGCACACCTTAACCTAGGCTTAGTAACAGTTAATTTATACATGATGACCCCTCTTCTACACACGATGACCTAACCTATTTCTTCTGTACTGACCTCATTCACTCCTGTGGAGTTATTTGACCTAATTCCTCCCCTTCCCAACACAACTATTGGTTATATTGATCGAGTAACTATGCCTTTAGCTTGGACTATAATCAATTTCTCCTTCCTAGCCAATCACCATATTTCCTCGCCCTAAAAGTACCGGTATAACACAAACTTTATATGATTTCCCACATTTTCTTATTCAAATACTATCTATAATAAATGACCTAAGTTAGTTATAGTCCAATGTTGTTGAAATATGTAAAGAATAATTATTGATTTACACCATAAATCAATTATTTTATGTATAGAAAACTTTTACAAATTTAAAAATGTAAATTCAACAATGTCATAGTATCACAATTGACTAATTTTATTCAGCGTCACATAAAACCAGAAAATTTAAAGGTTTTGAGATGAAACGTAATACAAAAGTTATGCAAAATCGATTGAAATAGGTTGAATTAAAAATTCAAATCAAATATCTAACATATTGAACAGACAACAATCACTCCACATTTTGATCCATCCTTGTTTTTTCCTTAACTCTTTATTTAGAAAACTTATGACAAGGAATATATAACATAAATTTACGTAAGATATGAATGAGAATGGCATTGATATTTTAGCCTAAAATGATGTGTGTTTAAAAAAAAAGTTACATTCTTCAAAAGTGAAATGCAAATCAGAGTTAAATAGAATACAAAATAAAGAAAATGAAATACTTACCTACTATGACTTCCATGATGTTTTCCTAATCTGAATCAAATTAACCCTGGATTCTCCCACAAAAGTTGCAATTCATATTTATTATTTTCTGTTTCTTCATGATGTAATTTGTAGGGTAGTGTCACTAGAGGTGACCCAAATCCTACCTACTTCACTGAAAACATTTACTTCTTTCTGCTAGTAGGTCAGTGATATTAATGGCACCCACACTGTACAGTTTGTGTACAGATAACATAATCAATACCTCCCGATTTTTGTATATAACAGGGGTTGTCCAACATTTAACATCCCATAATCATTGTTATTTCAAATAGATGTGCATCCCAAAGCCTGATCAAATTGATTAAGCAGAGTATAAACGTAACCTACATGGTGATTTTTTTTTCTATTAATGACAGCTGGCTCTGTGCCAAGCTGACCTCATTTCGTCTCTATGTCCACATGACATACTGATTTACGTCACATGATCTAATCGGATCTATTAATAGCCATCATTGATATATATATATATGGTAATGAATTGTGTGGGTGTTATTTTTTTCCTCTGATGTGTAACCATGACAATATAACTAGAATGTTTATCATTGAAAACTGGTACATGTGGTTGGTATGGCCTACAAGGACCAGTACTACTGAGATTGTCGAAAAGTTTGTTTATTTCTAGTGTATCCTTACTGTCATGATTATAATACATTACAACTTACTGATGTACATATCTTAATATTCTTTTCAATACCAGTACATGATGTATTCTTTAAACATTGATAAATAAAAATCATTTTCAAGAAATTACATTATGAACCAAAATTTTCAAAAAGTGAAAAAACAATGAATATTGGAGGTTTTATTAATGAAAATTTAGAATCCATTTTGCCTTACAATGATCGATCAAAATGTACTGATATATCGTTGCATAACAAACGTTTGTAAAGATTCAGTTCTTCACATAAAGGCAAATGTAAATAATCGAGCGGAGGCCCCGGTGGTCAACCTAACTGAAAAGTGTACCAATTTTCTCCTATATATGGTATCATTGCCAATCTGATTAAAACACAGATTCTATTTTACTTGTCTTTACTACACTAGGATCTGGAAGAGTTGTTATCATTGACGTGTTCTGGGTGTGAGGGATTAGCCAATGAAACGGTCTGTTACGGAGAGCTTTTGGTGTGAGGTGCACAGAACTGTGGGTGTTCAACTAGAAACATCAATGCTGTTTGCCAAATCAAATGACTGACAACATAGGATCAAAGGCAGCTTGTATGGCCTCTGACGCGACCTCCCAGTGCAACTGGTCAGATCTTCATGTCGTGTAGGCCATCGAAAGTATAAAAAAACAAAACAAAATATAGATCTGTATTTTAATCAGATTGGTATCAATGCATGCACATCTGGCATCATCAGAATGTAAGTCTGCTGGGTATCTGGTGGTGGGTGTGGTATTCCACACCCAAAATGCCATGCTATGTAATTGACAACATTTGGAGTGGTGGAGTATCCCTGACAAGAGTTATCTAATTTCCAGACCACAGTTAGGCTTAGCTGAAATCCGTACCACCTAAAAGAGCTTTGGAGTTGTTCAAAACCACCACAGGAATCATGAATGACCACTGCCAGACAGTTTGCGCGGAGGGTTACCCCTAACAGACACGCTCAAAAATGCCACGCCCCCAACTAGGATAAATTAGTGGGCACTGTTTCCCATGTTCTAAAAAATTAAATTTTTTGCCATGAAGCGAAGAGACAATAAACTGAGGTTGCAAGACATTGATTTTTGGGCAAAAAATGTGAGGAATACCACATCCATCACCAGATACCCGGCCGACTTACATTCTGATGATACCAGATATGCATGCATTGATTATAGGAGAAAATTGGTACACGTTTCAGCTAGGTTCGATACGCACGAATATCGAAAGGAACCAAGATCTTTGGGATACAAACATTTATTCTAAGTTTCATCAAAATCAGACAAAGATAGATTGCCAGACAACGAAATATACGCCCACAGCAGCTAAATCGTCCTATTTCATACTGATTGGATTATAATTTTCGTCCTTTAAGGGTTCACAAGGTTCTACAAACTAAAACAAGGCTGTTAACTATGGAAGTAATTTACAGAAATTGTTGAAATTAAATAGACTTCTTCACTTCACTAATCTAAATGATGCATATAACTTCATACAGATAGAATGATAAAATTTGTTGGTCGAGCATTGACAGGGTTGAACAAAGTGAAACAACGGCCAAAACATCCCAAACTTAGGCTGCCTGTCTACAGCTAGCTCCGCCAGAGAACAGGTCCTAAGCTAATTAACTGACATTTTAATTCCTACATCGACGATTTTAGTCGAAAACATTTATTTCTCTTCTATTGTCATATTGAATGATATTAAATATGTTTATTTAGCCGCTGTGTGTATGAAAGATGTCAAACTAATCAAAGCCGAATCACAAAATAGTCCTATAATTATTCAATATGGCGGCGCCCATGAAAGATAATTTCACAGAGGAGGTTTTGTTTGCGAAGACAAATTTAGGAGTATCTTACCTTGTTTTGAAAGATAAACAGATTGAAACTCTAAAGACAGTTTACAATGGCAAAGAATGTATTGCAATATTACCCACTTGCACATATTATATATCGCTTTTACCGGAATGGCAGAAGTTGACATTTTGCCAATGATATGTGTTAACATAAAACACATGCTTGATCTGGTTATTTTTACTCTGTTGTGTACACAAAGCAGTAGTCCAGTCAATAAGTCCTGCCCCAAAATGATCACATGAGCGTTTTAAATTGCGGGCAACTTGGGCAGTGATCATAATCTTGAAGTATGACGTAGATGGATTGCTGCGTGCAGTTTGGGGCCATAACTCTAGACGTAATTAATGGAAATTGCTGAAATAGGCTTCATCGTTTCAATTAATCTGAATAATGCATAAAAATTTCATACAGATCGGAAGATAACTTTTGTTGTTAGAGTGTTCACAAGGTTAAACAATGTCAAACAAGGGCCATAACTCTAGACGTAATAAACGGAAATTGCTAAAATTCACGAAATTCGAACTCAATCATCATTATGGTGTATCTGAATGTTTTTTTTAAATTAGATAAAAATTGTGACCTCAAAATAGAAATGTGACACAAAATAGAAACAAGCCAACAGTGACAATTAGAAGGAGAATTATTGTGTCCCAAAAAGTGTGACGGACAGACAGACTGACGGCGGGGGACAATGACGATTTTTCATAAGGAAATACAACAGCAATGTACGAATAAAATTGGAGCTACGATATTTTCATCACAAAAGTTCTTGGTTAACTGGAAAACAACCTGACTTGCTTAATATTAAGTATAGGATGTACCCTTTCTAGAAAAGATGTATCTTTAATGATATTGTCTTAACTTGTTAAGTAGCAATATCATTATTAATCTATAAAAAACAACGATGTCCACTCTTAGCATCGGGTTAAAACACACTATATTACGGTCATCTACAAACTTCTTGAATCTTTCAAACCTCCCCAATTCTCAAATATGTTTGAAAACTGTTATTCTTATGGTTGTTTACCAAAATAATGTTTGTTTGTTTACCAAACTAATGTTTGTTTACAGTAAGTATATTATCCAGAATATTACATGTACCGTTGCTTAATCTGATTTCCAAAAGTGGTACGGACAAAGTGCCAATCGTACATTACTTTATACTAGATGAACTATTGGACTCCTGTGACGATTTCATTGAAATGCATGTGCGAGATAGTCCCTATTTTAAGTTTAATTGTTTTGAGCAAGACATTGCGTAATATTGGAACAACAATCGGACTAATGTTCTCATACATTAAAATGTCTTGCTCTCAACCATTTAACCACACATATTGCATACATACCACAGCTTAAACTGTTAGAATTCCAAAAAGGGTATGATTAAAAGCTGATTAATGACGATAAATTATTCTGGTGCACATCGACTTATTGCTGCTTTAATTATTAATGGTGTTGAGTAGTCTAAGATACGCACTAACTTTTCAGCACCAATCTTATCAAGACTTTGCATACTTGTTCCATGTGTAAAATAACCCAGAGGACACATAACTGTCTGACCGTTTGTTGTGTAATAATGGAGATACAAGAAGAAAGAAAAATATTATTTCTAGCAAACAAGGTTTCCCCGACCTAGATCAGTTGTTTAATAAATTATGATCTGCAGTAAACAATCATGGCTGCCTCCAGCAACAGTGACCAGAAAGAATTTCTTTTTTTGATGGTCGAAGACCACCATTTTTAATGTACAAAAATGATTTTGAGTAGCACACTGAAGTAAATATTTACATATTACATCCAAATTGTAGTATTTTAAAATCTTTGTGGACGTATTCAAAGAATTTACCCAAAATCACAACATCTCATTTGAAGGTAAATAATGAACAAAGACTTTAAAATACTTTGAGTTGATATTTCTTAACGTCTTTGGTGTAGAAATGTTGTTTATATTCTCTACTTTTGATCTATGATTTGGATTATCAATATCTCTTTTTAGCATGAACTTCTAGAATTTCCAAGAAAACTCATCATTTTTGGGTGTTACCATGGATACCAGACAAACCACGGTCTATAGATAAAAAGTCAACCGTAGGATTCTTGGACATGCATTTAGCACTGGTCATGCCAAATATGATGAAAATCCATGCAGGCATAACTGAGAAAATCAGCACCCTTTATTATCATGCTTTTTGGCCAAGTTTGGAACATAGTTGGTAAATAAAATTGGTATTATTTTGATGATTGATATGTAGTTTACCACCCCTAGCCCAAATGACAAAAAATGTTATATCTTATGAACAAAACTTACAGTGCTAGCTTTAAAATGTGTATTTTAGATTACTCAACGCCCTAAAGGACCCAATAATTACATGTAGCACTTCAGGTTGTGCATAGTTGAAATTATTTTAATCCTAGAAAACAAATATTCAATAAATCAGTGACAGTTGTAGTACCATTTAATTTATATTCTAAATGAAATCAAATCAAATGGAATGTATCGGTGTACCTGGTTTAACATCTTACTTTCAACAAATATAAACGTGAAACATATCCCCCAGAACTAATATTAAATAAAGAAAATTCTGGCATCATAAATGCATCTGTTCTTGACCTGGATATTAAAATAATTAACAATTAACGGACAAATTTGATTTTGAAGTAGTAAAATACCCATCAATTTATAGTAACATACCAGATGCCATGCTATATAGTGTTTTCTGTTCACAGTCATTACGATTTTTGACAAAATGTAACGATAAAGAACTACATCTTTCCAGAATAAAATCTCTTTATTTTAAGTACACTGCCAAAGGCGGTACACAATTACGTATTTTAAAACAAATTTCAAAACTTCCATTTCTTCAACATACGAAGTTTGACATTTCTTATAAGTATATAACCGACTACATATTGGATAATGATCTAATTTAATATTTATTTTATATTTTCTGTAGTTTCCTCATCCTATCTGAATTATCGCCCGTTTTTTATGCCTTTAAATAAATACACGTTCATAGTACGATTTCTTCAGCATGCCTGTTATGCATTTCTTGTAGGGGTATTACTTATTATACTTTGTGTAATTACATAGCTCAATAATTCCGATTAGTTCCTAAATCGATAGTTTATTAAACTTGTGGCATTAACTTATCTGGATTATCGTTCTTTTTATTGTGGTTTTTTATTACATTTTCAAACTTTGACGTCATTGGTAACCTACCTCCTTTTATGCCACATCATTCAGTCAGCAGACAGCTGTCTTTCCAGACGATTTACATTTTCTTATTTGCTACTTTGTATACAGTATTGTTTGTTTTTTACTCTGTTTTTGTGGTAAATGGAACATATGCCCTAACTATATTCAATATACGTTGATTCTGTTGAATACTAAAAATGTTTCTCACTTAGAACTTTTAGTTTTAGACTACCTGTTTTTTTATACATTTCACTGATATGGTTACTTGTACTGGTAATTTTTACTTCAATATGCTTACATTCATATTTCTTGTAACATATAGCAGATCATGACTCATGCTGGAATTACACAATGGTTTCTCTGGGTTATATTCCTAATAGTTTTCAAATCTGAGTGAAGTCTGTATCACTACAGGCCCAGGACGGTACAGAGCAGTGGACGCCTACGGCTAATCCCCGGATTCATTCACTTTATCTGATTTGTTTTTGTGTAAATTATGTGTGGTGCAGTCCCCCTGCACTTACTGTTAAAGATTCATTAAGGATTTAGATAAAGAGCTAGTCGTCTTGCTATAATAGTTTTAAAATAGATAATGAAAAAGGAATATGTACAAAATTTCAGTCAAATTACTTCATTCTGAGTGAAGTTATGACTGTTTGAAGAATAATGTAGTCTCGATTTGCATTGCTACCATTGTTATGATAATAGACATAGTCTTGATTATCCAGTTTTAAATAAAATGATTAAATGCAGATTGTTTTTCAATCCATTCAAAACCACAACCATCCGATATTCTAGAGAGTTGATTGGGTTCTTGTCATGTGAATAAATGTCTAATTAATAATTTATAACATTTGAGGCTAAAAGAAACATCTGCACCCAAAATTTTCCCTACTGAAAGTTAAACTTGACACGACGAATGTGCACGCTTCAGTGGCTTGTCTCCAAGTGATTTCTGGCTAGTCACGCAGTGTGATAATACTCAGCACAAGCGTCTATGAGTCTATAAATAGCCATTCTCTAGACATCTATCAACTATTACAGCCGTAAAAAATCTATTGTTGACGATTCTGAATAGCAGTAATATTTAGTTTTTGGTTATTACAGCTGCTTTAGAAATTACATTCGTTTTATTTTTTAAATTGCTTTACCATTAACTATACTGTTAGGAGTGGCATCTTTTGGTTTAGTACAAATAATATCTCTGAAACACTCGGGTTAAGCAAGAACATGATACTAGCAATAGTTTCATTTTATTTTACGAGGTCCTTAAAACAATTGTTGAGTTGCCTAACGTGCAGGTTTCTAAATTCAATTTCTTGTTCCAGCTTTCTGTTATGTTTCGTGGGGGGTCACGGTGGCTAAGTGGGTAAGACGCTGGCTAGCTAGCCTGGAGGTCTGGTGTTTGATACCTGCATTGGCCAAGAAGGGCCTGACAAGGACAGCTGTCTAGTTGTTCGAATGGGATGAAAACCCAAGGACCCGTGTACACATTGGCATGCACGTAAAAGATCCCTTAACAGTTGGAATTTGATATAAGAGTAGGCCCTAGTGCCGTTGTCCGGGCAAAATTTCCCTCATAGTAGCACACTGTATGGTGAATGCCCGTCTTCGTTAGCCCAGTTCGGAGCAGAACAGTAGGACGTTAAACCCCATTTCATTTCATTTCTTATGTTTCGTAAAAAAGTAGTCTTGATTATCCCGGCCTGTCAATCAGACGGAGAATGGTCGGTAGAATGGTTAAGCAAGACTAATTTCAAAACAAGGGCACATAACTTATTTTTTACTCAAAAGTGCCCGGATGTTATGGCTGACACTCGTAACACTTTTCAGTCTATCATTTAAAGGGGAAGACCAACGATTTCCAACAAGGTTTCCATAAATCTTAAATATATATTGATAAATAATCCCCTCTGTAACACAAGCAAAAAAGTTTTTATTAAACCGAAAGTGACATAGTTGGTTCAACACGCTCACTGGGCTCTATAGTAAGCATACAGATTTGGCAAATGTTTACCTCTGTATTGTGTTCATGCATCGTCCTTTGGTCAAAAATCTGATCAAATGGGCTGTTTATTAGGATATTGTAAACACAAATTTATGTTTTTATAACTTTTTTGCTTGTGTTACATAGGGGATTATTTATCAATATATATTTAAGGTTTATGGAAACCTTGTAGAAAATCATTGGACTTCCCCTTTAATGATGGTTAAACGGTCATAGCTTATTAAGTACAATATGACTGTTTATTTAGTGACTATAAATGTTCGAAACTGATTTGGTATATATATAAATATTGTGGTGTAATTGTCCAGATATTTGGAGAAATTTATTTATGGTGGGGCACCCTAACAATAGCAGATTTTGTGCTTAAATAATGCATGTATTCTGTAACCATTTTCATTATAGTAGAAACTCCTACATGTACCAGATTAAATTTAAAGAATATAACATACCCTATCGCCTTTGAACACTTTCCATTCCTCATCCGATATGGGTTCTACCAAAACTTCTTCTAACTTTTCTGTTAAATGATTAGCCTGTTTTGCACCGTCTGTCCAGGGTCGATCTTCTGTGAATAAATATTTCTTTCTTCTCATTTCTACAGGTTTACGAAATGTCTTCTCAATAGTGACACCAGTTGATTTTCTAATTTCATACTGTATATATTTCTTGAAATAATTACCAACAATAACTGTTAATCTCATTCTGTTAAAGAAAAATATTTTAAGATAAAGTTCTCATAAAGTTATTACACTGGAGATTTGAGGAAAGACGATGAAACATAAATGTAGCTTGCTAAGAACTCTATTAGTATTGAGCAAGTAAACTAATAGTAAGTGCAGGAGAACCTCACTACATGCAAACAAAACCAATAAGACAAACTGGAGAGGGTGGGGATGCTTTGGGACTAAATTTTGTGGTTATGTTATCTATTTAATTGATAATGACTAAATGCCATTGAAACAATTTATCAGACATCAGTATGGAGATGCATAGGCGTACGGGCTTGATGACAGTTAGGGGGGCAGAACCCAAAATGCCTAAAAAAATTTCGGGTTTACAGACAGCGGCGTCGGTCTTCTTCGAGAAGCGAAGAAGCAGAGCTTACCTTGCATGCCCCCCCCCCCCAAAGAAAAATTTGGAATATATGACGACTGCAAACACGTTTTCCTGCTATTTCAGTCCTTTCAATCAGACTGTTGCAGCTGCATTCACAAATAATAATCGATGCCCGAACAATGTCGCACAAAGTAGAGTGGCTCCAGACAAAATGTTTTAATCCATAGTCAACTCAGTATAAATTCGTGGTATTCAATTAAAAGATACGTAAAATTAGTGTTTTATAAGGTGACAGGGGAGCAAAACTCGAAATGCCCGAAAAAATTTCAGGTTTACAGACAGCGGCGCCGGTTTTCTTCGAGAGGCGAAGAAGCGGAGCTGACCTTGTAAGGACCCCCCAAGAAAAGTTTTGGAATATTTGACGGACGCAAACACGTTTTACTGCTATTCCAGCCCGTAAAATTAGTGTTTTATTAGATTTCGGGCTCTTTATTTTGCCAAGTAGATAAAATAAAATTTTTTTTCACTTTACCCGTCTGCCCGAAAAGTCAGCTTGCCCGAAAGTTAGGGGGACAGCTGCCCCCCCTGCTCCCCTGGCTCGTACGCCTATGTGGAGATGTGGCAGTCAAACTCATCAATCAGATACGAAGAACAGAAGGAAAATATGTACATGTATGTAACAATATTACTTTCTTGATGCGATGCAGGAATACCGGTATAGTACCCAAGGGCCTAATTATCAATCACCATCCTTAATTAAATTAAATTCCCTGGTTGGTCAGCATAAAATAAGTATTGTTGTGTACATGTATATATTGTCTTGCTATGTTTTCACATCTTATCATTGCTTGATAAAGACTAGAGAAGCCTAGTCGAAACCTCACTGGTAATAAGCAGTAATTGTAATCCATAGAATTGTGACATGTATAAGCCAACAAGTAATGGACAAATGTTAATAGGATAAAACATTTATATTATTTGTGTAAATTTTCCTTTCCTACAAACAATTAATAGATAATACATACAGTATTAGCATCAGAGTAAATAAAACAGTGGAATAAAGGAGACCTGGTTCCATGAGAGAATTCAAGACGATTAAAAGTAATTTAACTACAGAATAATCTCTTAAACATCGATTTCTGGCATGAGTCACATATATGTAACAGAAATGGCCTACATATATAAATATGATACGGGTACATAAAATTAATGTGAATTGAATTACTTTTTTAGTGATGCTGTTAGTACCATCATCAATATGAAATGAAATGAAATGGGGATTAACATCTTACTTACCATCATCAAAACGTATGTATCTGACTGATCATTTTCAGAGAAAGAAATGGGATTTAACGTCTCCTCAACTGAACACAAAGTTACAAAGTACATGTACATGTACCGGTAAGTCATTTCGCAACTATCATTGAATGGTACAATTCTATTTCAATAATTCAATGGTACGTATGGCCATGGGTCTTTGGCAGTGGGAGGAAAGCGGAGAAAACACACTCAAGTACATGACTGAATGATATTCAGTGCACATTACTTACTTGTTTACAAGTTGTTACTACTACATGATCATATGTATGTGAGTGTAGTATGTCTCCTCAGTGACAGTCAGTCATCATACACTGTCACTAGGCTCATGACTGACTGCCTTGGTGGTTACAACTTATGTAAACTAGAAATACAATATTAATTCAGTGCGAATTACTTACCTATTTATATTACTGTCAGTGAAGTATTGGCATCTAGAAATTTATTTACTAAAAGAAAATAATACAAAACAAACGTGCACTTGTTAATTAGTATCATAGGGTCTTTCTTAAACCTTTATTTTGAAGAGTTAACCAATGCCAGGACCAACTTATTATCTCCCCTTAATATTTATTACCAGCATACTAGACTTAGGCTGCCTGTCTACAGTTAGATGAATCTCTGTGTGCAGAATTTATTACTTGTTCACGGTCAAAAAACATGTAATATTGATAAAAATACTAAACTAATAATATATTTCCTTTGTAGACTATGTTCTGGCTTTAGTAGCTTTTCAGTTGTTGTGGCCTTAATAATAGCATTCCATTGTCATTTGGGAGCAGTAGTGGCTCAGTATAAAATAAGGTGCTGTTACTAACCCAGAGTTTGATTGTGGTGATCCTTGTTTTTTTCAAATGGCATCCTAGATAACAAACCTTAATCTGTCAACGCTCCGTGTTTCGAGTATATCTCAGCATTTTTAGTTACGTTCTCGTACCTAATGGCATCCCATTGTCAATGGTGAAGGATGCAGGGTCTGTCAACCAAATGGACCTAGTTGTTCGCATGAGACAAAAACCTGAGGACCCTAAAATGAAATTAAATGAGGTTTAACGCCCTACTGTTCTGCTTCAACTGGGCTAATGAAGACGAGCATACACCATACAGTGTACTATTATGAAAATTTTGCCCGGGTAGCGGCACTATGGCTTACTCTTATATCAAATTCGAACTGCCAAGGCATCTTTTACATGCACACCAATGTATACACGGGACCTCGTTTTTTTCCCATCCAAACGACTAGACAGCTGTCCTTCTCAGGCCCCCCGTCCTGCACCATGCCGGAAAATCAAGATGAACTTTCTCGGCCAATGCAGGGATCAAAAACGCGACCTCCAGGCTAGCGAGTCAGCATCCTAAGCACTTATTAAGCGTGGCTCCCACCTGAGGATCCGTTGGTGTGCAAATAAAAGAATCCTTTAAATTTGGAATTCAGTTGTTGTCCGGGAATGTCAAGGAACAATGTCTAGTCGTTTGGATGGGATAAAAAACCATTGGTGTGCATGTAAAAGAACCCTAGACAGTGGGAATTCGAAATAAGAGTAAACCCCATTTCATTTCAATTGATTATTACAAATGTGCTTAAATTTTATCAAGTCAATAAGAGTAATTTGTCAAAAACAGCTGATCCCCCAGAAGGTATAAAATAGGGGTTTACGGGGATGCACACATGTTGAATGGTGGAGAATAGTTGGACTTTTCAAACAAGTAACAAGCATCTTATCTCCTAAGAGATCAGCATTCATTCATACTCTTTAGTCTTTAGCATTTCAAACACACCAAAAATCAAAACTCTTTCAAGTGACCTGTATGCAACATGTGCAAAAGTCTCTTTATTTATACAATGAAATAGATACCTTTTTCTTACCAAGCAAAAAAAGGGCAATGGTTGGGGGGCTTAAATGGAAAGAAAGCTGGAAAATAACATTTGTCCATTATGGCCCCTTTTTCTTGGACAAACCAGAGAATCTGTCATATACATGTTTAATCATGCCTTTATTTTCCATGTGTAGATATAAATTACATTTTCTATCAGATCATTCAGGAATATTACTTATTATATCAAGTAATCATTTATTCATTATATCAACACTTTATCAATTCATGAGCTTTGGAATAGTATGAAAGATTTACAGACATTTAGTAATTATTAGACTTAGAGCTTATTTAATTTACTGGTGGGCATAATCAGGTATGCATGCCCTATCAAGATTTGGAAATTATAAAAAAATACAACATACATTGTGATAGTATATATATATATATATATATATGCTCATTTCTATATATTAGCAGCAAATAAATTAAAAGTAACTGGCTTCATAAATAACTAAAATATCCACTAACAATTTACAAATAATTATAACAAATATGACACTAAATTATATTTAAATATTTTGGAAAAAAAACCCCACAGAACTATTTGATTATTTATAACTTTTAGTGCAAATAGAAAATAAAAGATAGATCTAGTGCAAAATCATCCTCGGTATCCCCAGTTGAGTAGAATGGAACATTACTACTGGCGATACCATGTGTATGGTACAAAATACTCACAGCTAAACCATATTCTGCATAAATCTTTCACAGCATTTTACTGTATATTAAACAAGTGTATCATTTAGTTTAGAACTGGTAGTCCATACTAAATTGACAACATCCAATTTTAAATCCAATTTAGATAATGTTAAAGGTATATATAATGTGATGTTCACATAATCATGAACTCATACACCTTCCATACACATTTGGCAACTTAGAAACTGGCATATAATCGAGAACAAGGGGTTCTCAAACTGGCATATAATCGAGAACAAGGGGTTCTCAACCTTTTTCTTCCAGGTTACGTCTGGCACCTTTTTAAAGTAAATTTACCCCCAACTTGTATTGTTCAATAATTTGACAAATGGGCAATTTTTAAAATACTGATTTTAATTTCAAGTAACAATAACAATAGAAATAGCACATAACATTATTTTATCTCAACTTCATATTTTTCTTAAAACTATAATTTCAACAAATAATATAAGTGCAATGCCAGAATCAGGAAAACTTTGTCTTTGATCTAGAATCCACATGAATGCAATTGATTAAAACATATAAAATCTTCCTTCTTTAATTTTAGTGAATCATGAGTCAGGTAAATGTATGTACATATAAATATTATGTGTTGTATTCTCAACTTTGAGTCAAGATATTATCACCATGAATGCTGAGTTACCCTCACATAGAAAAGGTTCAAATAAAATAAGGTACATGTACAGTTTTTCTTTAGACCTCCACAGATAAGCTGTTTACCAAAAATCAGTAATATGGTAAACAATCATTCAAATTTAAATATGTGGTAATATTGTTGTAATACATAAATTAGTTAATTTCAAGTAAACTGATAACCATGTTTGATCAGTAGAAATGCAACATACATTTCATGGTCCTCGTGAAATCTACATAGCTTTTCTTTTATGCCTCACAGTCACATGTACAGTAAGAAATATTTCATGTGAGGCTAGCATTTTACTTAGAAACAATCATAATGATAAATATTTAATGTAAATTTTTAAAAATCTTATATATGTTCTTGAAATGATGATGTGTATCTTTACAAAATGTTCACCATTCAATGATAAATTTAGATTTATATTATAATAAAATAATTGTAATCTATCTATGTTTGATTTTTTTATCTTTAATGAATGAAACAAAATATAAAAGGAATGGGTTAAGAACACACAAAAACATTGACATCAGAATAAATTGCCTTGAGCTAAATCTGAGGTACAGTACATGTATCATAAAGAAACAAATTTGATTAAAATGAAATCTTTAATGACATAAAATATACACCTGGTACGAATAATAATTAATCCTAAAAACTAATATATATATTAATGCAAATGTATAAATTCTTCTAGTATTGATGGTATCATATTTTGAAAACTGACATTATGATCCTTGATAGCTCGTGCAGCAAGACATTTTAAGGAAATTTTCCAGTGCTGTCTAATGATAACTTCGGCTACTCCAGTAGTTGTACATTCAATTGGAGTTTTACGATCATAATTACGTATATCGATATGTGCTCCACCATGAATTAAAGAAAGCATAATTTGATGGAGAGTGTCAAAGTCACTAATAGGATTTGTGTATCGAACAATCACATGTAAAGGTGCATTTCCACGGAAATCTAAACTATTCACATCAGATCCACATTTGATTAACATTAAAGCAAGGCCAGCATTAGGAAAAGTTACTACATCATTAACATGAAAGTCATCTACCAAAGTAGCACTATCAACAGCCATATGTAATGGTGTATATCCATTACGCAAAGATGGTTTATGTTTCAAGAATTTGTAGACTAATCTATATAAGGACTCTTCTTCCTCAGGTGTCTTGCATATCTTAAGAGCAATGACTAACAGGTATAAACAAGTATGTATGTTTGATTGATAAATTTCTTGTAGGGCATCCTTATCTTCATCTTCTGATTTAACTCTCTCTATGTCCTGGATAATTTCAGTAACAGCATGCTCAAAAACTTCCTCCATATGACAAAATTGTAGTTTAACATCAATATGGACAATTTGTGAAAATACTTGTGAAAAACGGAGTAGATCTTTGGATATGGTTCTGTTGTTTTTTTGGCGGAGTTTCATTGCATGCATCCATAAAGCAATACATCTGTCAAATCTAGCACTATCAGCAAAAACAGCCCCTCTGAATATTACTGGATGTGGTACTTCTGGGTTATCTGCACCTAATACACGTTCCCTAATAGCAAGCGATTCCATATGTAAAGCACCAAAATCTTTTTCTATTTTTTGGAGCTCAGCAGGTGTTTGACATTCAAACCTGTTGTTGTATGCTGGGACTGGGGGGTATTTTGGCTTTGGTATCGGGTTGTTCTTATCCCTGAATCGCTCTGACATTGCTAAAGTGAGATAATGAAAAGCTTTACTGATGTCATAATTTTCTTTGTCGTTGGCAAAAGAAGCTCCTAATAATTCCAATGCATCTATTTTTTCTTCCCTTGAGCATTCAGGGAGAGATACCAGATACTCCACAACTTCAAATTTACCACATTCAGCTGCTACAATTAGTGGTGTCATATCATGATCATTCTTTGGCATTGAAGCTCCAAATTTGATAAGTTCTTTGACTATATCCAAATGTCCACATTCTGCTGAAAAGTGTAATGCAGTAGCACCACAGTGAGCTTTACAATCGGGGTCAGCACCCTTCTGTAATAAATACCTAACTACATCCTTGTGTCCCTTATAACAGGAAATCATTAAACACGTATTGTTGTATTTATTGGCTATGGTTAAATCTGCCCCATGTTCTATCAAATATTTGACAATATCCAGTCTGCCATCAAAGCATGCAGCCCTAAGCGGTGTGGAATTAGTAAGAGTTGGATGATTGACATTGGCACCGTGCTCTATCAGACATTTCACCACTCCAAAGTGACCCGCCCCTGCAGCACACCACAACGACGTAGCCCCTTCGATAATGTATCCATCAAATTTAACAGTACCAGTTTGTTCAATATTTACACTAAAATTGGTGAGCAATACTTGAACCACTTTTTCTTCCCCGTTTCTGGCTGCGATTATTAATGGTGTCGTTTTTTGCCCTTCCTCTTCCGTGTGAAAATTAAGTACATCATTTACGATCTCTCGGTCTAGATTCCACAACATAGCAAATATACTTATGGCCATTCCATCTCTCGCTGCAGCAAAAACCTTCTGTTTCAAGGCTTTTACCATGTCCGGAGTAAATTCCGAACCCATTTTAAGGTAAAGTTCTACTATTTATGTCTGTCAAAGATTAACATTTTCAGACTTGTCGGCCATGACAATACGTCATAATTTTATTAGCCAATGAATATCTAGTATAATATAGAAGTAGAGTTATTGCCCAGTAAAATAAAGTCCTTAATTAACTTTTAATAACCAAATTAAAACTTGTAAATGCGTGTCGCCTCTTCTACTTTAGCGTAAAGATAAATCCTAAAAAGAAGATAGGGCCTATGTATAAAACTACCTTTGATTATAGTTGTTGCCACATTTTGCCAAGAAATCCGAATAAATGGATTTGTCTCCCTTGATGATTGAAAGCAAAATTTAACCAATACCCTATTCCTTGTCGAGGATGAAGGAAAGCATCGGGTGTTTTCGCCAATATTTAATTCACAATTGTTGCCGGTAGTAGGGCCTATAAATATAGCATTTGCTTGACAATTATGAAGATTTTCATCTGTCTTCATTAGCCCAGTCGGCGCAAAACAGTAGGATGTTAAACCCTATTTCCTTTCATAAATTCATTTCATCCGGCCCTAAATCAATTAGAGTTATTGCAAACATTTTGCTTCGAGGACCTTGTTGCGGAACTTCATGCTAGAAGTTTTGGCTGCAGACTTGCTCTATTCTTTGGAGACGTTGGCTCGCTAGCCTGTAGGTCGGAGGACAGCTGTCTAGTCATTCGGATGGGATGAAAAACAGGCCCTGTGTACGCATGTAAAAGACCACTTGACAGTTGGGATTCGATATAAGAGAAGGCCATAGTGCCGCTGTCCGGACAAATTTCCCTCATAGCACACTGTATGGCATATGCCCGTCTTCAGTAGCCCAGTTCGGAGCAGAACAGGGGAGAGCGGGGCACAGTAAGCCATGGGGCACAGTAAGCCGCAGGCTTTGTAATTTTTAACTGTTTTGGGAAAATTCAATTGTGACATCTCTGGGGAATTCCCCTATACGGCCCCCATTTGTCCTCCTAAATTCAATAAATTCATGTAAGCTGATTAATATTTATCGGCCATTAACTGTTTTTCTGACGCAAAAGTGAATTTTTGGCGGACTGCTTAAACTGCTTGGCTACTCCACAAACTTGAAATCCCAGGTGAAGGAGATAGTATTTGACTCTCATTAGAAATATTTTGTTTCATAATACTATCACATGTCTTCCTGCCATTTTCGATTTTCTGACATGGTTGATGACGGGGCACAGTGGGGCACACTGATCCGCAGTGAATATTTGCTTGGCCGCGACAATCACTGATAAGGATGACATTGATGCGGCTTAATGAACTAGAAATATTAACTTTTTTCCTGCGACAAATTAATTTCTAAAACATTTTTTGTATATATTGGAAAAATAAATAAAGGCGTTGGACGTATTTGTAGTTAAAAATTATTACCAATTTAGTGTAAATGGGTATTAAAATGACTAAAATGCAGCATTCTCTCCGAAGCAGTTATGTCTTATGTAAACAATGCACGCACCATTCAGCCAATGATTCACACCGCGTGCTGTGACAGCACGTGTTAAGGCAGTCATCTATGACAGAGATATTATATGAGACTCGTAATTCTCTGTGAAACAGATTGACAGAGGGGCACATTTCAGAGGGGCACACTGGGCATATAAGCATTTCGAGTTTAGCTAAATCTCATCTGTCCATTTTAGACAGAATCTGGATATTTGAGCTGTTTTTAAGGAAATATTGGTCCTAGGTTACGAATCCTTACTGACTTACAAGTCATAGGAGTTTTTCACATAAAAGATTTTTTTTCTCCAGTTAAAGAATTTTTTATTCAATGTTAAGCTGTTTTTTTTTTAAATTTTCAGCAGCATATCTGTGTTCAAGTCTTAAAACAAATTCATATTTTGAACTAAAAGTTTACTTTTTAAAGTTCTTATGAGTTTCGGTGTGTTTACTATACATACTTGATGGCCAACTGTGTACCATAGTGTGACCCAGTGTACCCCACATACGGGGCACATTGGGTCAAAGAAATTTTTGGTTATACAATGATCTACACAGAAATGGTTTCAATTTATTAACTTCTTAACAGCACTGTTAAATCGAACATATGACTGGCTTCAACTGAGTATATAGTTTGATTCTCTGTAGGATTTTACTTCTGGTCAATTCACAAAAAAAAGAAATCATGCCCACTGTGCCCTGCTCTCCCCTAGGATGTTAAACCCAATTTCATTTCATTTACCTTAAAATAGACAAAAATTGGTCTAAAAGCAGATATTAATGTAATATGAATAAAGTGATTTATAATATATATTCAAATTTTTAAAAAAGTATTATAATTTTTAATCAATTATGTTTGGTGAAATACGTGAACAGTCCAAATCTATAATTTTTAATACACTCACATTTTCATGTGGACGTATATTGTCGTCGCCCTTGTCTGTTCGGTCGTCCACACAGCTGTGGACGGCTGAGTTCGAATATTGTGAAAATCTGCCCAAAACTGACAGACAAAATGGCCGCCCTTCGTTCTCAAGTAGCGTAAAAATATGGTATATCAAGGTTGTGGACCCTATAGAGGTCACAATTTAAATATAGGTTTATATCCCAAAGGTCTCGGTTCCTTTGGATTATGGTCCCTGATTGTACGAAAAGTTATGTTCTTTAGCTTGTGGACCCTCTGGAGGTCACAATTTTATTTTTATATTAAAGACAGGTTGCCAGGCAACAAAACATACCCCACAACAGCCAAGTCGTTAGGGCAGTCCACAAGGGTTGTCACATATTTTTTCTTTTGTCAGTACGGTAATGAAAACTTTTAGAACACAATAAAATCGGATTATGAGTAACAACCCATTTGACTTTTAGTTCTGCCCTATAAAATTTTGTTAAGTGTACAAAAATTTTATCTGGCAGTAATTATTGGAAATTGTTAAAAATTGGATGTTAACTTTAGCCTCTGGAGCATCCAAAAAGTTTTTCAAAGTAATCCAGGGCCATAATTCTTGCAGTAATTATCAGAAATCATTGAAAATCAATAGGCTTCCTCGTATCGTAACCTTAAACACTGTGTATGAATTTAAAGTCAGTTGGATATTAACTTTAGCGTCTAGATCAGTGATTCTCAACCAGTGTGCTGCAAGACCTTCCTAAGTGTGTCGCGAAATTTTGAACGGCACACTAAGAAAATGTGAAAAGCCACTTGATCCCAATTGAGTATTCACTGGTGTCTACTGGTACGGTCATAGCTGTGTTTTTCTTTATTATTCTATGTTTCTATGACTAGTCTGTGCCTACAGTTGTATGCCGTCTATGACATGCCAGGTTTTAATTTTGCAAAATTCAAATATTTTTCATATATATTTAGCCAGGTGTACCGCTATTTTTCCATGTGTTCCAAGGTGTGCCGTTGCCGAAAACAGGTTGAGAACCACTGCTGTAGATTGTGCACAAGATATTTCAAAGTGATCAAGGGCCTCTAAATCGTCAGTCTGATTAAAATACAGATCTATATTTTGTTTCTTTTTTTTTTTAATATACTTTCGATGGCCTACACTACATGAAGATCTGACCAGTTCTACTGGAAGGTCGCGTCAGGGGACGTACCAATGGCTTTATACCTTATGACATCAGACATTGATTAATCAATCAGCGAAGGACGTTTCTAGTGGTTTACCCACAGTTCCGTGCATCCCTCACGCCATCCAGATCGCAGGTTATATAACAACTCTTCCAGAAACTACTGTAGTACAGACAAACTAAACAAAATTTTGAACTATAAAAAACGAAACGAAATAGGATCTGTGTTTTAATCAGATTGCTAGATCGTCCACAAGATATTTTAGAGTGATCAAGGGTCATAACTCTGGCAGTAATTATTGGAAATTGTTGAAAATCAATAGGTTCCTCGTCTCACGACCTTAAACACTGTAAAATTTTAAAGTCAATCAGATATTCATTTTAACCTTTAGAGAGTCCACAAGATTTGTCAAAGTGATCAAGGGTCATAACTCTGACAGTAATTAACTCTGGCCCACTCCCCACTTCACAAATAGTACAGTAAGCATATAACACCAATGCTATGGATCCTCTAGAGGTTGCAATTTTTATCCAATTTTGACGAAACTTGAAATATATCTTTATTATATCGCAAAAATTTTGGTTCCTTTTGATAGTGGCATGTATCGGACCGAACTTCATGGATTTTGACCATTGATTACATGAAAAATTGTGTTTTTAGCTTGTGGACACTCTAAGAGGTCACAATTTTTATCCGATTTTGATGAAACTTCCAATGTATGTTTATAACACAAAGATCTCGGTTCCTGTCAACATTGGACTGTAACTTCCTTGATTATGGCCCCTGATTGTAAGCAAAATCACGTTTTTAGCTTGTGGAGTGTGGACCCTCTAGAGGTCACAATTTTGATATGATTTTAAAAACCGTTCAGATATATAATCGATACACAATAATTAAGGTTGAGTTCGTAAAAATCGGACAGAGACTGTCTGACAAAATGGCCGTGCCCCTTTATGCAAATAGTATAATATATATGTTAATATCCCAAAGACCATGGTTCCTGTCGATACGGACGCATATCAGACCCTAACATCCTGGGTTATGGCCCCTGATTGTACGAAAAAATTGCTTTTTTAGCTTGTGCTCTCTCCATCTCTTGCAAAATGTGGGCATTTCTTGCATGGCAACCGCTTGTTTTCATTATTTGTGATTTAACCATTACTAATTGTCTTGTACGATGATTTTCTTTGTTCGTTACAAATGGCGCCCGAAATCCGAAACCATAGAAAACACAACTCATGTACTGATTATAAAATGTTAACCGTGGATATTATTAGGATCACAGCAAGACAACAACATCAATATTGATTAAAATGTACCACTATTGAATTCTAATTCGTGTTTTTAATTTCAAATGTTTGTAAAATATAGAGTTAGCAGTTTAGCTCTTTTGAAGTCCAACTTCTAGTCAAACATCAAATTTTTATTGACATTTTATTTCGAAAAGTCATTTTAAGAATGCATCCGTCAAAACTAGATATAATATTGATCTAATTATTTTCACTCCCTCAAAAAATTAAAACTGTGGCAGCAACAGAATGAGAAATTCTCTCCTGCAATGGCTCGGTATTAGTGCAAAAATATCATAATGATGTACTTAAATAAGAATATTACACGTAACTCAAGGTATGATTTTAGCTGTAGGGAAAAAAAAGCTGAATAAAAATCTAGGGGGGGTTTGGGGGCCCTTGTTATTTCGTCAGGTAATAATTAATGATTTTAGATGATATTAGCATGCTTTCGAAACAAGAAACTTGAATTAATGCAGAACAATATCGGAACAAAAGTGTTATCAAAATTCAGAACCAGACCGGACAAAAATCAGAATTCCATTTTAAAAGCAGGAAAAAATCATGTCTGATAACTGTACTGAAGCAATTTTGCTCAGGAAGTGTCATGGTGAGATTTTGTTTGTCTTCAATCAAGCCACTGATCATCATTTGCATTTTTCAGACAATATCTAATTTTTCACAATGTGCCTGTAAATTTAATGAAGAAGCAAGCCAACTACCTTAATTAAAAGCAGAGTTATTGTGTTCAACAAAGTGTAATGGACAGCTGCTAATTATCATTGAACTCAGTCAAGACCTTCTCATCTCCATCAAGTGTGAACATTCTATATCAGTTAGAAGTGAGAGAGAGAAATGGGGTTTAACGTCCACTCGACACAAACTAGGTCATTTCAGGACTAACTTATGGTTCAATTTTAGCAGTGGGAGGAAACCGGAAGACCTGGAAAAAAACCACAAGGTTGGACAGGTGACCCTATTCCTTGTCACGTATCAAAAACATGGCAGTTGACTCAATGACAAACCTTATGATACTGCATGCACACGCTAACCATTCGGCCATCCAACCCCCACCCACCCCTCTCAATTAGAAGCAGAGTTATCATTTCCTAAAGTCTCAAAGAAACCATTGTTTACCTCGGGAGAGAGGTAATATAGGCCTAGCCTGTTCCTCAATCCTTTTCTGAGAATAAAATATTGTTTATATAAAAAAAAAAAAAATAATCCGTAATTCCCATCTCATATACCAATTAGTACAATATCGAGAAGAAAACCCAGTTCGTAATAATAAAATAAAAATACAAGACTTATCTGTAATAATCAAATAAAAACACAAGACTTAATCATTTTGTTAATTTCCTATATTACTACATTCATTTTATCAGAAAATTTGTTCATAAAATTAATACTAATTAAAGTTGATCTGTTTTTAATTTGGTACCAATCTCAGTATAAACAAGCCAACAGTGAGGCTGATGTCCCCCGCCGAAACCCCAAAATAAATAGATGACACATATTAATTAATTACACCTTTATCTTTTTCAAAAGTATCGAGCAATCAAACTGATTATCAACTATACACCAAGTTTTATCACTCTCTATCAGATAGAATCAAAGTCAAAGCAATTGCTTAGCTCTGCTTAGCTTTATTAGCTTTAGCAGGAAATGTTAATTTTTGAACTCAGTCAAGACATTCACCTCCTAATGAACATCTACATTAAGTTTAAAGGAGCTAAGTCGCTAATATTTGGGACCCAGAATTTGACACAAATGGGTCGCAATGCATACAATAATGTAATATGAATGTATATAAATTGATTTACATTCAATTGTTTCTGTTTTTACTGTAATTTCTAATCAGTTAGGTTCGGCGAAATACGCCAGTATTCTCAATCGAATTTCAATCTCTAGCGTCAGGTTATTCAAGTTTACGCTGTTAGCATGCTCTCAAGATAAGAATATAGCATGATCGTTTGACATGACTTGTGGAATATGCCTAGCCTCGTTTTTCCGAGTCCCTTATTACAAATAGTGCTGAAACGCATTATGGTACACAATTCGTGTACCAATTGAAAAATGTTTATTTTGTCTTAAATATTGGATATCAGAAGGCAATCTTTTCCCAGTAAGATCACAACATCAATGTTGATTTAAACCGACAAATAAATCGTGTTTTCAATGTCGAAGATTTTGGATGATATTGAGTTAGAGTCTTAGCTACTTTAAACATTCTACCTCAATTAAAAGCAAAGTAGAATTGTGCCAAAGTCTTGACCAATCAAATAGTTTATCGCTAGCAGAAATTTCTCATCATCGAACTTAGTCAAGGTAATGATGTAATGAATCTATACTCGAAGTTTCATCGCTCTCACTTAATTATAACCAAAGTTATCGTGTCCAAAAGCATCAACCAATCAAATTGCATATCTCTGCTTACCGTAAGCAGACAATGTTCATCATCAACTCTATCGAGGCATTCAACTAATGAATGCCTACACCAAGTTTGAACATTCTACCTCAATTAGAAGGAGAGTTATTGAGTTCCAACGTCTCGACCAATCAAATTGCGTATCGCTCTGCATTGACCTAATAAACACCTACACCAAATTCGAACATTCTAGTTCAATTAGAAGGAGAGATATTGTGTCCCAAAAAGTGTGTCGGACGGGGGAAGAAGCCATTTTAATAGTCCCTTGCTTTCTTCAAAAGGTGGGGGACAATAAGAGTAGCGGGTAATACATATTCCTTTAGTCAGAGATATATTTTGCAGACTTGGCAGACTCAATGGAATAGATAACTGTGAGATGCCCAGTATTACAGATTTTGAGTAAATGCCCATTCTTGGAAATTAATCCCACGCCCTAGAGAAAGATACACCTGAAATCTGACTTTCAAGGGAATAAGTTTATCACAGGTCTCCACGAAAATATTTTTTCCAAATGGAAACGGTATTAAGGCTTTTGCCAGTTTTTTTTTAATATCTACTATAGTTTGAAGATGTTTTCACTGGTAAGTAGTTTTAATTTTGTAAATGAATACAGATATATTTTCTGAACAAGAACATATTCGAGCTTATACAAAAACGCTTAAGTATGAAAAAGTAAGTATCAAATATCATTAAATAAAAAAGAAGCATCAGTTAAATTATGAATTAAAGCTATTAAAATAAAATACTGACGTAATACAGTATGGGATTTCTAACACCGGGTAAATCAGTGTATAATATGTAAATATTCCATTTTATAAAAAATTTTTTGCCAATTCAACAATTTAATATCGAACAATTAGGTAATATATCACCATTTGACTATTAAAAACTGCATAATTCAATACCTTATTATACCTGGAAAAAAATTGACATATTGTAAACACTTCTAACTGAAAATAATTAATAATTTCCATTCATAATTCATCTTTGACAAGATTGACATTTATGCCTGCAGATGTATTTGTTTGACAATAATACAAGTCACTTTTCATCAATGATCCTATGTCTGTTCTGCTTATATAATCGTTAATGAATATAAATCAATTTTGAATTTATACACATGTATTAAACTGAGAAAAATAAATATATATAACTTCACAATCACTCTAAATACCGGGTGGTTACATTAAATAATTCTATTAAATATATATTTGCAAGAAATCAAAACAAGATACAATACCAATAAAGTATTGAGTCAAACTGCATTTGATCAATGCACATGACCACTAAACTACAGAGCTAATACTAAATTTGAAGTTCTCCAACTCAAATGTTTGATTTTTGTTTGATGATCGCACTGATAAAAGCTACATCCAGTCCTGGTAAATTGGATAACCTTTGACCTTCATTTACTTTTGTACTAATATCAAACATGACCAAAACATAATCAAGTCTTCATAAAACTACAAGTGGACATTAGACATACTTAATTGTAATTAGCTCACTATCAGTTCTATAGGAATATACACAAATTTATTAAAATGTCTGCAATAACACACTGGTAACATAGATATGAATAAATAATACACAAAGAAAACAAGAATTATAAAAAGAATAATAGGTTAAATGTCAAGAGATTTTTTATACTAATACAGACTTCAGTTTTGGGTAAATTTCTAGTTTCAACCAGCTGCAGATTGCAGACTAACCCAAGATGCACCACAAAAAAATTCTTCTATATCTAATTGTGAAAAGGATCCATTTTTTATAAAGTAATAATGATTCCATTAAAATGAACAGAAATTTCAATTTAGGGCACAATTCTTGTTCTGTCTGGCGGTAGACTAATTCAAGAGGCGCCACAGAAAACTTCTTCTATACCGGTATTTCATTTTGAAAAGAATACAGTTTTATAAAATGACTATGATTCCATTAAAATTAATTACATAATAATTAACTATACAAGGTTATAATAAATAGTGGAGATTTTTATCACTGAAAATAATATTTGAAAAACAATAGGTTGACAGGGAAATCGTACCTGAAAAACCAGTAACACAAATGAAAGAGTGAGCAACAAATTAAAATAATAATGAGCAAAACGAAAAACTTAATCATATGCACAAATATTCATAGACAAAAATGTTTTAAGAAAAAATTAATCAACAATACTAATAACATAAAAATTCAACAGTTGATTTAGTTTTATATTATGATTCATCATACAGAATTGACAAGCTTGCAATGACATATTGCATTTTTAAAACATATTTCTATATAATTAATGCGCCAAAGAGAATTTTTTGTAATTTTGGTGGGATATACAATTAAAGATATATTATGGGAGATTAGATAAAGAGTTGACTGCTCTCGCTATAATGGTTAAACCAGCGGTTGCCAGGCAAGATGCGCCCACATTTTGCAAGAGATGGATAGAGAAGAAGCTAAAAACAAAAGCGATTTTTCGTACAATCAGGGGCCATAATCCAGAAAGTTATGGTCTGAAATGCACAAATATCAAAAGGGACTGAGATCTTTGGGATATAAAGATATATTTTAAGTTTCTTCAAAATTGGATACAAAGAGCGGCCATTTTGTCGTGCAGTTTCATTTCCATTTACCAGAAATTCAAATTGGAATGGTTATATATTTAAACGTTTTTTAAAATTGGATAAACAACTGTGACCTCAAGAGAATTCACAAGCTAAAAATGCGATTTTTCAAACAATTAGAGACCACAATTCAGAAAGTTACGATCTGACATGCATGAATACCAAAAGGATCCAAGATCTTTGGGTTATAAACATGCAAAATCAGATCAAAATTGTGAGCTCTAGAGGGACCACAACCTTGATATACCAGATGTTTACACTATTTGCGTACAAGGGGCGGCCATTTTGTTCGGCAGTTTTGGTCTCATTTTCACAAAATTTGAACTCGGCCGACATTCAAACGTTTTTTTAAATCGGATTATAATTGTGACCTCTAGAGGGACCACACGGTAAAAGCGCGATTTTTTGTACAATCTGGGGCCATAATTCAGAAAGTTACGATCAGATATGCGTGAATATCGAAAGGAACAGAGATCTTTGGGTTATAAACATGCATTTCAAGTTTCATCAAAATCTGGTGAAAATTGTGACCTCTAGAGTGTCCACAAGCTAAAAACGTGATTTTGTTCATCCAATCCATGAAGTTATGGTCCGATACACGCCAATATCGAAAGGAACCGAGATCTGTGGGAGATAGACCTATATTTCAAGTTTCGTCAAAATTGGATAAAAATTGTGACCTGTAGAGTGTCCACAAACGGCATAATACATGATAATGTGGGCGTTTAAAAATAGATAACGTAAATAGAATATGTTGAAAATTTCAGTCAAATTGATATTAGCTTTTGAATTTAAGCCTAGCCTCGATCATCATTACTAAAGTTGGCATGATAAAAAACATAGTATCGATTATCCATTTTTGGATTTAATCATCAATGAGCGTCGAGCAGCTGATCAGATTTAAATCCAGTGAAAATCCGACACATAAGATGACATTGAGAGTTGATTATGGTTTGGATAAGTTAATTAATGTCTAATTAATAGTTTATATAACATTTCAAGCCTAAAGAAAGACCTGCAATAGGCAGATTTAGCTCTTGCATAATGTATGTTTAAATAAATATAACATTTCACAATAACATATTTTATGAATTTGCAACATTGTAAAACAAAAATATAACATGACATACAACCACCAGAAGTTTAACTGGAGCTGTTATAGATTATCACTATCTGAACCAATCCATCAAAAAAGCTCCAACCTGTAGATAGGTTGCATCAAGATAATAAAATTCCCAAATTATTAAGATTTATCAACCATATTATATATTATCAGAGTCATGTTAAGTTATATGCTTTTAAAATCTAACAAAAATTGTGCTGATATTGTGCATGCACAATATTTCAATGCTATTTCAGTTATGTGCTTTTGGATTGTTTTATTCAAAATATTATTGACAGCTTATGTTGTTGCCATAACTGGCAATCTAAATATAAAATTAGGACAATATCAAGTATATGACTATTTATACTTGAATACAAACTGATGCTGACAATGCACCTGCACTGAAGTTGTTAAGTACGGAGTACATCGGCCCTTGCAACTGTGGAGACAACTAGTTGTTGACAACTGGGAGCAACTGAGAGGATACGATCAGTTGCCTGTTTTTGCTGATGAAAAAATCACATGACCTACTTAAGCACCTGTTTTTCAGTTTCACTCATGTTGATGTACACATGCTGATGTACACATGTCAGTTTCCTCCAGTTGCTGAAGTGTCGATGTACACCGAACATGTAGATCCATTGCAAAAGATCAGTTGTGTTGCTTCCAATCGCCGTGTCAATCTACACCGTGCTTTAGATAATCACTTTAGAAATTGTCATTTACAGAAAAAAGCTCAACCTTTATTAGAGCTTATTTCTTGGTGAGTGATTATAGATGTTCATTAACAGGGGAAACAACTTTGCTGGTAATTGGTGGCCAGTTCTGAATTTTTGTGGGGTTTATTCCTGTTACTTGTCGAACAATCCATCTAAGTTCCTAGAACAGTACTGGTATCAGGTATTTGTAAGACACAACATACCACCACATTATAATGTAAATATAAAATTCAATGCAGATGCTTTGTTTATGCATGGCAAGAAATAATGGCATTTTTTATGAAGTTTTTTTATTATTATTATTATTCTGACCAGAAATGCATGTTTCAGTTTACTACATAAATGAAAAATGAGATTTAATCAAATATGTATTTCAACTTAATACTATTAATAACTACACTTAACTCGGGATTTCTATAGTAATGACTATTTTAAAATGCAGAAATCAATATCAATTAATATCAACAAAATAAATATCAAGGTCGCATGAACCATAAGTTTGATTTATAACGTATTTTGATTAGTAATCATGTGTTATTTACTCTATTATATAATAAGCCTGTTAGTTATCCACAAATCAATGGTCTAATCACTCTAATGTAAACACTCACTGTTTATTTGAAAGAAAATCAATTGAAATTAGATAAATCTGTATTGCTTTTCTATTCATAGTTTCATTTCATACTAGGCTTTAATAGATGACTTCAAAACTTAGAAAGTAGCTATTAATTAGGTGTCTGTAGACTTTACATATCTTTTTCCCGCTTATAGACTGTCTTTTGTTTTCTAGTTCACATAAGTTTAACACCATATTATTCTACATATTTGACACATAATTAAACTTTTTTATGCCATAATATTGATCTACTATTTATGCAAATTTGATTTGATATCTTAATATGATTTTAGATTACATATTATATATAATATCAAACCCGTAATGAACAGCTATTCAAATCATCCTAAATGACTTGATTTAAAAATTAGCCATTTGAACATATACACTTAACTGATGAGTATTCATTATGTAAAAGAAAATTCACAGGATGAAAAAAAAAAACTTTACCAACAGAGTAATCAAATTTAAAGATTTAGAACTGGAGTGAAATGAACTTCATACTCAGATGTGTGAGCCCAGCAAGACAAGTAACTTGTACAATCTTGTACATTAAGCTCGAGCCTTCCTGTTTATTTTGTCATAGACTTCAGGAAAAGCAGATCTACAGTTGAGGGATATTCTCATTTTATCATATAAAGAATGATCAAACATCTCATGGAACTCATTTCTATCCAGGTATGAATCGGCGTACAACATTTGGAACCTGAAAAACAGATTTGGATATAAATTTTATTTTAGTTCAATCTTTTGGTAAGCCAGATAGTTAAAGGAGTTCTTTTTTTAAAAGATAGGTTGCCAGGCAACGAAACATACGCCCACAGTAGCTAAATCGTCTGGGCAGTCATCAAGAGTTGTTGCATATTTTTACTTTTGTCGGTAATGAAACATTTATAATACACTAAAATCTGATTAAGAGTAACAACTCATTAAGTAATTATCAGAAAATCATTAGAATTTGTTTGGCCCATGCTAACGTTTAGTATACAAAACATTTAATATCTTGGATTTAGCTGTTATCAAAAATCATTGAAAATCAAAACACATATACTTGTTCGTCTCAAGACCTTAACTCTGTGTATCAACCTAAAGTCAATCGAAGCGATTATATACAGGCGTAAACATGGTGTTTAAATATAAAATCAATCAGATGATAACTATGGTCTCTAAATAAAGCATCCACAAGATTTTTCAAAGTGATCAAGGGCCATAACTCTGGTAGTAATTATCAGAAATCGATGAAAATTAATAAGCTTCTTCGTCCCAAGGACCTTAAACACTGCGTATAAATTTATAGTGAATTGGATATTAACTTTAGCTTGTAGAGCGTCCACAAGCAACCTTAAACAATGTGTATAAATTTGAAGTCAATCGGATATTAACTTTAGCCTCAAGAGTGTCCACAAGATTTTTCAAAGTGATCAAGAGTCATAACTCTGGCAGAAATTATCGGAAATCAGTGAAAATCAATAGGCTTCTTCATCTCATGAAGTTAAACCAAGGTTCTCAATCTTTTTTTGCTAACAGCACACCTTGGAACACCTGAGAAGATGGCGGCTTATTGCACCTGGCTAAATATACTAAGCAGCAAAAGAAACGTCAGGTTGGTATGTTACTCTGAATAGACGCATTGCATAAAACTTACCAAATGTTTTTATTGTATATTAATTGTGACCACATCTCCAACTTTACCTGAGCAATAAGGCTCCTTCCCAAACACAGAATTGAACTCAGAAAATGTTCTCAAAAACACAACCTGACTTCTGAGATGGTAATGTACATGTTCTACATGATTTTCATGTAACTCATGCTGCACGTGCTGTTCACCGGGACCAGCCTTATAAAATGCACCCCGATACCTGGTTGAATCATTTACACTACAATGTCAGCTCAGAGGAACCAGCGCTTGGAAGACTTGACGATGGCCACAATGCCCAAGCCATTGCCAGTCACTTCCAGGTCAATGTTCGGACCATCAACAGGCTTCAGCAACGCTTTCGGGCCATCAACAACACGGATGATCGTCCCTGAACTGGTAGACCAAGGCTTACCACAAGGCAACAAGACTGACATGTTGTGCGACAGCACATGCAGAATCCCTTCACACAAGCATCTGAGACAGCACGTCAGACAGTGGGAACACACGGAAGACCCATCAGTACCTATACAGTGCGCCGACGTCTCACCAGAGAGAACATCCATTGCCGTAGACCTTACCGTAGACTGATCCTCACCCCTTGCCATCGACATTAATGTCTACTGTTTGCCCAACAAAACCAGAACTGGCGACACAGGCAATGGAGAACTGTTCTGTTCATAGACGAGAGTTGGTATTGCGTATCAACTGCAGATGGCAGGACCAGAATATGGCGTCGACGTGGCCAGCATTATTCTGACCAATGTGTCATGGAACGAGACTCATGGGGAGGTCCAAGCATAATGGTTTGGGGTGGAATCAGCCTGAACAAGAGAGTGGGTACTGATGTATAGACTGTGTACAGACTCTAAACCTTCTTGTAGTGTCTTGGAATTGTGATGAATTAATCACTAATGTGTCAACATACTGTTCACAAAAAATTGTTTTGAACCATTTAGTAAATCGTTTTCTAGAATGATTTGATTAAAGTGCATCTCTGGTTAAGAATCACTGACTTAGTGTAAGTTAATCGGATATTAACTTTAGCCTCTAGAGCTTCCAGAAGATTTTTCAAAGTGATCAAGGGTCATAACTCTGGCAGTAATTATTGGAAATTGGTGAAAATCAATAGGCTTCTTCGTCTCATGACCTTAAACACTGTATAAATTTAAAGTCAATCAGATATTAACTTTAGCATTTAGACGACGGACGGACGGACTGACGAATGGAAGGGGGCGACAACAATATATGACCACATTTTAATGTGGGCATATAAGAAGCATAGACCCTATTTACTGGTAAATTAATTTTTACATGCTGCTCTAATGTTTCTCAAATAAACAAAATATTTTTCTTAGTGACCAAAGCTGTTGATAAAAACAGAAATTTGATCAGTGGACATTTGCATGCCTTTGATATGTCATGGTGTGCCTTACTAATTTTGATTGGTGATAAATTGTAGAAAGATTGTCAAGAAGTGAACCCAATGACTTTATCAAGGACATACGGATAATTTAAATAGTTATCACACATGAAGTTTGAACAATTCGGTATGTGAAAAGATAACCGTGTTTGTAATCATGACTGTGGATCAGACTAGGTCAACAAGGCTGTGAATTAACCTTTATCTATTGATATCAATAAACTGTTGTGTTCACCCACTGAAGTACAAGTGGATTTTTTATTCAACTAACCAACAAAACAAAGCGCCAAGGTCTTATTACCCATGGACAAATTTTCCCACACACCATCCACAAGAGACGTTAAAGGTATCTCATTAGAACTACATCAATTTGAACTACTATTATATACATAATAAGAATATAGGTTGCCAGATAACAACAGTACATCCACCACAGCGTTATCATTCAGGCTACAAATTATTAGGGTTTCACACTGCGTAGCTTGTGTGAAACACTATTGTTTTTGTTAAAATTATTCTTATTATTATTAAGCTTTCATATTACATATGAAAGCTTATTGTTTCTGTTAAGATTATTATTGTTATTTTTTTTTTGTGTTTTGTCCACAAATCGGATTTCTCAGAATCTAACCATAGGATCGTTCTGAAACTTTTACCTATCCCCCCAAAAATGGGTGGTGGCTGTTGATTAAATATATTTTCAAAACGTTTTACGAATCCGAAATCACCGAATTTTACGAAGGAATGCATTTGACCTACAATGCTGTAACTTTGTGACTATTTGACCTATTTTACTAATTCTTTTTTCTTTGAGTATCTTGAAACATTTACTTCAAATCTGCAATTTCGGATTTTGGCATTTCGAAAATTCGTCGCTGTCATTTCGAACCGGAAGTTATTACCAATTTGACAACTTCTTTAATAGTTGTGCGATTTTCGTGAAATTTAGAATGTTAGTAGATCTTGCCAATGCGACTTCAATGATGTCCTTGGAAATTTTCTAAATTATCTCCCCTTGGTGAAATTAAGGATCAAAGTTTTCAAAAAAATCGTCGAAATATAGGTCAGAATGACCTAAAAAAAAAATTCGATACTAGACAAGTAATTACTGATTCGTACACAAAATATGGAGTTTGTCGATCGAACCGGAAGTGCCACCATCTTTAAACGTGAAAAATCAAAAAGGCTTTTTTGCTATTTTACTTACAGACTCGGGCGTCATATTTTCGGAATTCTGGAAGGAATGCCTAAAAATCTATCGGATCAGAATTTTGATTTCGGTCACGTGATGGTCACCATTTTGAATTGAAAATGAAAAATAGAAGCAATTTGAAGGGCCGGGACTTTGGAACACAAGAACTCTCCTTCTAATTAAGCTAGAATGTTCAAACTTGGTGTAGGCGTTCACTAGGTCAATGTCATGATTGAGTTCAAAGATGAGCATTTTTTGCCTAGGGTAAGCAGAGATAAGCAAGCTGATTTGTTGATTCTTTAGGGCACGATGACATTGGTTATAATGAATGGAGGGCGATGAAACTCTTGTCAATCGAGAGGCTAATAGCTGGCCTGTTGTGTGAAATCATTGTATCATTTTTTGAAAATGTCCGGGGTAGCCGAAAAAAGGAGATCGAAATCCAAAAAGTCGTATTTTTACGATTTGGGGCATTTTTAGAGGTCGTGTAAAGTAAAATAAAGCATGCATATACATATATTATTGATATTAAATATATCATATAAAAAACTAAACAATGAATCAGCTGTCATTGACAGATTTTATATTATAAGCATGGTCAGTGGAAGGTCAGCGTATTGTCTAACTTGAACTCACTGACTCCGTAACATTATTGTGGGTATGGTATAAGCTGAATTTGATGAGATGCACATATCTCGTATGACTATTTGGTACTTACAGTGTTAGACTTTGTCGTAACGTTACGGTCTCCATTCATCAAATCGTCGTTGGGGCTATAATACGATTTTGAATCAATTTATTTATCACTGAGGGACTCAAAATTAGGTTTGATGTAGCTCTGCTCATTTACAGTGGCGAATTTAACGGGCTCATGGGTTCCAGCTCCCTCCTCTAGTTAAGCTTTCATATTACATATGAAAGCTTATTGTTTCTGTTAAGATTATTATTGTTATTTTTTTTTTGTGTTTTGTCCACAAATCGGATTTCTCAGAATCTAACCATAGGATTGTTCTGAAACTTTTACCTATCCCCCCAAAAATGGGTGGTGGCTGTTGATTAAATATATTTTCAAAACGTTTTACGAATCCGAAATCACCGAATTTTACGAAGGAATGCATTTGACCTACAATGCTGTAACTTTGTGACTATTTGACCTATTTTACTAATTCTTTTTCCTTTGAGTATCTTGAAACATTTACTTCAAATCTGCAATTTCGGATTTTGGCATTTCGAAAATTCGTCGCTGTCATTTCGAACCGGAAGTTATTACCAATTTGACAACTTCTTTAATAGTTGTGCGATTTTCGTGAAATTTAGAATGTTAGTAGATCTTGCCAATGCGACTTCAATGATGTCCTTGGAAATTTTCTAAATTATCTCCCCTTGGTGAAATTAAGGATCAAAGTTTTCAAAAAAATCGTCGAAATATAGGTCAGAATGACCTAAAAAAAATTC